CAGCCACCCCCCCTTACTACTTTGAGCCACCATTTCTTAAGAATGATCATTTTACCCCTGTCATTTAATAATATTTATACTTTAGTCGTTAAACTCTCGATTTTATATTTACTTGAAAATAAATAAGTAATTAATTTTTACTTGAAAATAAATTTAAGATTATTCGTTAAGTTAATTTAATTGAATTAATATTAAAATATAAATTTTACTTCAATCATTATTTTAAAGATAATTTTTAGTTAAAATAATAATTATACATTTATAATAAAAAATTATAATTGTACTACAAAGATTGTGATAAATATGTACAAATAGATTAACTATTTTTTGTACTACAAAGATTGGTGATACTTAATGTAACTCAAATAATAAATTATTCATAAATTTAATGACCTAAAAACTAGATTAACTAATTACAAAAAAATCTTAAATTTTAAAAATTTTAAAAAATAGCAAGGAACTCGTTCGGGTGAACAAGTGGACGCGTTCCTTGCCCGTCCCGGGTTAACTCGGGACGGGTGGACTTCCCGGTCGGCCGGTTTTTTTTTTTTTTAATTTTCAAATTTTTTAAAAATTTTTAAAATTTTAAATTTTTTTGTAATTAGTTAATCTAGTTTTTAGGTCATTAAATTTATGAATAATTTATTATTCGAGTTATTTTAATCAAGTTATTTGATTTGAAAAAATGACATGGGTAAAATGGTCCAAATTTGAAAGTGGTGGCTCCAAGTAATAATTTTGGTGGCTTGAAAAATAAACACCCGAGAATAAATGCAAAACTATAAAATATGTAATTTATATGTAAACTATGTTTTTATCACTATCGTATAACCACATACTTAAGTGTCTTGGTTCCAACCAAAAACACAAGCTTAACTTTGAACTTTTACATTAAATAATATAATTTACTTCCCTTCTATGTGGAGATACTTTAACCTTTAGGGAGCTTGATTATACACAAGACAAACATTTAATATCGCTTTGCTCCACAAACTTTTGGCTACGTAAACTTTCGAGAGAAATTTCTTTTCACATACCTATATTATTCTTTAAAAATTTTAATGTATTTATTATTTTCCATATTCAACTCTCCTCATTTTGACTAAAGTAAAAATTTGTTTGGCCTCATTAATTACCATTTTAATTATCTAATCATGAATAACGTACAGTTATTCAGAATATAACTTTGAGTTTTGTATTCAACACCAAAGGTGTGTTAGATGTACTGCATTAGATGATTTTTATTTTCGATTTTTTACTTCAAGATTTATAGTATTGCAAGTATTTGGTGAATCGTGATTCCTATTACTTATAAATAATTCCAGGCCTCGAAAAAAAAAACTCATAAAATATTCTAGTATTATAGTTTTGCATTTTAACAAGCTTATCTTTCCTGAAAAATAATCTTTTACATATAAAATTGGAAACAAATCAGTGTCATAGGCTTATAAAAAAAAACTGTTCTTAATTATGAAACCAAAAGAAAAAGAACTGTAACCTGTTTGAGTTGATAAAAATAAATTCAGGCCTAAAAAGATGAAAAAAAATTATGCGGCAGAAGGTTTGAAAGAATTGTTTTTATTTAGCTAGGTACGGAAAAATAAGAGAAAAACAAGGGAAACCCAATTATGGTACATATCTTAGAATTGGGTAAGAGGGCAACATCAACAATTGAGAAAATTTTGCTCTCTATATAACAAACTTGCTCTCAATTTATCAATACCTTTCATCTTTATTCGATGATCCAAAAAATCCTATAACCCTTTGTTTTCTTTTTCTTTCTTTTTTTTTGAAGAAAGAGTTCAAATTTTAGTTTTGAGGGTTTACTCTCCTTTCCCTTTGACAAAAACAAACTATTAATACATACAGTTATGTTTCACATAAAGCAATACTCTTCTTTTTCTTTGATAGAGAGAAACTATTAGTATATACAAATATTTTTCGCACGTGTTGCTATTAATTGTTTAAAGAAAATTATAATTTACTTTCTATATAAATTGCTATTAATTGTGATTTCATGTGTCTAATGAGCATAATGTAGAAATAAGAAATTATGCTATATTTTTCCACGCTACGCCATATTTCTTATTGGCTTACTGTAATGTTACACTTCAATAAATTACAAAATTAAAAAATTTATACTTTTTTGGCAATATTATATTGTATATCAAATGCTTGGTTTAAATTATAATTTAATTATTACAAATTGTTCCAAGCAAAAAAAAAATAAAAGAAAAAGAAAAAACAATTTAAGAGGCGCATAAAGCAAAGAGGATCGTGCTAGATTTTAAAATTACATTATTAAAAAGAGATCCAAATGTTCAAGGTTTTACTTATGCCTCCTATGACATGGACGAAGATACAAAGATTCGAAATGCTGTCTATCAACAAATATTTGACCTTTTCAACACATAAGATATTTTGACTACCTTTTATATTTGTTTCGATAGTTTTAATTTCAATTATTCAATATTGAAAGTACAACAATATTTACAATACCAATTAATCTAATCACCAATAATGAATTTTTCTAATTTTGAAAACTCTAAAATAATATTAACAAAACTAACTTTACCTTAAGAAAACTATTTATACCAGATTATTTATAGAGTGCGTCACGCATCGCGCGCGAATGCTCAATCACTAGTCCTTATAAGAAAACTGGACTTAGTGGGAGGGGGAATTAGTCTTTGGATCATAATTTGGGGGAATGGGGATTTTGTCTTTATCCCTTATTATTTTAATGAACTATCTATAATTTCTTTTTTATAAAAAAAATGGACATATTAACAAACTATCTATATTTATATATATATAAAAAAGGATAAGATTGACACGAGATTACCACTATAATTTAAAAAATGGATAAAAGTATCGATTTAAGATAACTATAAGTTGTTTAGATTAGAATTTGTTTATATTTTTATGTAAATAAGTTGTAATTAATTGTAACAAATAGAATTTTTCACTATCAATCAGTTATATAATTTTAAAATTTTAAAATTATAAATAGGTGAAATTGAGTAGTTGCATAATAAGATTTACAACATCTAATTGATCTTTATTTCCCTTTTTTTCAATTGGCTATCTAGTTTCCCACACACATCCCAAAAACATTATGATTTTATTATATTAGATAATGTGTCCTATAATTAAGACTTTCTACCTTTTTCTTTTCTTAGTAACTCTTGTTATAAAAGATAAAATGAAAGTTTCCTACAATTAAAGACATCTAATCTTAGAACAACTTTTTTTTTCAAACCATAAGCTAGCTATTATCAATATCTCGCAATAAGCCAATTAATATTTCTTAGTCAAAGCGATTCAGAGACATAGGGAAACCGGTTAACAAAACTGTCTTCCTTCCTACAAAAACCATTTCCTTTCTTCAAAAATAGATTAAATACTTCTTTCCACCTATCATAGATATATTGCTTATGTTGTGTCCTTTATCTCCTGAATAATTTTGGTCCTCCTTAATAATTTCTTTTGGAATTCTATGATGGCATAATTTATCACCTAACATTTAATTAATTGGTTTGCGTTTTGTTCGCTCAAGGAACTAAAGTTCATGCATGTCTTAGTTGAAATCTATGATTTGCCTAGTTATGCTTATAAATATAAAGTGACTCATGAAATGAGTATTTTCGTCTCTATTACAAGAATGACCAGATGGCTATCGTAGAGTTGGCGGTGGCATGTATCATGCATCAGTTAAGCCATATATTGTACTACTTGTCAAGCAAAGTTTAAGGATTACAATGAACTCATCCAGATGTATGATATCTCTCCTGTGGAAAGGGAAAAGAAAACGGCATCTATCATGTTGAGATTGAGCAGAAGAAACTCGAGCCTATTGTAATTTGAAACAAAATAAGCTCGCAAAATAGTCCAAAAATCCAGTATCAGTTCCATGAAAAATAACAAATTTGATGCATTTGAACCATAGCTCGCTAAAAAATCACAGGTTGCGATCATCCGCTCCAATAATACCATTACCATACCCTTCATCATTTTATCAGGTGCATTGGAACGAAACTCTCCTATAAATCACAGCCTGCACATTCTCTCAAAAAATACCAAATCTCTACACTTTAGCCTGCTCGATATCACATGAAGATATCTCTTCACTATTTCTTCTTACACCTGTCTTGCCATTATATTGTAAAAGGAGCTTCTCAAAATTAAAACAATTAAACAAGCCAGGGTGTTGATGCCTCCCTCAAGCGGTCCAATAGTACATTTCTTCATCCATGATGAATCATTCCCATATTCTGTCATCACCCTTGGCTTTTTCTTTTTTCCGCAATGGACTTTCTTTCCGGGTGTTTATTTTTCAAGCCACCAAAATTACTACTTGGAGCCACCACTTTCAAATTTGGACCATTTTGCCCATGTCATTTTTCAAATCAAATAACTTGACTAAAATAACTCGAATAATAAATTATTCATAAATTTAATGACCTAAGAACTAGATTAACTAATTACAAAAAAATTTAAAATTTTAAAAATTTTTAAAAAATTTGAAAATTAAAAAAAAAAACCGGCCGACCGGGCAGTCCACCCGTCCCGAGTTAACCCGGGACGGGCAAGGAACTCGTCCACTTGTTCACCCGAACGAGTTCCTTGCTATTTTTTAAAATTTTTTAAAATTTAAGATTTTTTTTTGTAATTAGTTAATCTAGTTTTTAGGTCATTAAATTTATGAATAATTTATTATTTGAGTTACATTAAGTATCACCAATCTTTGTAGTACAAAAAATAGTTAATCTATTTGCACATATTTATCACAATCTTTGTAGTACAATTATAATTTTTTATTATAAATGTATAATTATTATTTTAACTAAAAATTATCTTTAAAATAATGATTGAAGTAAAATTTATATTTTGATATCAATTCAATTAAATTAACTTAACAAATAATCTTAAATTTATTTTCAAGTAAAAATTAATTACTTATTTATTTTCAAGTAAATATAAAATCGAGAGTTTAACGACTAAAGTATAAATATTATTAAATAACAGGGGTAAAATGATCATTCTCAAGAAATGGTGGCTCCAAGTAGTAAGGGGGGGTGGCTGGAAAAATCCTCCCCCTTCCCGAAATACCAATCGGCAATCACTCACTCTTTCTTGTTTTTGTTTTAAATTTTTCAGTATCTCACAGAGTAAAAAAAAGAGGAGAAGAAGAAAAAGTCGCCGGAGACGGCCATGAAAAAGAAAGAAGCCTTAGGATGGATGGAGTGGTTGAGGGGATGGATGTACCTCATTCACGAGATGCTCTTCCAGAGGATCATGGCCAGCCACCTATCTAATCCCATGCCGCTTCCTCCTCTCAACGATCAGACCTTCATCGTCACCGGCTCCACCAGCGGCATTGGCCGCGAAATTGCTCGTCAATTGGCGGAAGCCGGCGGTCATGTGGTAATGGCGGTGAGGAACACCAAGGCCGCTCTTGATTTGATTCGCAAATGGCAAGACGATTGGTCCGGCCGTGGCCTCCCGTTGAATATTGAGGTGAAATTACTCTTCGAATTTGGTTTTATGTTTCCTATCAAGCTCTGTTCGGCATTTCTTCTAATTGTTTCTAGGATTTTAGCTTATTTTGATTCAATGTGTTCAATCTTCTGAAAGGCGATGGAGCTGGATCTTTTGTCGCTGGATTCAGTTGTAAGATTTGCGGAAGCATATAATGCACGTTTGGGACCTGTACATGCCCTCATTAACAATGCTGGCATTTTTCAGATTGGAGGTTAGTTGGTAACTGTACTTTTGAAGTTCCGATCTGTAGTGGTTTTATACTAGCAAATTACTGATGCAAGCACATGTTTTAATTTGCTTTGTCAAGTGAATCGTAATCATTTGAATATTACTTGAGAGGTAAGCATAATTGTGATTTCCCATTGAGGAAGTTGTGGCTAATCTCAGTTGAATGCAAGGTAGATAGGGTTTCTTAAATCACTTTATTAAGCATAAATTTTTCTTGAAGCAAGAATCCTACTGGCTGCTGAGGCATTTTGCTGCCTTATTTGGATTAAAATTTCTTTAGAGAAGCTAACACTTGTGAACTGAGTCATAATCCTTCTTATAGCTCTTGATAAATTGCATTATTTCTGCGTTTACTTTCTCTTAGGTAAAAGATGCATTACCTTCTGGCTTTTTAAACGCTTAGCTAAAAAACTTATATTGCCTGCAAAGTTGGAATCTAACATTTCAACATCAAACTTTCCCCAGCGTTTCTTTTTAATGTCCATGTGGCAATGAAAGTAATTCACAGAATCAGGATTTCACCTTTCATTTAACAGAAAGAACTAGTTGGAATGATTTTATCCTCCAACTATAGTAAGGTTTCCGTAATGGACTTGCATATCATATACTTTATGCCGGAAGTCCTTTGCTACTTCATTAATGCTATATGGCTTCACAGATTCATGCAAACAGAATCAACTGATACAATCTAGGTGGATTGAGTTGTTTGCCCTACTAAAACTACTTTTAAGTAATTTAGATGGAGATACATGTGATGAGTGTCTTTTCAAGTGTGTGTGGATTTTGTGTTTGAGTGTTTGTTGATTTCATTTATTTCCTTCGTCTGGTTTGGGTTGTGTATTTTCCTTGTGATTATCTCTTCTTCAATCCTAGTAAAGAAGTTTAAGTAGTTTTTGAATCTCATACCATTTTTATTCTTATTTTGGTCCAGAACCTCAAAAATTTTCGAAGGATGGATATGAACAACACTTACAAGTGAATCATCTTGGTCCTGCGTTATTGTCTCTAATGCTTTTGCCATCCCTCATTAGAGGATCCCCAAGCCGAATTGTTAATGTGAATTCAATAGTAAGTTTGTTGTCTTTATAGTCTTCTAACTGATTACATCCTTGGAAATACTCTCTTGTGGATTCTTATTCCTGATTCGTAATCTTTATTGCGATAAAGGGGAGAAATTGGTAATATTAATTGAGTGGATTTCATATCCTGGTTAGAAGTAGCACCCATGGTATCTCTTGACAATACTAGAGGATCTTGAAGAGATTTTACTGTTACACTCTTCAGTTATGAAGGCTCAAGTACTTGTTTGGCATTTCTAGGCTGGTATATTTATGGCTATTGAAGAACCTGGAGTTTTATACAGATTATTTTTTGGGCACGTATTAAGATGGCTTGGGCATATGCGTAGGAGACCGGCGGAGGCCCCGGTTAGAAGGGTAGAAAGTATAGAATCTAGGACTCAAATAAAGAGGGGTAGGGGTAGACCGAAGAAAATTTGGAAAGAAACTATAAAAAATGATTTGAAATATTTAAATTTGAGAGATGATTTATGTAATGATCGAGCACGATGGCGACATATGATCCATATAGCCGACCCCACTTAGTGGAAAAAAGGCTTGTTATTATTGTTGTATTTTGTTGTTTACCTTTTGCTTAATCTAATGCTGCTGTGAAACTAATTTTTCTTCATGGACCTTTGTTGTGTCGTAGATGCATTATGTTGGATTTGTTGATCCAGATGATATGAATGTTACATCTGGAAAAAAGAAGTACTCAAGTTTTGTTGGATATACAGGAAGCAAATTGGCAGAGGTGCTTTATCATGTTCTTAGAATAATTTTTATACCTTTTTGTTGGTCAATTTTTAATTTTTCAAATGTTATTCTTACTAATCTTCATTCCTTGGATATCAACTTCAGGTTATGTTCAGTAGTGTTCTTCATAAACGGTTGCCTGCTGAATCTGGGATAAGTGTGCTATGTGTATCACCTGGAATAGTCCAAACTAATGTGGTAAGTATCGAAAATTTGAAACTTGTTCAGGTTGTTCTTTGATTTGGTCAACTTTATGTGAACTTTCTCGTCTCTTCGTGTCTATATATCTATGCTGCCCTTAACTAGGACCTACATATGTTAAAAGTAGTGTGAGAATATAGATGATGATACTTGATCCTTCCTCTATCCTAGTGAAACACCTTGCATACCAATTCGTATTTGCAATTTTGCATTATATAAGTTTTCGTTGAAGAAATGTTTTCATAGTTAATTTGATGCCTTGATGTGACTTTGTTCCTAGAAGCATTTGGAGATACCAAATAGATAAATTATATTTTAAATAACACTATAGTTGGAAGTTGTGTATATTTGATGTTTGTGTAATCAAAATGGGGCGAAGCTTTGGTTAAGCTGGTCTCTGGAAAAACGACAAGCACGAAGTAAATTTGAAAAGAAATAATGCAAAAAAATGGTAAGACTAATTATCTTACAGTTGAGAAAGTAAGTAAAATGTAGGGTTATGATTTTGGCCTCAATAATTGATGCGGCAATGATATTTTGTCCCCCCTTTGTATCAGTGTTGTAGCTTCAGAGGCACGAATGGTCTGAAAATGTTGGTTTGCTTCCAAAAATAGGAATCAGATAAGAAACATCATGCAGCTGCTTCTGTTGAAGCTTCAATGAGATGGAGTTGTTGCTTTCCTGAATCTGGAAGTTCAAAACCCAACACAGCTTTCGACTGGAAGTGACGTTTAATAAAATGTTTGAATACTGAAACTGAAACTTTAAATGCAAGTAAGCCGATTTTTGGCTCCAAAACTTGGAAACATGGGATATGTTTTCTGCAGTTGAGAATTCAAAACCTTTCCTGGTCTTTGATTAAATATATTGACTCTGATCAAAAAGGTCATTTTATCATCGACGAAAATTGTGTGATTCTTTATCCTATGACGATTGGTTTTCCTTACACAAGTAATTTGTACTTACTTTCTTGCTTACTGATTGCATTGATTCCAGGCCCGGGATCTACCGAAAATTGTACAAACTGGCTACCGTCTGATTCCTTATTTCATATTCAGCCCTGAAGAAGGTAACCCCTACATCATTTTATAATTTGGAATATGAATAATATAATGAAAGAGGATGCAAAATTCGCATTTGTCATCGCTACTTTATATACCCCTTTGTTTGTGCTTTCTCAGAGCATAGCCCATCTGAATTCATGATTTGTATTCACTGTTAAATTCGGTGTTTCTGTGGTTGTATTAGGAGTTCAATGATTCAGTTTCATGGTTTTGCAGGTTCTAGAAGTGCCCTTTTTGCCGCTACAGATCCACAAGTTCCAGAGTACACCGAGATGTTGAAAGCAGATCAGTGGCCAGTCTGTGCATTTATATCTCAAGATTGCCGTCCAACAAATCCTTCTGAAGAAGCACATAACACGGAAACTGCTCACAAAGTTTGGGAGAAGACATTGGAACTAATCGGCCTTCCTGCCGATGTCGTAGAAAGGCTTTTAGGGGGTGAAGAAGTTGAATGCAAATATGGGGCACACACCTCCTAATTTGGTTGCGGTATTTAATTCCACTGCAGGCTGGATAGGCGCTAAGTCGTATCTGAGACAGCGGTTGTATGTTTGGCATCTTCTTAAACAGTATTCCACTGTAACTTACTTTCGACCATTCGGAGAATGGACCTGCAATTGGAAGTGCTGGATCTCCTCCCTCATTGTATTTTTCCGGGTGGTCTGCTAATGACCCTCTAACTGGTGGTGCTTAAATGCTTTACAGTTTAATTCAGAATCTTGACAGCAGCTTAGGCAATGGTGAAACAGTTGTAGTAGACACTTTTATAATAGGGTGCTGGTGCATTTTAGTTTATTTGTTTTTCCCTTTTTTGGGGGTTTGATTCAGTACATTGAACAACTGTAGTCTCTTTCTTGTCCTTTTTTTTTTTTTTTTTTTTTCTCAATTTCGTATAACTGACATTCGATTGCGTATTGACAATCACAGGATTGTCTGGCGAAAATTCGCACTAGGGTTAACACCGTAGAGTGAGGGGATAACTCCCCGTCAGTTATATTTATGGTCTCACTAAGATCAATGGTATCACAACTCCAGTTGGTTTTGGAATTCCAATACCCAATCCATGTGATGAAAGATGAAGAGTTTTACCATTCAAGATTCAACTACAACCAAAACTTGTGCAGTATACAGTATAGATTGTGGAAAAATAATCATTTCCGTTCGCTGTTGGTGTGTCATTGAGAAACTGGGAAGAAGCCCAATATTGGGGGGCTTCTGGTGAAACACTGGGAGCCGGCCTGTTTACGCTTTGGACCCAGAAAAAATACCACATATTGAAACTTTTGATTTTCATTTTTTTCTCAAGTAAGAGATAATGTAACACAACATTTGTTACTTTTTTTAAAAAAATTTTTTCCTCTCTCTAATTTCTTAAGCGATTGAGATGGAAAGAACGTGCTATTAAAACCAGGGGGACTAGCTTAATTGTATCCTGCAGACTTCCTTGCGGGTCTGCAGGATCAAAATGTTTGAGTGTCCACCTTTTGTAATCCTCTGCTGAAATTGCTACTTTGACTTCGTCACGACATGATCGGGGTAACTTACTCGCAGACTGTAATAGTATAGTTTAGGCCTTGCGGCCTCCCTCTTTGTACCCAAAAAAAAATAATAATAAAAAAACCCAGGGGGACTAGCTATGATTGAACTTAATTGTATGGAATATGGATGTGGAGAACTGGAGATATACTAAAGGAAACCTTATTGGCAGAAAAGAATTTACGACATAGGGTAACTTTTTTAAGTTTTTAGCTAGACCATTATGTATGTACTCCAGTTCTTTTACTTGCCGGATTACAGTATTTAACTTTCAAAAGATCATTATCTTTTACTTGCTGGACTTAATTATGATGACATACATCCAATGGAGAGGGATTAGTTTATCAAGTTTAATACGTTTACAGATGATGATAAATGAATGTCAGCATCCATTGCATGAGTTCCGAATCAAGATCATATTCTACGTGCATTGTTGTTTACTCCCTCTGCTCCTTAATACAAGACATTTTAATTTATTTCAGGTTTCACCTAGTACACATTTTTAATAGACAAATAAACTTTAAAAAAATTTCCAAACAATCAAGAGAATAGAACGAATGTGAAAATATATTTTTAATATTTTTTGGTCAATTAAAAATGAATATTAGGTGAAACCTATAAGATCAATTAAAATGATTTATATTAAGGACTGGAGGGCTTTCTCAAAAAAAAAAAAAAAAAGGACCGGATCTAATAACGATTATGGTTAATGTATTACTAATACATTTAGGACAACATTTGTTTTATATACAAGGTAAAAAAAATAGATCATACAGAAAGAGAGAGAGATCTAAGTAGACCAATAGAACATGTTACTATGAATTCAAATGAGTAATTTTTTTCGGTTTCATCAAGAATCACAACATAATCCATTCGAATTGGTAGTAAAAAAATAAACCAAAACTTGCGCGAGGGTACAGGGGAAATCTATGTGATAAAACTTTAAAAATTACTATTATTAATCCCATTATTAATAATATAACCTTCAAATTCAGAGCTATACTAGTAGTAGTTTTGTAGTACAACTTGGTTTGGCAAAAACACGTGTAAGATCCTGATTCCTCCTTCCGAGAACCTCAAACACAGTCAAACCAAAAAGGCGTTAGGCTTTTTAGCTTACTATTGATTAGGCCATACTTCTCTGGTCACCTCCTCTGTTCCATCCTATATATATACAAACTCGTGAAATTGTAGGCCTAAACATCAAAAGCAGAACTCAACAAATCTCTTTCCCTCTGTTCACTCTTTAGAGTGCCTGGATTTATATGACAACCGATTACTACTGCGAGTGACCAAACTTGGTTCTCTTTTCTTACTTTTCAGGCGGCCTAAAACAACTCAGGTACCACTGATTATGAACCCACGAAATTTTTCCCTTTAGTTTTTAGTTTTTAACTCTGCATATGGGTTCTTTGGTTTCTTGATCATCTATCTCTTTCCAAAGTGCAATTCTGGGGAGAAGGGTTAGTAAGCCAACCCTGTTCTTATATATATATGGTGGCATTAGCTAAAGATTTTCAAACCAATCTTAAAGTTTCAAACCATGAAAAGGGTCGTTTCAAAAAACATGAAGTGATGAAGAAAGCTTGGAGCTTTAATTTTGGGTAGTTGGGCAAGTAGTAGTACATTTTACTAGTATTAATCGTTGATGAAGGTTTTCTTTTTTAATTAAGTGCACGGATTCCTTTAAGTGCAGGCTCTGGCCAGTGTTAAATCATTTTTTCGAGATCTGCATCTTTTTCCATCTTCAATTCTTCTATTCTACAGTCCCACTCTTGTCAGTTTCAAAACAAACAGTAGTAACGTATATTTTGACGCACTAAACAAATGCATTAGGACTGTTTTGTCATTTGTTTTAGCCTTTTAGTATTAGCTTTCTACGTGTTTGTTATTTGAATTTGCCGGTTTCCATGGTTTTTATTACAGCAATTAAATTATAATCTTATACCAATGCCGCTACAGCAACTGCACACTATATGTGTTTTTCTTTTTTTTTCCCAATCTCAATCTCACAATTCAGACTTTCTATTTAATTATGTATTTTAATCCAAATTGCTTGAATAAAAGAACTGCATTTGCTTGAATAATGCACATTATGGTAACGTAGTAGAAGTTAGTGCGTCAATGGTAAGATTCAAATAACCCAAAGTCTCTATCTTTTAAGCTTTACAGAGTAATTTGTCAAAAGGGTTGTGTTTCAATTTGAAATGAACGAAATTGTCACTCACTTTAGTGAAAATCGTCTCCTTTGCCAGTATTTTTAACTTGTCTGTTTTTGTCTTTGTTTTTCTTAATTCTTTTTTGGTTGGCTAGATAAGTGGTGCTTTGTGTGCAAATTCAAAATGGAAACCAAGATGAAGAAATTGAAGAAGCTTGGCGCCGGAGCTGAAGATCACTACTTACGAGGCAGTGCCAGCTTCGGCAGACCTTCTTGGCTTCTTTTCAGTATCGCCGGTAAGTAATTAACTAATTATCAATTCTTCCTCCTCTTTTACCTTTTTACTTTTCTTTCTTTTTCTGGGAATAAAAAAAAAGAAAACGATTCTAGTACATCTTCAAAATTTGAATGAATCATTCGACATTTGGCATAAAATAAACTAAAAAAAATCTTGAGAAGTATTAAATGCCAACATCTTTGTTCCAAATGAGTAATCTTTAAATGTAGTTTTCCATTAGTAAAAAAAAAAATGGACAATAAATGAATGGTTGAATTTTTTTGGGGGTTGAAAACAAAGTCCCCACCTTTTGTATTGGTACTGGCCCTTTCTGCTAAAACAGCTACCCGTTAGGGAGCAGAATTGCAAATGTCATATAGGCTAACTCTAGTACTGACTGTTTCAGTCCTGCCCTTTTTTTCTTTGTGAATTGGTCCAATCTTTCATTGATGTCTTATTTCACCAGCAAAATCTTTTCTTACCTAATACTCCTCTCAATCAATCAGCTGGTTTTTGGGCAGTATAATACAATCTATACAAAATTTGTGCAATGTAGTGTCACATCCAAGAAATTTACTAAATCGAATTGGTTTATATATTACTTGATACGAGAAGAAGCCAATTTCCATTTTTTTTTTTCCTGCGGGTTTTTGTATTCAAAATTTGAACTGAGATATAAAAAAGGGGGAAGTATGCAAAGGAACAAGCTTTTTTTTTTTTGTGTGTATCTGAACAGATCCCTTGTTGCAGAGACTATGATTTCACTGTGGCAATACGTTTTTTGGGTTTTCCTCTCTTTTTGATTCCCGGATGCTCCACAGTATTTGTCTTTATGTCTAAAAGACTCTAAACTGTGACAATGACTTTTCCTTATATCTCAGTATTTTGGAAATTGGATTCCAAATTCCCAATCCAATGTTACAACAAAAACACTTCCTAATATTCTTTGTACAAAAAAACTTTTACAGCTCAGTTCCCAATGTGTGTGTGCTTTTGAGTTTTTGACAAGTGATTTTCTTTCCAGGTTTTTTCCAACACCCTTTATTTTGAAGAAATGAATGAAAAAAAAAAAGTTAAGGAATATTTTGTCATTTTGAATTGGTCTTTACTCTTTATAATTTGTACCAAGTTGTAAAACCATTGATGACAAACAATTATCCGGACAAACAAAGAGATGGCATAAGATTCCTGACGCATTTTCAACCTCTACAGTAGAAACTAGCTTTGTTCCAACTGATAAAAATGTAAAATATCGGTTTATGAATAGGGTCCATGATGATGAGGAAGGACCATGACTTGTCACTTGTCAGTAGTCCTTTTGGTGAAATAATTTTGAATTTGAAATGATTGGCCATTTGCATGCTTACCCTTCTTCTCTAATGTGTCCAATTCTTGCCATGACTCTAACATATGCTAGCTTATTTTGGGTCCATTCTTGATCATACTCATAAATGTATATCTGTTTTTGAAAAAAAAAAAACTGTGGATATTGAACTTAAAAACCAAAATGATTGTGGGTTCAACAAAAAAGGGATTGTTTGCATTAACTGAAATTCAAACATGGATTGCAGATTTGGACGAGAGAATGAAGACGCTGGCGATTAACACCACGTCTGATCGGGGAAGCAATGCTGACAGTTTCGCGACAAGGGCTGAGGATTACTACCAGAAGCGACCTCAGTTGCTGGCCTTGCTTCAGGATCTGTATAATGGCTACCTCCTGTTGGCTGACCGTTACTGTCAAGCCCTTGTCAAGAATAATCAGAATCACCGTCGTCGTCGTTATTCATCTCCCATTTCGCCCTTTAGTTTCAATGAGCATGAGCAGTTTTATGAAGAGGATTTGGGTTCAGGAGATGTTGTCGATTCTGATGATGCCGTGAGTTCCTTGTCTTTTCAAACTCCATCTCCACCTGGAGGGCTGGATGCTGATCTGATCGTGGCAGACGTGGTGATCAAATCTCTTGACTATGAAATCATGGCCAATGAGCTAAGTGTTGTGGAGACGAAGGCAGCCGAGTCTTCAAGAAAGATTGAGCTGCAGAAGAGTTTACTGGAGGTTTTGGAGTCGGAAAGGTTGATACTGCTGAATGAGAACGCCGGCTTAGCATACAGAGTCAATTCGTTAGTCGAGGAGAACAAGGGATTGGCTGCAGAGTCTGTTTACATGAAGAGGAAGGCTGCTGATCTTGCCAGGTGTGTGTTAAAGATGAGGGAGGATCACAGGGTGTGCATGCTGAGCCGAAAAATCGAGGATCTTCAGGGACAGGTTCATGGATTGGAGACGAGAAACGAGTGTTATGATCAGATCGACAAACATGAAGAAGAAAAGGAAAGCAAAGCTAAGGTGGTTAAGAAAGGCAAATCTGCAACTCATGAGGTGACTCTGGAAGATTGCTTTCACGTGCACCCAGATATTCCTTGCTTTGGATGTGGAAGCAATGCTGTGGTCAACATGAAGAAAGGGTGTTTGCCTTCTCATGGCAGCATCAGTGGAGGTAAGAAGGGATCGAAGTTTTGGGACAGGGTCAAGAAGTTTGATATCTTCATGTGTGTACCCAATGTCAACTCTAACTTCTGCTGAGCAAATTCGCCGTTTGGCAAATCTGATGGGGAAGATGATAACAGGCAGGTTGCGCCGTGGCATTGCTACGAGCTTTTGATAGATGCATCCTAGTATAGTTAACAAGAATCAATGTTAACCTCCTCATTGTAGTACTTACTATTAACTTTTGATATCTATAAGCAATTTCTGCTTCAAATTTGTAAGAGCCTTACGATGAAAGTTGAAGGTAAAGGGGGAAGAAGGGAATCACTGCATCAATCACTTAACACATCCAATTAAATGCACAAAAACTACGAAACAACTTCCAATTAATTTGGCCCATTTGCACATAGAATGTAAAAAAAAGGCAGTAATCCTTAGCTAATCACATTTAAACTGCTAGGAGATAATTTCCAAAATAGACCAAGAAAATAATTGAACAAAGGAAAAATTGTCAGTTGAATCTCAAATTGGATGAAGTGTACATGCAATACTCCAGTACTACCCTCTTCCCATGTGTTTAGCATGAGCCACAAATTAAGATTGAGTATTGAAAGAATTTAGGTCTTCATGGTCGGCATGCAGACGCTTTGTAAAGAAGAAACATTAGCAATTGTCGAAATGAATCAACTTCACAATGCTAATTCAGTTTCTACTGGGGCTACAAGAATGAAACATCATTACCACTCACTTGGTCCCTTCTCCAACACCGAATATTTGGTGCTACAACTTGCATGGAAATCATCCAACTTTCTCTTTCAGATCTCTTCAGCCACCGAATATTCAGAGTCCCCTGTTGCTCATTTTCCGAGTTTGCACAAGTTTCTGATCAAAGTATTTGGTCCATCAATTTAGCAAGACAGCCTTATAAAAGACCAAAGCTTGGAATAATCCGAATTGATGACTGAACCATTTATCTTGGGTGAATACTTATAGGCCTTTGCTAAAAAGGTTAAGGGTACGTCAGCCTCCAGAACAGTGCAAGGATACTGTTAGACAGGGGAAGAACTCAAGAAGGATCTGCAGGAGTGAGTTTCTCTTGAAGCATTGCAATCCGAGCCTAAAAGAACAAGGGCGTCAAAAGTGGCATTTCTCTAGAATTTTAATCTTAAAATACTAATCTACCACAGTAGACATCCCAAACCAACTCAGAGATTTGAAAAGAGATAATGTGGCAACAGAGAAGGGAAGAAAATTACAGAAATTCAACTATTGTGTATAAGACTTATATACCAAAAAAAAAAAAAAAGACATACCTTGAAAGACTTTGATCGACGAAGAGATGGTTCAAAATCCAACGCCATTGCATAGGATTTTTCTGCAGAATCAATTTGATCCATGGCCATTAAAACATCACCTTGGCAGAGATAAGCCTGTAAGGTTTAGTTTCAAGGTAAGAAACAAATGGGTTGCCATCTCATACATTTACATATGTGCTTGGTGGAAGAAACATTTTTCTTCTCATGCATTATGCCTGTTATTGTTAAATGCCACTGAATAACCGAATAGCACACTAATAACCAATTGTTTTATGACTACTCGGACAAAGAAGGAAAAAGTGTTCACAGTCAACAACCGAGAGAACCTAGAACTTTCAATGACTGACTTTGGAGGGAATCATTATATTCTTAGGTACGTTATTTAACAAAGAAAGAAAAGTTAAACGCACAAAAGGAGTATAATGGACGTCGAATATTGGTAAATTGGCAAATTCACGTTTTTGATGAGCAACATTCTGTGCATGAAAGCAAAAGGAACAACATGAAATCTAACCTCAGCATACTTGGGAGCAAGTGCCAAAGCTTCTCTAGCATCTTCAAGAGCTCCAGAGATATTTCCTACAGCCAACCTAGCTGTGGACCTGAACAAAAGTATCAACACATTAATTTCATCTATCCAGAAATGGCCCAATAACTCGAAACCGATTTTACTCCCAAGAAATTAAGAAGAATGCTTGAGAATACTATAAATCCTTTCATTTGTAGATATCCAAATTACAGTTTAAAGGACCTTCAAGTTTCGGTAACAATGACCCCACCCTTTAGAGCATATACTGAGCCAATTTATAATTGGAAGTGGAGAGTTAATTATCTAGTTGAAACAGTTGGAAGAAAATATCCTCATTATCATCCTGGCAGAAACATATAACCTACTTCAAACTTACCTGCTTTTGTACATTATATGAACACCTCCAATTGGCTTAAGATTTATGGCCTGCATTAATGTTGAAATGGCAATTCTTGAGAATCTGAAATAGATATATAAATAGAGAGCTCAATCTAAACTGGTTGAAACGCCTAACTAAATGTGCGTAGCAAAATGAACTAAGAAACCTGCTTCCTTATGAATAGAGTTCATTCAACCAAGTAAACTTCAATTACCACTAAAGATGCAAATTCCATTTAGAATTAGAGAACCTAACTTGCTAATGGCCATGTAAAATTTCTACTTACAAACTATTATCCCAATTATCTTACTGGCAACATTCTTTACTTCACTGCACTCTATATTCCTCACTTATTCCTCCATTAGTATACTTACAAATTCATCAAATGGATATATGCAAACAAACAAAAGGTGTAATCTCATTTCAGTTCAAGTAACAAGGAATCAAAACTAAATTAATAATTATGCCATCTTTTAAAATACCATTATCTCAAACATCTGAAGTGCAATCTTCAATCTTGGAGTGAAAAGGCACACGAAAGTATAACATCTTTTTGAGACCAATTACCTGAGAAAGCAAAACCAGGGCTTCATCAAAGTTCCCTTTATCTATCTCATCTTCAGCTCTTTTCCTCAAAGCCAATGCTTCCAAACACTCCCTACTCTTCCTCTCCACCTCATCACTACTATCCCCACCAAATACAAGCGAAATCATGAGACGGGCTGCTTTCGAAGGGGTTCCACAGTGACCCACAAAGAGTGCCTGAGGCAAAACGACTACATTCGGACCCGACCCGCAACGACCCAAGCAACCACAGGAGTTCACAGAGACGCCGGAAGGGGAAAGCCCTGAAAGAATTTGAAGAATCTCTAATGACCCTTGTCTTCTGCACGTCCTGTTTGTGCACACCCTGATTTCTTCAACATCCATTTTTTCTTCTTTCACATCATAATTAGTTGAATTGCCGCTGCTTCTAATAATTGATGGTTTGAATCTCTTTGCAGAGGGAAAACGGGGAAGGGAAAGGAATGGGGAGCTAAGATTCATGTTTGATGTCCTTTTTATCTCTCTGTTCTTCTGCTCTTTTGGGTTTTAGTTAATTCGGTTAGTTTGTTGCTTGGCTTGGTGGGAAATTCAATTTATCCATTAAATTTTTCTTTTTTTTTTCTTTAATATATTTGTTTCGTTTTTTTAGTGTGTGTTTTTAGGTGATTTTTGTATTGGGATTATAAAAAAATGTATTAAAAATATAAAAAAATATAATGAAATGAGACAGTATTAATTTAGAAAACCCATCGAGAAAAAGAAACAAACAATGTTCACCGATTTATCCATTTATATATATATATATATATATATATATATATTATCAAACTATATACTAAGGCTGGATCCACCGGTTGTGGTACTATTTCTTCTCGGTAGACGATCGCTATTTTACACTTTTGTTTTCCGTTAGTTACCGGCTTTATTTTTCCCGGTAATTAACCTTTTTTTCCCCTTTCTACGCAGCTTTTCTTTCCTCTCTCGCCTTCTCTTTCCTCCCTGCTATTGCCGTTTGACAGAATCCTCCTCCATTTTCCAAGTTCCAAATCCTGTTGCAAGGTAAGAAAATTCGAGAAAAACTAAAATTTGGTTACCCGTTTGTGCTAATTCTTGGGTCGAACTTCCGCCCCTTTCTTTGGGTGTTCCGCCCACCACTTTTCATCTCTTCCAATTTTCATTCAACTCAGTCGTTATCGTCAGGCTTTCATCCCTTGATTTTGAGTTTTCGACTTGAAGGAAAAAGGAGAAAAGGGAGTGAAAACGAACAACAACCAAAATTGGGAGGCAGTATAATTTAGTTTTCCCTTGTAATTGAATAAATTAAACCCCTTGTGGTTATTGTCAGTATCATTGAAATTGGATTATTTAAATCACTGTAATTATTGGATTTCCACCCCTTGTAGTTCTACTTTATTTCGTTGATGATTTTCATTGTTGTTGGTCTAGATTTCTGATTTAGATTTAAAGAAAATATTTTATGGTTTTGTTTCGTGTTAGGTGTTGATCTTAGGTCTAGCTGACTTTGTTTCAAAATATTTTGAAGGAAAAGATAAATTTTGTGGTTTATAATATTTTTCTAATTTGGACAATTAGTTCGTACATCTATTTGATATGTAAAGATGGATATGGAATATCATTTTGAAGATTAAGTCTACAAGAATCATCGTTTCCTTTCATGTTTCCAGTTTCTTTTGGTTTCAAATATCCCAGTTTTGTTACACTGGCTCTTATAACTCACTATCAATGTAACTAATGATTTCAACGAGTAGATATGTTGTAATGTAAATGAAAGTTTTAACTTGGATAAATTTTGAGAAACAACAAGAAATTCTATTCACTGTAAAAAAGCATATTGGTTTGCCAATTCTTTTCACGGGTCACAACATGAAAATTTTTTATATTTTGTCTAATCAGAAGCCTGAAATTTGATATCCTTCATGGAGTTGCCATTAAAGTAGGATGATGCTCCGTCCATTAAGAGTGTATAAAAGAGCATTTTGGTTTGCCTATTCTATTGACGGTCACAACATAGAATATTTTGTTTACTCAGAGGCCTGAAATTTTTGGTGGTGACACCAAAGAACAACTCCATCAAACTTCTGAAGCCCAAACAAGGCTGCCATACGAATTATGGATTACAGAATTTTTGTTTGGATATTGTGTTCAATTTGTGCAATTTAGTATAGCTTGTTTGAACCAAGGCCTTCTGTGAGAGATCTTGCGAGTTCAATGTGCAAGAATTCTGAATAGAAAAAGTTAGTGCATTACTCTTTCTGGGGGCACTCTTTCATAATACAAAAAGTTTAGTTAATCCCATTATTGCAGTTAAATTTGATATAGAATAATAGAAACCTTTGATACAATATATTGTAGTCAATACGCACATACACGATCTATTTAGAAATAAAAAGGTTGCTTAATAATCGTTTCAAAAACTCCAGGTACGACCGAATCTTGTACGGTCCCCTTGCTAGTATTATATATATATTATTATATATCACTAAGGCGCGATCCACTTGTTATGGTACCGTTTCTTCTCGGTGAGCGGTTGTCGATTTATCCATGTCTTTGCCCCCAGGTGACCGACCCTAAATTCTCCCGGTTATGCCCCTTCCCTCTTTGACCATGTAACATCTTACCGCTTACAACCTCGAAGTTCTTTTCAATTGTACTAATCTTTTCTATTCGGACAAACTACATTTTATCTGACATTTTGCACTTTAACAAAAGGAACTTTTAAGTTTTGACAATGTACATTTTTCTTCATTGACCGGGCTTAAAGGTCATGTCAATGCCGAAAATTCCTTAAATAACGAAAACATTGTCTTGGTTCAAGGTGCCACCGATCTATGCATGCTTGTTCGGTGTTCTGTCCCAGTGTCACTATCGTTTGCGGTCCGGTGTCATTATGATTCAGTCTCTAGGTTCACTCGGAGAACTCATGAGTGTTAAATGTGATTTGGTCGTTTATGTTACAATACTTGATGTGACTTGTTTAAATTATGGTTAATTTCTTTTAATCTAGTAATTATTTTAGAAGCGTATCGGCTATCTCCATTTATTAATTCATGATTGTATCAACTGAATAAACATCATTTTGCCATCATTCTCTTATTTATACACGCGCATTATTCTTTACTGAATTTTCGATCATCAGTTTGGAAGTTCAATTCAATTCTGACACCGTGATAGATCAAAAAAATTTACAATCTAATTTAGAAGAATAAAAAAAGATAAAAGAAAACCCAAATGATTTTCAAAGTGAAGGAAAATGTTTACAACATCTCTAAATTTTTTGTAGTGAATAAGAAAATATCGGTAATGGTGATACAGGGAATAATGACCGGTTTAATCCTAAAGTTTGACTATCTAATGGATATCATCTCAAAGTAGTTTAAGTTAGTCAATTTCATATAACGTTTAACTCTCTGGTCAATTTAATCCTTCCGATAACAAATTACTGTTTTCTGGCGGAAAAATGAGCGATTTAATCTTAAAGTTTAATCTTCTAATCGATTTCATCCTAAAATATTTTAAGGTGGACAATTTCATCCCAATGTTTAATACTCTGATCAATTTAATCCATTTGATCACAAATTAGTATTTTCCGATAATTGACTTAGTCAACTGCTTTGTTTTTATTTTTTATTATTTCCAAACTTCAGGATTACAACGACCAGTTAATTAGTATAATTAATAAATTTAATTATTTTTTTGAAAAGGCAAAAAATCAGGTGACATCATATTCATTAGTTTAATTACTTTTGAAAAGTACGAAGAATGTATTTTTTTATTCTTTGTCCGCATTGAACTTTAAATAAACTAGATGGATCAAACGCACTTTGAGCGTACGGGAATAAAAGGAAATGTAAGATTGATAATATATATTAGTCTATTTATACCACATGATTAAATTAAAGAAAGAAACGAAACAATAAAAACTACTCTGCATGCCTTATTTTTGTAATCTATTTCATTATAATCAAGCTGATTTGGCATTTACACCATTAAATTCTATGACCGGAAATATTTTTGCAAAGGTAAGTCATAGTTCAAAGAATCTAGGTATGAAAAAAAATACATTTAAGACTATTATTTACAAATTGTAAAATATAAAAGATTCAAAACCTATCTAAAATTTAAAAAACATCCGTGTTTCTAAAATTTTTCTGTTAGAATCATCGTTGTTTTTGGATCTTGCAACTCATCTTCATGATTAACCAAAAATCCTCATCTGTACTTACACTCAAATTGAAATTAAAGTTCTAACTGGATTGTTGGAAAAAAAAAATCAAAATGAACTTGCAAAATAAGAAAAAAGAAGAAAAGTTGGATTAGAGATAAGTAAGAAAATGAGAAGAAAAAAATGGACTCTTGCTCGTGCTTTGTCATGAGTTGCTGGAAGCCAGGGTACTTTGCCGCGAAGGGTTCCCAGAAATTCGTGTTTTGAGAGGAGATGTTCCGGTGCTTCTTGAAAATCCTCTTCCTCCAAGGCCTCCTCACTCAAGGTTTTGCGTTTGCCTCGCCTTGCGTGAATCAAGTCGAGGGTCCTTTGCGCTTCTTTCTTGTCAATCACATCGTTAAGCTCTTGCTGCGTTGTTTTGGGTTACCCAAGAAGGTGGCTACGCTGATTTCCTCAAATGCCCACTTCTTCGTCCTCTGTGCGACGTCACTGCCATCATGTAACTTCTTAAGCTGTGCTTCGATTGGGGTGAGTTTTTCGTCGTCCTTGTAGAGTTTGGATGCTCTAGCACGCTTGTCTACTTTTTCAACATGTGTTTGTTTTAGAGGGGGATTGTTCTCATTCGATTGAGTGACCCCTATACTCAAACACTCTTTGGGTGGTGGTTTGTCACTCTTCTACTTTTGAAGCTTCTGAAACTGAGCCAAGGTGGTGTTGTCTCAAGACTTTGTTGTCTTTCCTATAACGACGAGCTAGCCTAGGATTCTGTTACCTCGGCCATCTTCTTGTTTGGATTGAGCAAACCCTAACTTGCACCGTAAGGTAAGTAAAGAAAGCTTGAGAAAGCTTGGGACACAAACTCTAGTTTCAGGTCCCACTGGGCATGCCACTTGATGAAGCCGGAATCTGATCACCGGTTAGGTACTGGAACTCCGATAGGGTTTAGGTGATCGGCAAAAGAAAACCTCGTGGGTCTCCCAGGGGTAGACTCCCCGATACTTAAGTCAGTGGAATTTGAGAGAAAAATTTATAGGTGTTATAGGATGCTATAGATTGCGTACCTCAATTACAGCGTGATCAACCCTATTTATAGACATGTAGTTACCTTGTGGATGTGTAAATCCTTCTAGGTTTTGTATTTATCAGAACTGCTTTCGAGGAGTTGGTTTGGACCTTTGTGCGGTAAATGGACCGGGTCCAATAACCCGATATGGATATGGACTCGTCAAGGGTCAATTATGAATCCGCACGAAAGAGAGCACACCTCCTTCATAGTAGATGTCAAAGAGTACATCGCTGTAACGGATTGATAGATCTCTACACTAACAAAGAATTGATTGATTTTCTTGCTCTACTTCTGAAATCGTCTTATTCAATTGCTTTTGTGGATGCCCATTGATTAAGTATTCAACAATATCACTCAAAACATCCCTAGTTAAGGCAATAAGGAGAAAAACAAGCGTGAATACTAAGCTGAAGGAATCAAGCATTTAGCCCAAATGTATCTCAATAATCAAATGAAGTCAGTAGCATACCTTTTGTGATCTGATTTTCCAGGAGACACGGATGGATGTCTGTTCCTTAAGAGACAATCCTATTTTGTTGGAGCGCACAGACTGCTTTCAGGCAAGGCTTGAAATCATAGATAAAAGTTGAAACGATTGCAGTTGCTGAATTCCATTTCTTGTCCTTGTATGCCTTAAATTTGTTGAACTTCTTGTTTATGTAAGCATCATAAAACGGCTCATCTACTCCACTCGAGTCAGCATCGTCATCATCATCCATATCCATGGCAGCATTACTCGGGTAGGCTCTATTGAAGTAATCACTATCATCATCACAATCAATTGGCCATAGTGTTAAATGTTGGGATGAAATTAACTACTTTAAAATACTTTGGAATGAACTCGACTAGATGGTCAAACTTTAGAATTAAATCAACTAATTTTCCGATTGACCACCTTAAAATACTTTTTAACAACTAGAAAACAACTAATTTTAACAAAAAAAAAAAATCAGGACTAGTTTTAACAACTAAGTGTTTGTTTGGACGTCAACTTACATTTCATTTTGCCACTTAAAAATGGAAAGTGTTTCAAGTTGAAAACTAAATGGGAAATGAAAATGTTGTTTGGATGATATTTTGAGCAAAAATTTGTTTGGATGTTGATTTTGAAAAAAATATTTTGAACTATATTTTGTCAAAATGGTCACTGAACTACAAAGACTTGTTTGGACAATATTTTGTTTGGGTAATATTTTAAATAAAATAGACCACCACTGGACCACCTCCACCACCGGCGCCGCCGCCGGACCACCACCAACCGCCGTCAGACCGCCGCCGGCCGGCGACTGGCCGGCCGGAATCCGGCGGCGGTGGGTGGCGGTATGACGGCGGCGCCGGTGGTGGAGGTGGTCCGGTGGTGATGGACGAAAATGAGACAAAATGCAAAATATGGAGTTGGCCAAACAAGACCTTGTGAATTGTTAGATTTGGTCACCGAAATATTTTTAGTTCTAAAATGGTCATTACACTAACAAAAAGTGTTTCAAGTTGGAATTTCAAATGTAAATCAGACCGTTGTTTAGATGATATTTTTTTTTTCGATTGGGTTTTGTGTTTAAGAGATAAAATGAGACAAAATGCAAAATGGACTAACATCTAAACAAGCCCTAAATCGTTGGCTAAATCCTACTTTGAATCAATCTCCAATAAATAGTTTCGAGAGAACTAGTTCGAGTTATGTTGCAGTGAATGACGATGATGATGACGATGATGAGTCAAGTGGGAGATGAGTAGATGATCCTTTCTATGACTCTTACATGTCCAAGAAGTTTGACAATTTTAAAGGATACAAGGACATAGAATGGAACTCGGAAGCTGAGATGATTTTTGCTTTTGTGAATAATTTCGAACCTTGTATGCATGCAGCTTGTGTCCTATATCGAAAGAAGATTTCTTCTGAAGGAACCAACATCCATCCATTGTCTCTTGAAAATTCAGATCAAAAGAGGTATGGTAGTGACTTGATTTGATTTTTAAGATGGAATCAGAATTTTCTTATCCTTAATTAGGAAATAGCCAGATTGAAATATATTTGGAACATCTAACCACATGCTTAAGATCCTTTCCTAGCTGAAAGGCTAATGACTAATTGCTTCAACTAAGTTATTGAGTTTGTTTCTTTTCATTGCCTTAGGAATGTTTTGACTGCTTTAGCTGAGTACTTAATCAATGAAGATCCACTGAACCAGTTGAAGAAAACGACGGCTGAAGTACAACAAGAAAATCCATTAGTTCTTTGGCAGTGTAAAGATCTTGCTATCCGTTATTCCGACCTACTGTTTGACATCTACAGGAAAGGAAGTGATCCTCTCTTCCGTGCCGACGTGTAAGTGTCGTTCACATCTTGGAAGCCAAGGACTTTTTGATTGTAACAGAGTGTAAACTCTATCGTTGTACTGGCTGTTAGGATTAAATTAGGACCACTTCCTTATCAATGGCTTGACGAAAGGTTTTAGCTCACATTGAACGTAGAAGTATTCATTCTTTATGAATAACACTAACCATGTATTGATCAATTTTAAACGGGATGTAACTCATATTAAATTTTGAGATGAATAAATAACAGAAATAAAAAATTTATCATGGCTTTGTCTTGCTTTTTTCATTTTAGTCATAGTGCTTTTCCCTTCCGCTGAACATCATTAATCTGATTTTGATTTACACTAAAATTGCATATTCATTCGGCACTCACAATATTGTTGATGATATAACTGTTGAAATATGACACGAAAAGTAGATTTTATTATTTGTTTTTCTGTGTAACAAATTATAAGGTTAATACGAACAATTCAAAATATTTTTTATTTTATAATTTTTGACAAATATGTTACTGCCTTTTATAGAAAATATTTTATGGTCATACCCTTTTTATTAATTTGGCATGTTCTATCGTCATTTAGCCAAATTTTTCCATAATAATAATATTATTATCATGCATAATGCTGCGGCTGTCTTACTAAATCTCGGTGAGAGTTGATGTTCAAATGACATTTTCATGTAGAAGTCAAATTAGGTTATTATATCTGTCCAGCTACCAAATTAGTAATGGCGAGGGCCAAGCTACCATGGCCAACGAAAATGACCGACCAAATTAATCCCAACAGAAATGCACATAACCTATTCTAATGCAGCTTGATTCGCCTATGTATGTATTGCCATTAGGACAGGATCGAGTTGTGGTTCTAATTTTTTATATGTAATTGGTCCCCTCCATTATCTGTGCACTATCTAGTTATAAAACATTGATCAATTTAAGTATACGTGTTTTACTACGAAAAACGTACAAATTTATTTATATATTATAATATATCTATAGGCAAAGATATATTTGCCTCTCATATATACATAAACGAATTTTGATTCTGATTATTTAGTTTCATATGCTTGTTCTTGTCTATGAGGAAATTAAAGAGTGATTTGTATCATGATGAAATTTGGTGTGTGTACACCTTAAAACTATGGTCATTTGAAAATTAAGATTGTGAAATTACATTACTTTTACACCGGTGTAGAACGTACGGAATGTCAACGCATGTGTGTATTGACTTTTGATTTGGTCTAAATAAAGTAAACACTGATTGAGTTGTACTGAAATTATGTAGCCAAATAATTTTCCGATATGAGGATCAACACTGCAGCCTCATTTATATGCAATAATTTAATATACAGTACTTTTTTCTTCTTTGACTTTGCTCGTCATTGGACCTCTAGTTTTATGGTTATTTCTTGAGCTTTATTATAATTATTATGGGAAGCATTTAGAGCATAACCAAATGCTATGTGGGAGTGATAAAGACTTCATGAATCGAATAGGGCTTAAAATGAGATGATGATTATTTATCAATGAAATTAAATTTCCAAAAAGAAAACCCAAATGCTAGCGTTTCCAGAAGCATTGCAGAGTCCCTTATGGTACACATTAGTGGTGTCAACTGGCCAAACTGCTCTTTGATTATTATAGAAGCGCACTAAGGCACATTCATCCAGGCTAGCTGGCTGTGTTAGATTCTCCATTATAAACACTCACCAAACTCTATCTCTAAAAGGGGATGGAACTTAAAATTAATAAATAGGAATAATGGAGTGGGTGTGTGTTGTTCATCCAGCTACTTAATTAAGTACTACATCAGTCACTTGTACTTAAAAAAAAAAAGAAACAAAATTAAAAAGGGTTCTAGAATTTTTCAACTTGGGATCATGGTCACAAAAGTTTTTTCAGGCCTATAAAAAGTTTTGTTTCAATGCTTTAATTTTGTTGTATTCATTTGATACTGAGAAAAGCTCCCAAAAAGAAAGCCTTCAGAGAATGTCGAAACAAATTGTAATCAGTTTCAGCCTTTTGGTTATTCATGTTCTGAGTTTTATGGCTTCTGCAGCCAACTTTAGTGATCTCTTTATTCCAGTTTGGGGATCAGATCATATTGTCACTCAAGAAAACCAAACTTCACTATATCTTGATCAATCCTCAGGTAATATTAAGTAATTATTATCAAACACAATGTATAAAAATATTCCATTTACTGATTAAATAAATTAATTTCTTTCATTGTTGATTTCTCCTATATGTATTTTGTTTAGGTTGTGGATTCGTGTCGAAGAGTAAATATTTGTTCGGCAAAACCACTGCACAGATTAAACTAGTTGAAGGTGACTCTGCTGGAACTATCACAGCATTCTATGTAAGTTCATACATTTCGGCCAATTTACGTTGACTTCTCTTTTCAATTAGTACGTGATTAAATTAAGCTAATCGAGTTGATTATCACGATATATTCATGAAGTTGTCATCGGAGGAGCCTTACCACGACGAGCTAGACTTCGAATTTCTTGGGAATGTTTCCGGCCAACCTTACCTTATACAAACCAATGTGTTTGTCAATGGCACAGGAAATAGAGAACAAAGGCATAAGCTATGGTTTGATCCAACCATTGGCTTTCACAACTACACTTTCTTCTGGAATCACCAATATATCTTGTTAGTAATTATACCCTAAGCGCGCATTTCATTCGTCTTTCTTTTTTTTTAGTTACGATTTCAAATTTCAGACTTCAGACTTATCAAACAGACGGATACTAAATAAGTTATTTGGATTGTGCTAAATTTGACAGATTCCAAGTTGATGACATCCCAATAAGAATGTACACAAATGAGGAATCAAAAGGTGCTCCATTTCCAAAAAGTAGGGCTATGGACATCCATGGATCATTGTGGAATGGTGAAGATTGGGCTACACAAGGAGGAGCTATAAAGACTAATTGGAGTAATGCACCATTTGTTGCAAAATTTGGTTCATTCGAGGTTGATTCATGTGCAATGGCAGCTGAGACGCAATTTGATGTATTAAAATGTGGGAAGAAAGGAAAATTTTGGTGGGATAAGTCAACATATAAGAAGTTGGACAAGAAACAGCAGGCTAAGCTCAAATGGGCACAAACCAATCTTTTAGAATACGATTATTGTAAAGATACGGCTCGGTTTGGTAATCAGATGCCGAAAGAATGCCCAAAGAAGTCCACTAAAACTAAATAAATTGCCAGTTCATGAAATGAGCAAATCTTTATTTGTATATGTATTTCATCCATGTAATTAATTATATCATAATTTACATTTTTTTTTGTTAATAAATTAGGCCTGTTTTGGGTTAGCAAATTGTAAACTACATTAGGCATAGTTTCACGATAGACATAATTACCGCTATTATATATAGCATTGGAATCAAACTTGGTGTTAGGGGGGTTCACGGTTTGACTCAATCCGGTAGAACCGTCCAAACCGGTTATCGGTTTGAATTAGCGAGCGGATTATAAGTGAATTTTTAATTCGGTGGATTAAAATTTGAAAACCGGTCATACCGGTCCGAATTATGGTTTGGCACTGTCAAATCGTCTGTCAATCCGGACCGAACAATATATATTATTAAATAATAATATAATGATTTTGTATATGTAGCTGCAGATGATGACTTATAATGAAATTGTCAAATTGTCTGATTAGTGTTATTGTTCTTCCTACTCTTAAATTTCGTTGAGGTTGCGAGTTCGAGTCCCCCACGACTAAATTTTTTTTCTCCTATTTTTCCTTTAAACCAAGCCCCCAAAAAAGGCCAAAAAAAAAGGTCTAATAACAAAAAAAAAAAAAATTCAATTTGTGGTCCATAACGGAAAAATCCAATTAGAAGTCCAAACCGTCAATCCGCCCAAATCAATCCGTTCATAACGGATTAAATTGGTCCAGTTTAGACATCAAGTCGGTCTGATTACGGTTTAAAATTAATTTTAAACCGTAGTGAACGGCTTGGTTACGGATTACGATCAATCCGGATCAATCTGGTTCGTAAACACCCCTACTTGGTGTCATATCAAAGAGAGTAAACGACATGGTTTACTCGAGCACACTTAACTTCAATTGTTCATAGATAAAACAAGAAGTGGATCCTAATTATTTTTTTGTAATTAATGTCTTTTAGGGGAAACATGACATTACTAAACTACTATAATTTTTATTTTTTTATTTTTTTCAGTATTCACCATTAATAATAAGAACTAATTCTCATCGCTCATTTAGGACATCATAAGAGGTTTTTCTATGCACCTGCTACAACATGATTATCGATAATTGAATTTTGCTTCCAATTGTGAGCGTCATGGTTTAGGAATTAAACTGCGATTGGAATATTATTCGGTATATCAGCTTGATATCAACTTTTACATCCTTTCTGTGTTTAAAAAACAAAAAAAAAAAAGAAAAAAGAAAAGGAAAAAGAAAACGAAACCTAAAACCTATTTGGGAGTGGGAATTGAGTGAATTCTCACCCGATCAAGATATCCAATCCTTTTAGAGCTTCTTGAAAGTAAAAAAAAAATAAAAATTAAAAATGGTGATATTTGGCTGAAATCTGAATCCTTTTACTAATAGGATCTGAATTTGCAATTAGGAAATAATTGTTCTATATATAGCCGAGGAATGTGATCAATAGGGCTCACATAATTCCCGTACGTCTTCTTGTTTTCTAAGTGAAATTCTCTCCAAGCAGACAAACGAAAAAAACCCTAATCTCTTTATTTTCTTTCGCAACAACAAATCGGAGAAGATCAAAGATGGTACCCAATCTAGAGTGCCGGATGTACGAAGCCATGTTGCCGGAGGTAGACCAGCCGGTGATGATCGAAATCAAGAGGATCGACAGCCAGATGGCGGTGTACGTCTCCTTAGTGGAATACAACAACATTGAAGGCATGATGTCCCTCATGGAGCTCTCCCGCACCCGAATCAGGAGCATCAACCGGGTCGTCAAGGTCGGCCGGGTCGAACCTGCCATGGTCCTCAAGGTGGAAAAGGACAAAGGCCACGTCGACCTCAGCAAACGAAGGATTTCCAACGTGGAGAGAGCGGCTTGCGAAGAAAGGTACAACAAGAGCAAGCTGGTCCACTCGATCTTGCGCCACGTGGCAGAGACGGTCGAGATTGACCTAGAAGATTTGTACGTCCACATCGGATGGCCTTTGTATAGGAAATACGGTCACGCTTTCGAGGCGTTCAAGCTGATGGTGACCGACCCGGATTCTGTTCTCGGTTCGATCGGTTTGATCGGTTCGGACAACTCGTCGGTTCGGTCGATCATCACCGATGAACTTAAGGATGCCTTAGTGAAGAATATCCGGGGAAGGATGACGCCTCAGCCGTTGAAGATTCGGGCGGATATCGAGCTCAAGTGTTTCCACTACGACGGCGTTCTTCACATTAAGGAAGCCATGCGGAAAGCCGAGGCGGCCGGCGACGAGGATTGCCCGGTGAAGGTGAAGCTGGTGGCTCCTCCGGCGTACGTGATGATCACGCAGACTCTGGATAGGGTGCGTGGATTGGAAGTTTTGAACAAGGCGATCGAGGCCGGAACCGAGGAGATTGAACGACACAAGGGGAAGTTGGTGGTGAAGGAAGCTCCTAGGGTTGTGAGTGAACGTGAGGATAGATTGCTTGCGGAACAAATGGCTAAGTTGAGTAGTCAAAATGCGGATATTAGCGATGATGATGAAGAGGAGGAAGAAGAAGGCATGGGAGAGATTGATCTGGATAAGGGGCAAGGCATCATTGAATGAAATGGAAAAAACCCACACACAAGCATTTGATCTATCTCATGCATGTTTCGGCCCTCACTTCATGCGTTTCTTTAATTTCTATCAAACTATCAAAAAATTATGTACTCGATCTTTTATTCTATTCAAAGGATTTTAATATTATATGTCTGTTTTGAATTCAATGAACGTCTTTTTGTTTGATCATATTCCTAAAGTAATCTACACCTAACTAGAAGTGAAAATAAATAATCTAACAGAATTAAATTTAAACTTGATGCGTGTTGAATGTAATTGGAATCAGGTTTGAATCTCTTTAAGAGATGGTCTTATTTTTCGTCAAATTTTATTGCCGATTAAAAAATGTGATGAACAAGGAAGATTAAAATGATTGTAGTTTGTGTGACGAACAAGTTAATTAATCAATCCACAAATAGAACGATGTTACATATGGAAATTGCTCTAACTCTTTGGATTATTGAATTATCTTTTTGCACCTATGAGCTATATTTAGCTCAATGTCGAGAATTTGCTCAACTCTTTTAGTTTAGTAGCCCTAACAAAATAAATACAAATGAAGTTAGTAGTTCAACAAAAATAACAACATGGCATGGAGCAGTTTCAAAGGATCAGAGAACTACTACAGCTACAGTGACAAGTCTGGTTAACCAATTAAAGTACAATATCCGGGAAACCAATTTTGCTAGCGACTATTAAAGATAAAACTCGATGGAGAGTAAGAAGATTACAGGAACCTCATAACAGATTAAGCCTTGGCTGTATCAAGACATTATGGGTGTGGCACACCCTAGGAATGTAATAATGTGATTTAGGTTCTTGCCTCCCTCCTTTGTACCAAAAAAAAAAAAAAAAACTGATGACAAAAATTATAATACAATAAAATCGTAGGGAGTAAATGTGCAAATTTCAGTATGGCAATTGGAGGAAATACTCGCATCCTGAAGAACAACTGAAAGTGCAGACTTATCCTTTTAACGTCTTTGCCGCGAATTCCCCTTTTCCTCAAGCCTCCATCTGCCGGAATGTCTTGCGCCATTGGCGTTTCCCTAACCTCTCAAAAACCCAACCCATTTGTTTGCGCTTCTAAGATTTCTGCAACTTCTACTAATTCACCCTTTTGGAATAGCTTCAGACCATTTCCTCTGTTACTTTCTTCTTCTTTAGCGGGCCAATGTCAGTTGGCATGGGTTGAGCAAAAAATTAGACCCTTTTCGAGTAAATGCAGAAACAGATTTGAATTTTATGCATTATCTTCATATTCGGAGGGATGTAATTGGGTAAGGGTTGATACTGAGAATGATCAGAATTTGGAGGTTGGAGATGAGTTTATTGTGGTGAATTTCTACCATTTAGTCTTTATTGAGGATCCTGAAGAAGAAGTGTCCAAACATCTGTCCTTCATTCAGGTTATCGTATTCACCATTCTCACTTTTCTTAGTTTTTCTCAGTAGTTTTGTACTCTGCAATGTTTGTTGTTCTTGTTTTGAGGGTTTGAAGGAGTGTTTCTTTTTCTGTGCTTTTCTCTTCTATATAAGTGAATGAACTCCAACACTTGGTACTGTAGTGAGTTTACTGCAAGAACATGGGAGCTTTAATTGAACATATTTTCTTTGCGGATGAACTATGGTTCTTTTTATTAGGTGTGTCTTGATTCCTGCTTGGGAAATTAGGTTGCTTTTTCCAATCAAGCATCTCTAGAATACGTAGTTCAATGTTTGGGTATGTATATGTGTAGTTATCATGACGATTAAACAAAGGCGAATACTTTGACGAGTGTGATAACTGTTATCTTTGCTGATAATGATCATGATCATTTCAGGGTCGTAATATACATGGACGAATTTACCTGAATGAACAAGGGATCAATGCACAGGTGGGCCTATTACCTTCCATTTTATTGATTTGTAATCTTATTTACTAGAAACTTATTAGAGCTCACATGTTATATTTAATAGTTAGGGAATGCCTGTGGTAACAAGTTCAGTTTGTACAAAAAAGGGTTCATCATCTTATAGTTAACCCCCAAAGTATTGTTTGTAATTGGTCGCATTGGTATATGAAGGTCTTTTACTCATTTTCCAGTGTTTTCAGTTGGGTTAGGTTATCCAAAGGATTCATGCATGCACCAAATATTGGTTGATGTAAACTTAATCTATGTCCAACAATCAATCCCAGAATTCTAAACTTGATTTGGTAGACACCCAGATTCATCTGTATAGTTTCCAACTCCAGGATGCATGAGACGATTTCATAATGTCAAAGTTGTTGAATTTAGAACTTGACATATGTTCTTCTGCCCTTACACATTACCTTGATGCAGTACAGTGGACCAAGCAAAGATGCTATTGCATATCTTAACTGGGTTAAAGAGGACAACAGATTTTCAGATATACTGGTTCAGATCTCACCAGCTCCAAATGGCCATGCGTTTCCCAGGTTGAAGCTTCGCTATAAGCCTTCACTTGTGCAGGTTAGTTGGGTTAGGATTTTGCTATGCTATTTGTCAATGTCTTATTTTTCCAAAAGTTAAGAACTTATAATTTCCTTTAGTTTTTTCTTTGTAATATTTTGTGCAAAGCCTGTTTAGTTGATGATAGGATCATTACATAAATTCTGCGGATGGGTTCACTTACAGTGAATGCTATTGTCTAATCTTCTTAAAGGGTCTCGGATAGACAACTTGCTTAATTCCCTCCGTAGATTGCTTAAATCCTAGGTTCAGCCTATACTGCCTCATCGCTGATTGTAATAAGTTCCTTAGACTTGTACCAGAAATGATTCTATATTTTTTCCATTAATATTTAGTCTGATGCTGTAATGGTGTCTAAAAAATGTTATATTGTCACGCGGGTGCTTGTTTGGTTGTCAGCCTTATATATATGTAGTCTAAGAAAGTGATGGGTAGTCATTGCAAAGGGAAATATATGAACTTTTATGCTTGCTCTGCAGTTGGGGGAAGGATTTTCACAACTTCCATTACTTGAGCCTTCAGTCCGTGCAATACCTCTCACACCTAGCCAGTGGAGAAATAGATTGGAGGCAATGAAAGAGGTCCAGAATTCTTCAGATAGTGTTCAAAACTGTATACTTCTTGATGTGAGAAATGGTATGTATTTCTATTCGGGGTTGCTTTTCTTCTACACAACAAAAGAAGCAATTTGATGCATATAGTGAATCCAGTAAAGTATGATTTTACATGATAGCCAAAATGATAGTTTCCAAGGGCTTTGATCTGATCATAGTAATCTGTCTCACTGGGGATACTGGTAGGGGCAGTATGTTTTGTTCTGATGATGGCTGTAAATTTGTGTGTTTAATGTCAATTGCAAGTAGAGACAGACCTGTGAGCAGAAATTGTCGTGAGCTAAGACTAGATAGTTACCTTTGTTGACTTGAATCTGCTTGAATTTGGAGGGGTTGAATGATTCTTCAAGAGAGATAAAAGTTTCTTAGAGGTCCAAATGGCACAATATAAAAGCATGTACAGTATGTTTTCTACTTTTGTTGGAAAAAGTATTCCTTTTGCTGTTCCTGTAGATGTCCAATTCTCGTATTTCTTCTTTATTTTGAGAGTACTGATGAAATGAGACTGCATAGAGTTTGTGTAGATCAAGGAGAAAAACCTCTAAATAACCATTTTCCACTCCACTATACTGATGTATAATGTGGTTGACAACTTGATGTATAATGTCTTTCACATCTTAACTCCCGTTTGATGCTCATAAAAGCTGCTGTCTACTTGTGAAAGGTTATGAATGGGACGTTGGTCACTTTCATGGTGCGCAAAGACCTGATGTGGACTGCTTCAGGAGCACTTCTTTCGGGTCATCTGAGTCACAGGTATAGCCATTTCAAATATGGTGTTGGACCTTTTTATGGTCCTTGATTTCTTTAACCATGCAGTGGTTAGATCTTGCTAAGCTCACATGTTCGTTTAATAGATTTGTGACTTAGTAAAGATAACTTCATTAGATTTTTAAATCTTGGCCAGCTACAAAAAAAAAAAAAAAAAAACGGACTCGGGTACAGGTGTCCGGTACGGCCGGGATCTGAGTGTCGAATTCTTCAATTTTGTAGAAAAAAATTCAAAGTGGAGAGTCCGGGTAACATAAACATGGAAGCAGAACATGGATAATGTTTTCTGCCTTTTTCTTCTCTCTTTCAATTCTTCAAGGTGGCACAAAATTCCTTGTTCAGTTGTATTTTTTAGTAAGGTGTGATGTTGCAATGATTCATGTGCTTCCATGAAGTTTCTTTTTGAGGCCCAAACATCTTCATCTACAAAAAGTATTAAATGCACCTTTATTTTCTGCTTTTAAAGTTTTCCGTGATTTCTATGCCTTAAGGTAGTATCTGTGCCCAAATTACAATTTCATGTACCAAGTCCTATCTGAGTGATGCTTAAATTCTGTTTGTTAATTTGGTTGCATCAGGTGTGTGCATCAGATCCTTTAGCTACTGTGGACAAAGAGAAAACAGATATACTGATGTACTGTACTGGAGGTATCCGATGTGATGTTTACTCTGTAATCCTTAGGTAGGCCCTTTTGCAATTCAGTTTGCTCTCAACTCTTTATATGTGTTTCTTGTCCTGATGTTTTCTTACTGAAAGTAACCATTTTCTGGAGAATGACAATTTCATGAAACCAAGACCTTGCTTGAAGTGTAAATTTGTTGACTTATCACTTTAGTGGCAATGAGAATTGAACCTGAATTTTTTTTTCCTTTAGGGTATCAGTTTATCTAACAGCTTAGACTGTGAAGAGTTAACTGACAATAAGGTTTTTGTGTCTTTCTTACATGCCAGACAAAGAGGCTTCAAAAGATTGTATACACTGAAAGGAGGCGTTTCTCACTATCTCAAGAATGAAGGATCAGTGGGATGGGTTGGAAACTTATTTGTTTTTGATTCTCGCCTTGCTTTACCTCCTTCTACATACAAACCCAACTTAGAGACCGAAGCAAGCAGATCAGAAGTTCCCCAGGATCATTCATTTGCAAAATGTTACATATGTGGATCCATTGTGTCAGAACTGAAGCATCGGAACTGTGCAAACCTTGATTGCAACCTTCTTTTCCTGTAAGTTCTGGAAATGGAATTATTCCACCACAAAAGATCATCGAAACAAACTAATTATTCCTTCTAGACAGTCTTGATTGTATAAAATTGTCAAGTACAATGATATGTCAATAGATGAAATAGAAATCATTCTCTGGAAAGATCTAGAATAACAAGCTTCCAGACTGCAGTATTATTCAATGTAGTACTGGAAAGTGGACTTATCTGGTGCTACACTTGGCATTTTGGGCAAATTTTAAACTGTCAAAATGGACTTACAGCACTTTTTTTCCAGATGCTGCATGGCCTGTGTTGAGCAGTTACAAGGATGCTGCTGTATGAAATGCACATCTGCCTCTCGGCTTAGACCAGTGCTACCAGGACACCAGAGATACCAGAAGTGGCATAATTATCGAGATTTGGAGTTAGAGACGACGATAAAGACTTCATAATAAACTTCATAATATACTTTGCTGGCTGTGTGATTCTTTAGCGATTTCTCAAAGCGGAACTGTCCAAGGAAGAGCCAAAGGAGGACCTTCCAACACCTCCAGGTACGGTGAAAGGAAGAAGTAAATAGATTGAAGTATCAGACCATGGCAGCTCTTTCGACTAAAGTGAAATTTTGTTAGGTTATTTGGTATTTAGCCATGGAATGAAAATAAATAAATATATCAGGTGGTTGCTTGAGATGGTGCCATGGCTGAGATTGTATACCATCGTTTTGAAACATAAACGATTGTTTAGATATTCAAACTGAACAATTAAAGGAGACATAAACAAAATGGTATTCATGTTCCAGTTATTATGTACTCACATGTGATTAAAATGTCAAAGTTGTGTTGATATTGGATTGAATCCATTGTATCTGAGAATAAGTTGCCTGTATATTTTTAGGAGAGTATAGTTTTGATAATGAGAACAGAATCAACAACGGAAGCTTTCCATTATTCTCCAACACCTCTCCCCCCCCCCCCAAAGGCTAATTTATTAGTTAAAGGCGCGATTTTAGCGGTTGGGCTACAAGCGCCTTCTCTGGCACAAGATCAGTTTGGTTGGAGGCCCTCAAACCCACGCCTTCCTTCCCAAACCTACAATTTCATTTGCAAAAAACAAGAAAACAAAATCGGAAAATCATCATCGTCAACCCCTCTTTTAAAAGGGGAAAACCAGAATCAATTCACTGCGGAAAAAACTGTTTCAGGCTTTAAATATCAGCTGTAAGAACCACTGTGTGACTGTGTGTGAGTGAGAAAGAAAGAAAAGAAAAAAGAAGAGATGTCGGACGCATACGAGAGAGCTAAGGGAGGGAGGCTAACATTCAAAGGGGGAGTCTTGGCGACGAGATCCAAAGACATCGACAAGAAGAAGAAAAAGAAGAAGAACAAGGAGGACAAATCCCTAAACGACGACGTCGAATCTCTCCCGGAGGATCCCAATCAGCCGTCGACGGCCGGTTCAGCCGATATTTACACAATCGACGCGGCGAAGAAGATGAAGTACGACGAATTGTTCCCCGTTGAAGCTAAGAAGTTCGGGTATGACCCGAAAGCTAAATCCAAAACCGTCGAAGAAGCCCTCGACGACCGGGTCAAGAAGAAAGCCGACCGTTATTGCAAATAATAAACTAGTCTAATTCACAACTCTGTAACGAGAGTGGTAGTCTTCTTTTGTACTATCTATGAGCTTTGGGTTTTCTAGGGTTATGAATTTATTTGAATTCATCTTATGAAATACAGTATGAGGTCAGATTATTGTGTTATTCTGTTTCTCTGTTCTTTGATCAGCAATATCTATCCCTATCAGTAGTATACTTTTCTGGGTTTTTGCCATAGTTTTATCAAGTAGAAACTCACAAGTTTACTGAGAAAGTGAGCCACTTTTTTGCAGTTTAAATTCTTTGTTCCTGAATATGATTGATGATTCAATAGATAGTAGGTATAAATATCTGCTTACATTACATAATTCCAGAGCTATTTCTGGATTACCAGTAATCACCACATGAACAAAAGCCATCCCTGAAATGGTGAAACCTACTTGAATCTCTGACTGTAATTTCCCTCCCAGTTATCTTTGAGATGATCTTGATTGCAGCATGACAATCTGGGCAAGCTCGCAAGTTCTTCATAATCACAATTGGTGATCCTTCAGGGGTACCCATTAGTGCAAAGGCAATAGCTAATTTTTCACTGTGGTATTTGAGGGACTCTATTTTCAGTTCATCAGCCTCATCGTGAAGGGCTAAACTCAAGTCAGGTTTGTAGCCTGCCTCCTCCATCCGTATCCAGAGATCATCAATTTTTCTCTGGATCCCTTTTATTTGTGGATGATTCATATCATTTGCGCTGAATGTGTGAATCTTGTGCTCTATCTCAACCCAGCTGTAGCCTGTCATCTTCTTTACGCCTCGTTGCCTCATGGCCTTCTTGAGAGTGGCTACATTTTGCCAGTCACCTGCTTCAGCGTATATGTTGGACATAGAGGCATAATCACCACCATCTCGAATGGTTTTATTGTTGAAGAGCTTTTCTGCAGCCTTTTCCGCAAGGTCCTTCTTCTTATGGATCCTACACGAGTTCAGAAATGATGACCATATAATCTCATCCGGCTCAAATGGCATTTCGGCCATTATCTTCTCGGCTTCAGTGAATTGTCCCTTCTTGCAAAGTGTGTTAATCAGTGATGCATAGTGTTCTTTCTTTGGCACAATATTATAGGTTTCTGCCATGGAGTTGAAAAACTCCATTGCTTCTTGAACGAGCCCACTGTGACTGCAAACTGTTAAGACACTGAGAAAGCTGACTGAATCTGGATTTAGTCCAGATTGAATCATCTCTCTGAAGGACCTAAACGTGGAATGGGCATCCCCATTCTGAGCATAAGCTGAGATCAGGGCATTCCAAGAGACAATGTTCCTAGCGGGCATCTCCTGGAAAACTCGAATTGCATCTCTTATGGAACCGCATTTAGCATACACGTCAAGAAGTGCACTAGTGCAGAAGACACTTGTCATGAAACCCATTCTGGTTATGCATGAATGTAATTGGTTGCCAAGTGAAAGCGAAGCCAAATTTGCTGCTCCTCTGAGAGTGCTTGCATAAGTCACCTGGTCACCCTGGAGATTATCTCTACGCATATCATTGAACAGGGCTACTGCTTCTTCATACAGCCCTTTTTGGACATTGGCTGATATGATAGCTGTCCAAGGAACATTGCTTCTGCAAGCCAGATTTCTGAACAAATAATCTGCATTCTCATATTCATCACATTTTGCATACATATCAATGAGGGCATTGCCAACTAGAGTTTCTGATATCGCTGTGGTCACTAAGGTGTGAGCATGAATCTGCTTTCCCATCTCCAGGTCAAATGTATTTGCTGCAATGCTTAACAATGTTGGGAAAGGAAACTGTTTTCTGTCAAACGTGGTGAGCTGCAATTTGCGAAATAGATCCACAGATTTGTTGTAGAGTTCGTCATTTGCATAGCTCGCAATCAGTATATTGTACGAAACACCATCCAACTCTGGCATCTCATAAAAAAGTTTCTCAACATCACTTGAAGAACCATTCTTGGAGTAAAAATCTAAGTACGCATTTCCAACAAACACATTTTGGACAAAGCTACTCTTAATCGCAAGGCCATGAACCTGCTGACCTAGACTCAGTCCTTCAAAGCCAACTATGGCACCCAATACAGCTGCAAAGGTGAAATCTGAAGGCTTTAACCCCATGTACCGCATTTCCACAAAAAGCTTTACCGCGTTGTTATTCATCCTATGCTTTGCATACCCTGTTATCATCGTATTGAAAGTTACAGAATCTCTTTCCAACATCCCGTTGAAAAGCTGTTTCGCCTGGGAGAGCGATCGACACTTGCAGTAGGAATCCAACAGACTGTTGCAAAGAACAGTCTCGGAATCAAATCCCATCTTGATTACATGGCCGTGAACCTGAACCACCTCCAACAGCGCCTCCGAACCATCACAACAACCCGACAATAGGGTCGTGAAGGTCACTTGATCAGGCTTCTCCGTCCCTACCTTGCACATTTCAGCATAAAGACCAAAAGCAGATAAAAACTGATTTCTCTGCGAGTACGCCCCCATCATAACCGTCCACGACACAGCTGTCCGAGTAACCATTCCGTCGAACAACTCTTTTGCAGTACTTATATCGCCTGATTTGATGTATCCCTGCATCATCATGTTGATTGAATATGCGTTCTTATTAGGCCTTTGGTCGAACAGTTGATGTGCTTCAGTTACTTTGCCATTGTTCACTAGACTCTTAAGCTGAAAATTAAAGCGCATAATATCCGGATTGAAGCCAGTTTTAATTGCCTTAGCATCAACTACCCGATCCTCAACAAAGGGTTCAATTCTCGAGTTTATTCTTGCGATTTTCAATGAAGAAGAAGAAGAAAGAGAACAATACCGTATGTGGGTTTTTTGAAGAACTTTTCTAGCTTGATTAATACCACTACTGCTATAACCAGCAGCCATTGAAAATGATGATTTTGATTTGAAGCTCCCGCGAGGCAGAGATAACTGTTTTTGAAGGCGTGGTTTCTTAACAACCGTAAGCACTGTGAAAAAGCCTTCATATAAAAGAACCACAATCACGCCTTTTTGTTCATGACGAAACTATATATATCTATATATGGAGATCTTCCCCCATTGAAGAAAAAGTCATTTTGGTTTCTGAAAACCCTAACTTCTTCTTTCAATGGCGACCAAAAAGCTTCGAACAGAAATGGAAGACCTGTCGGAGTCGATTCTACAACATATATTTTCGTTCCTGAATTTCACGGACGTGATTCGTGCTTCTGCAGTCTCGAGGGCTTGGCTGAATGCAGTCTCCACCCTGCAATGCTTGAATATCACTGATGATTTCATTCGGCCATTGAATTCAGTGAACCGTTTTGACCAATCGGCCAGGGAAAGGAAGATGCTTCCAAAGGAAATGGTGAGATCCATGCTGGTTTCTGCCGGATGCTTTATTCTGAAAGCCAAAGAACATAACTTGCAAATTAATCAGTTCAGGTTTAAATTCCGAGGTAAGCTTTCTTATTTCGTGCCATATTTGATGCAATGTGTGAATTTAATTGGGACGGAAAACGTCAGAGAGTTCGTATTGGATGTTGGAATTGGTGGTGGTAGGTTGTCGGATTACTCCTTGCCTGTATCTGTTTATGCTGCCCATTCTCTGCATAAGCTTGTTGTTCGAGGATTAAAGCTTTCATTAGTAGGTATTCGTGGAATAAATCTTCCTTCACTGAGGGAGTTGGATTTGAGTTGTTGTCAAGTTGATGATGAGTTCTTTGAGCAACTAATCATGAAATGTCCCCAACTGGAGAATTTCAAAATTGAAGATTGTTTTGGTTTCCGTGTTTTTAAAGTATTAGGATCACATCCGAAGTTGAAAAAGATTGATTTGATGAAGGATGAAGAACAAGACTATCTTTATTGCCATGCTCCTGAAGAAATCCAAGAAATTGAGATTAGAGAAGCTCCAAATCTTGAGTACTTTCGCTACTGGAGCAATGATGATGACTTATTAGAAATCCTCGACATAGGAGCCTGTGTAAATTTGAAGGTTCTTGATTTGACTGCTTTATGTGGCAGCCACAAGTTGCTCGAGTCAGTTGAACATCTTGTCTCGCATCTTAGTGTCCTTGAGGAATTCACATTGCACTTGTTTACATGGATTCACAGTTCTACGGAGTTGCAGAGTATTAAAATCTCAAGCGACAGTCTTAGAAAACTGTGGTTAGGATTTGTCAATAATCCAGTGGATGTTCGAGTGGATGCACCTTATTTGTCTGAAGTCTTTTATTTGGGGTTTATATCATCGAATCTGTCATTTGGAACATCATCAATAAAGGATGCTAACTTTGTTAAATGCGGTGAAGACAAAATATCCTCGTTTTATGAACTTGTGGAGTTCCTCAAAACTTTTAATCATATTGAGGCCGTGAAGTTGGACGACTTTGCACCTCGCGACTTGGCAGTTCCAACAGATCTGGACTTTTTTGATCCTCCTCTTTGGGACATCAAACACTTAACTGTAGGTGCGCGTTATTGCTGCGGTAATAGCTATATACCAGTTGACTTGGACATGTTGAAGAGTTTGCTTTGGATGGCACCTCGATTGGACACTCTATCCTTTGTTAATGGTTTTAAATCTGCAGTAACTTTTCAATTTATACATGGGAATCCTGAGATCAACGTGGAGGAGGTCCCTTTCATCTGTCGGAATAACAAAGTTGTTAAGGTTAAAGTTGAAAGCTGCCCAGGTTCTGCAGAAGGATTGGGATGGAAGAAGTACCTTTTTAATGGTGAGAAATCCTTGGGTTGCAGAATTAAACAATTGAAGGTTCAGGTGATGTCGAAGTTAAGTGGTGAATGATTGGAATCCCCTCAAGATGTTCAAAATGTGCAAAGTTATGTCTTCGATTCTGAAAAACCATAAGTTTTGATTGAGGTGAATGCAAGCAATAGCTCGGTGGGCATGATCGAGACCCCTTTTGTTTTCGGTTATTGTAGATGTGTTTAAACTAGTCATCTACAGGCGTCGTCTTCTTATTATTGAGTAATGAACTCTCTCCAATTCATTAGGAAGTTAACCTTTTGTTTAGCATTTTCTCCGTTGTTTGAGTAAGACTTGTAGTCCTGGAAGTTCTTGCTATTTAAGCTTTTCATGCTACAGTATTGTAGTAGGTGAATCCATTTTTGTAGTATTCCTCTGTCTTAATGCTCTTTTTCTCTCTCAGATGATTTCATAAGCTAATCGCATTCAAGGATGAATGATTTAGAGGAATGTCCAGAACTCAGTCCTGTCATTCACATTTTTTGGGGGTCTGATCTCTCATTCTCTGCTTGGACTAATAAACATTACAGCAGTGATTAGTTAACATTGCATTTATAAAAACTTGCCGACAAAGATGTAAACACAGTGACTAAATCAGAAGAGTAGAACTACATAAATCCTGGAATTAATGAAACTATGACCATAAAATTCATAAATCAGAGGTTAATGAAACTTCACCATTTCATTATTAATTCCACTAACAGAACACAATGATTAAATTAAAATAAAGAAAAAAAAATGAGCCAAGGATCTAGCTTTTATGAATCTTTTGTGAATGAGAGATGAAGAGTGAGATGTCAGATCTCAATTGGGTCAACCGGTGAAGATCCAATGCAGCATATTGATCTTGCTGTTTTTGCACGAAAACTACATCGAAGATGCACTAAAACTGTATGAAGTTAGCTTGTTTTACTAAAGTTCAATCACTAATTCTGTGGGAGCAGAAACTAGTTTCTCTTCCTGTTCTTGATGCTCCAATGTCTCATGCAAAGGGGAGTTTCTTGTCTCAGGCAGCCACCAACTCAAGGCTCCACTTAAAATGGAAAGCAACCCAAAAATGAGAAAGCCTATATAAGGAATGAATCTGCCAACAGCCACCAACAGAGGAGCCATAGATGCCCCTAACATCAATGCTTGCCGCAACATTGAAACAGCGAAATTTCTCACATTCGTTGGGAAGAGTTCTACACAATAAATATACAGAACATCAAATGCAGTCGAAATTGCCATGAACCCAATCGCTTCAAGGATCAATTGTGGCCAGCTTCCTCCTGATTTATCTCCCACATTTGCAAATAATATGCAAAGGATGCTTGAAAATCCAGCTATGTAAGCAGATTGAGAAAAAATTACCCGGCGATCAGCCATGCTAAGTAATAAGCTACCGAAGAACACTGCAGGAATCTCCATCGTGGCGTTTACTGCTACTGTGAGGTATATGTTGAAGTTCAAATTTTCTACATTAAGTTGAAGGCCATAATATACAAAGCCAATTCCAAATCCTGTTATCATGACCAAAACAAATCTTCTGGCAGCCCATTTCGTGTTCCATATAGTCTTTTTTGGTAGAACTTCTTCGCCTGTGCTAACCTTTTTAGCAGCAAGAGAAGGCTCCAATAAGCATAGGTTCTCTGGCATTGCCCTGCCATTGATCCTTGCATATCTTTCCAATACATGAAGAGCTTCTTTGCTTCTTCCTCGAATGAGAAGCCATCGAGGAGATTCTGATACAAATGGCAGAAGTATAAAGACTGAATAAACAAGGGGCAGAATTGAGATGACCTTGTATATGTTTCTCCAACAAGTTCTAGCAGGGTATGCAATCACAGGAAGTGAAAGAAAGCCCGCTGTGAAGAAAAAGAAGCCGAACTGGCCAACTTGACCACGCCATTTTCGACCAACAGCTTCTGTAGACAGTACAAGACAACATATGCCAATGCCTGCTCTTGAAAAACCACTAGCAAAGCGGAAAAAGGCATATACCCATATGTTTGGTGATAGGGAGCAGACAAAAGTGGTTGCTGAGGTTAGGAGACATGAAATGACTAGTGCCCTCTTCCTTCCTAGTAATCCATCCGCCAGTCGACCAATTACAGCAGCCCCTGCATTGCAACATTCATCACATTTAGCCTGGATTCTTAGGTTCAGGTTAAATCTTTGCTGATTCTGATACCATTATTGTGGTAATTGCACCAAGTAAACAAGGAAGACAAAAATATGCCATCAAATTTAAAAATAAAGAGAAAGACACCATCCTGCTTCTACCAAAACTTTTTAAGCCTGTATCTTTTATTGAAGCAATGGAAATGGTATAATCTGATAGACACTTTACTATCAACTTGAAGAAAAGTGTTGTAGAAACAAAAAGAAGAAGACAAAAGGGGAATGGATTAGAACATTTTTACCAATTAGAGATCCAGGGAAGTAGAGTGAAGCTGGCAAAGCAGCAAGATATTTGTTGTCACAAATCAATCCCCACTCAGCAATAGTAGAACTTGAATTTCCACCAATCCATTCCCAAGTTCCTGGCTTCAATCCACAAACTGAAGCAGCAGCAGCATTACCAGAATTACTTTGGCATGACGACGACGGCGATGAGCTAATGCATCTCCATTCAGCAGGCTGAGCATCAGTAAATATAGTGACTAAAGTACTATGAGCATCAAAAATCCATGTTACTGATACCAAAAAAACATGCAACAACTGAGATATTCCAAATGATCCAACATATTCCTCTATAACTTGATCCACAGTCAATTCCAACTTCTCTGGAATCGACGTATCATGATTCGAAAAGAACCCTTTTTCCACAGTGTTTGATCCTACTAGTTCTTCCCTCTCTTCTTCCATGACAATGTACCTCAAAAAACTACCAAACCCTTATGACTAGGAATCTTTTTTTTTTTGTTTGTTTTTTTGTTCGTTTTTTGGTCAATTTTCCATTGATGTTGAGAAGTGGACTGGTGGAGAGAACACATGGGAATCCAAGTGTGTGTCCACCTGACTTTCTTCCATACTTTTGAGGCTTATACATATAATATATGCATCTTATCAAAAGCCGAAAGCTGCCTCTCTTGCAGTCCATTAGGATTAGCAGATATGCTTTTCTTCTTTTCGTTTTTTTTTTCCCCCAACTTTTATATATGCGTATTGTACGATGTCTCGAATTCAACTGATGTAAGCTAAGTTGTGCTTATTAGTTACCACATTAATTCACCATTTTCAGGTTCAGAAAGAATCCACTAAAATCAAGGGTTTTAATATTTACAAACATGTACATCTTTCCTTTCTCGAGTAAAGTATAAACTAAAAATGTCGCGGGTGGAGTTTTCCCACTAGTACCGCACTAGTTGTTTAGCTCAGTCAAATATACTACAATTGTCACTCAGCTTAACTAAAGAAACCCTGGTAAAATGTTTGGGGGAGAACTTCTCTTAAAACTTTTGTTCAAATGTTCTGCTTAAAGAGCTTATAATTTAATACATGAATTAGTTCATTGATCAACGGTAGGTATACACAATGAAGAATGTTAGATTTATGAAAAATTACTATTATAATGATAGTTGCCCAGAAGATTGGATAATGTTTTAAACCTTGTGCGGTTTAATATTTTCTATCTGTCCCAAAATTATTGTCAAAATGAAAATATAAAGTGGACAATAATTTCGGAAAAGAAAGTGAGTATAAGAATATTCAAAGACAGATTTTAAAGTTTACTTCCTGTTTGCAAACCCATACAAAGATTTTAAATTAGTCGATTATATTCCAAACTTCGACAACGTGGAGGATTTCACCGCATAAGTGGCAAAACACAAACTCTGATCTGACCCGTATTTCCAATTTTTAGAAATTTGTATAATAGGCTAAATGTAAATTTTTCGAGATAATACATTCGCATAATATGCGGTAAGAACCAAGAAGTTATTCTGTTTGGTTCGTTTTTTCATTGGTTTTTTCAGAATAATATAATAATAATTGTTTCATTTTATTATACTTTTTTATATTTCCAATACACATTTTTACATTTTTAATTGAAAACACACCTAAAAACACACTAAAAAACGATCCAAACATATATTCCCACATAAACGACATTAACTATTATGGCACCCAACAAAAAATATGTTTTCTCACAAAAAAAAAAAAAACCAAAATAGAGTGTGTTTTTCTTTTGTCGTTTTAATTAATTTTTGTTTTTGAAACAGTCGTTTTAGTTCTAAATATATCCGAATATTTCGAGGGAATAGCAAAGAGTAGACAAAAGTCGTAGTTCGTTTCTCTCGTTGGTTACCGGAAGTGGGAAAATTGAAACGTGACCAAACGTTGTCGTACGGATCCATATACTTCCTCTCCAACGCCGTCTACCACCTCCCTTAACATCCTCCTCCGCCCTCTTCCCAGCTGCTGCAAAAGGTGATCATTAGAGGTGACCACCAAGCCCCTATGTGTTTATTGTAAAATGCACGTGCCATGATTACGATTAAGTACTACGAGTATCAGTGGGTTTGTATGAAACTTGTTCTGTTTTGAGAGTTCCATGTCTGAATTATGCCGTTGAAATCTCTTCTGATTCTTACTCGAAACTTTGTCTGCTGAATGTTTGTGACTTTGATGCTGTATGTCTTGTTGCATGCAAACTGTTTGATTGTTGGCTTTATTTTTGTGGTGAATGGTGGGGTTTAATTACAACAGTTGAGATTCCTCTCCCTAATTAATCTCCCATGAAATCATGATAGTTGGGGCTCCAATATGGCTTTCTATCGCTCAAACTATATGAAATTGTGAATTTACTCAGAAGAACAGGTCTCTCTTTATACCTATTCGATTACACAGAAGCACTTCTTTTTTTGGGTTATGTTTAACTTTGTGAACATGCATGTTTATATTGTTTGTCATTTCCTAGAGGCTGTGTTTTGATGAGGGAGCGAGTAGAGTTTGGGACTGTGAATGTGGAATAAGATTGTAAAACTTGGCAACGATGGAGTCAGGCACTACTACTCCAAGTCTAAAATCCAGCGTCCGAGAGTGATCCGGGTGAAGAACAATGTTGCGTACCTGGGGTCTCCAAAACGAGGGCCAAAGCCTCGACAGCTCCTGTCGCTGCCACCATTCCCAGCTCAACCTTTACCCGGGAAGAATTCTTCCACTAATCGTGTTACTGCCATTAGCTGGCTCAAGTATTACTTCGATGACATACCTGGCAATGTCATTCAATCTCACTTCAACAAAGGCCTTGTGCGTATTTGCTCTTATATTCACCTAAACTTCTTGTTCTTCTCTTTTCACCTACTTGATCCCATCATTGGTCCTTGACAGTACAGGTAGAATGTGTCGACTCGAATGTGCCATCTGTAAGTAGGGGCATGCATAAGAATTACATGAGAAAGGTATAAACAGCTGCTTACAACTTAAAAATCATTGTTATTCTCCTTGCAGTTTCTCCAGTGAGTCTTACAAGAACTATTTTATGATATTACGTGCAGATCAACCATAATGAGGTCTTGGAACCAGGGGTTCGAGTTTGTGTGCCTGTTTCTGTTGCCGAAGCAAAAATATCCAAGAGGTTTGACATCATACCAAGTGGGACTCTATACCCAAATGCAGATGAGATTAATTATTTACGAAGGCTTGTTATCTACAAGGCATATTCTTCTATTCCTCTTAATAATTTATATCCTTCTTCAAACAGTTTTGGCTGTTTAGTTGTCCGGGAAAGTTTGATTCAATTTGTATTGCATGTACAAGATTTGAAACCAACTTTCTGAGTGGCTATGTAGGTCAATAGGCCATTACTATCATAGTCTTTGGTTTTATTGTAAATTTTTGGCTATGTACACCTGTGGCTGAGATTGCGTTAGATGTTTTCCCCTTTTATTTGCTGTCACCTTGTAACTATAAACTGATGATGGCAAAATGATTTGGCAGGATTCTGCTATTATTGTCCTAAATAAGCCTCCGAAGCTTCCAGTCAAGGTTAGCATTTGCCAATCTGCTTATTTTTCTTTCATAATTACCCTTCTAAATCTCCCTTTAATATCACACAGTTTTTCCATTAGGGAAACCTACCAATTCATAACAGCATAGATGCCTTGGCTGCTGCGGCATTGTCATATGACTATGAGGAAGGCCCTAAACTGGTATGTTTCTCTCCAATATGATTAGAGTATATCTTTTCCTTGACCAGCATGCGTCATTTTTGTGCGCATGGAGGAATAATTAATTCGCAGAGTGGCATATTCATAGTCTTTAGATATACATAATTCTTTGGTCATCAGGTTCATTCTGCTTATCTGTTGCTGCCACTCAGATATCATCTATTTTTTGCTTTTTAGGTGCACCGTCTTGATAGAGAAAGTAGTGGGATTCTCTTAATGGGCAGAACGAAGGAAAGCATTTCCTATCTCCATTGGTTGTTCAGTGACTTAAATAAGTCAAATTCCTTGTCTAAGGTATTTGAAAACTATCTCATCAACTTAAACCACAATCATTGCTGTAGCTTCTTTTTTAGCTCTTTTCTCCTTCTTCTGTTACTCTTTCCAACCAGCAGTTACATGCCTCTTGCCTAGTATTGCAATATAGAAATACTATAAAATCATACATCATGCATCATATGATGTTGCCTGAGAGGCTACGCATGCTCGCTTATTGACATTGTACAACTGTTTGTTTTTTGGCTCCAGGCTTGGGATCATGCTTGTGAGTCAGCATATCAAAGGTATTGGGCGCTTGTTATTGGTTCTCCCAAGGAGAAAGAAGGTCTTGTCTCTGCACCGCTAACAAAGGTTTCTTCTTTTCTTTCTAAATACTTTGTGCACTACATCCGAAGTGATATTGATTTGCTAATGGTTGTTTTAATTGCAGGTAGTACTTGATGATGGTAAAACAGAAAGGATTCTATTGGCCAGTGGTTCAGGGCTTGAAGCTTCCCAAGAAGCTATAACTGAATTTCGAGTGCTTGGTCCAATGATTAATGGATGCTCATGGATTGAACTTCGTCCAATTACCAGCGGAAAACATCAGGTAATTTTTCCTTGCAATCCTTGGTAGTGGATGTCCTCCAGTTTCATGGCATCTTTCACAAGTTCTAAGTGTTAGCTAAAATAATATGATTGAACAGTTCACTTCTGATCCATAAAACCTTGGTAAACTCGTCGTTTACTATGGATACAAATGTTCTCGTGTGATCATTGACAACACCGCACGTTATGTCGACCTCTGATTCTGGACTCTTTGCTCATGCAGCAATTAGCTGCATTGAAGTGAAAATGATACCTTATATAGATTTTGTTGCTTCTTTCCACAGCTTAGGGTGCACTGTGCTGAGGCTCTTGGTACTCCAATAGTTGGGGACTACAAGTATGGCTGGTTTGTTCATCGTAGATGGAAACAAATGCCTAGAGTTGATTTAGAGCCAAACAGTGGGGAACCCTATAGAATTCGAAGGCCTGAAGGTTTGGATGTTCAGAAAGGTAGCGTCTTATCAAAGGTCCCCTTGCTTCATCTGCATTGTCGAGAGACCGTATTGCCAAACATCGAAAAGTTTATAGAGTTTCATAGCAGCAAATCCAGCAGTGACAACCAGTCTGAGCTCAAGTATAGTTCAAAACCTAATCTCCTTCGGTTTGTGGCGTCTATGCCATCTCACATGAAAATTAGTTGGAAGCTAATGTCGTCTTACTTAATGTGATAAATTCCACTTTGTCGATGCTCGATCTCATTATCTAAGTGTTCACTCATCAGAAATTATTCCTCTTCCCTAAGGGGATGAGAAAATCTCTTTTTTTTAACTTTTTTTTTTTTTTGAAAATGAACTTCCAGAGTCTTAAACAGCCTAATTTTGAAGTTTCGTATCCCTAAACCGAACAAAAATTGAAATTGTGAAACCTAACAGTATTAGGATAATTCTCGAAGTCCTTCAGAAAAATAGAACTATACGGTAAAAGGGAATCTTATTGTAAAAGATAAAGGAAATTTTCGACTCGTTTCTTACTTTTAACCTAAAGCCACTAAATATAACATGGTCATTGCTATTTGCAGTCGGAAACATTACTCATTTACAGTCGTTTGGATATTTTTGCCCCTGAATACTTCAACAAGTACTAAAACACATTCTTGAAATCATTTTTTTCTCTTCTTCTTCAATTCTCAAAAAAATCAAAATGTCAAATTTAAAAACAACAATTATTAATACTACTTATTTAAAAAACTAAGTATTGAAAAAATAATAAATAACTAAAATGAATATAACACAAAAAAATTTTAAAAAATAAAAAAAATGAAAAAAAAATTTCTGGTCCAAGGTAGCAGGCCCAAAACCGGCCACCCAAAAAAAGGTAGCTGAACCAAAACCGGTTACCTCTCCTTTGGTAGCCGATTCCGGTTCGGCTACCTCTCCTTGGGTAGCCGGTTTCAGATTGGCTGGTCCTCCATGGGTAGCCAATTTTGGGTCGGCTACCTTGGACCATAATTTTTTTATTTTATTTTATTTTTTGTGTTATATTCATTTTAGCTATTTATTATTTTTTTAATACTTAGTTTTTTTAAACGATTAGTATTAATCTTTGTTCTTTATATTTTTTAAATTTAATTAAATTTAAATGAGTATTATTAATAATTATTATTTATGTAAATGAAATTTAATTTAGTGTTAATTATATTTTTGTGTTATTGTTATCATTATTTTTATATTTATTTTAGTTTTGATATATGAATAAGAAGTATTAAGTAATTTTAATAATTGATATTTATTATATTTTTATATGTAATTAAATTTAAATAAGTAGTATGAATTAGAATTTAAAAAATTAATTTATTATTAATTATATTTTTGTTGTGTATTGATTAATATTAATGTTTATGTGAATAAAATTTAATTTAGCAATAATTTAGCAATGAAATCTGTTATGGGTGGTTTCTCACGATCCGCCATTTTTTTAGATTCCTGATTTTTGTAGATCTAAATTTGAAAGATGAGGGGTTTTACTTTTTTGGTATGAGGTTGGAGAAGAAGAAAGGAAGAAGGAGAAAAGAAGGGGAAGAAAATGAAGGAGAAGAGGAAAAATATCTAGCTGACTGTAAATGAGTAATTTTTCCGACTGCAAAAAGCAATTCAGATATAACATCCAGTCCATCCCTCTCCGTAGAGAGTAGCGATTCAGCCTTGGGAAGCCTCTGCCTATTAGAATTACCACGGCTCATTATTCATCAATATACTTTCTTACTTTAGCAGCAGAAGCAAACCAATGATAAGCGTTTGGCGATCGCTTATCAAAATTGCCACAGGACGTTCTTCATCACATACTATCTTACCTTACCAACAGAGAAGCAAAGGCTCTAAGTATATTATCAAAGGAGTTGCTAGCCGCGATGAGTACTCGTCCCGATTTAGCTTGGGATACGGCATCATTCTCCTCCAATATAGATGAATATTGTGATATCCCAATCACATTGGAGAGGTACCAGAAGAAAGGTATCCCTCTCCGGACCTTCACATTGAAGGCCGTTCATCGTGCTGCCGGATTGCTGAATCTTTATCTCAAAAGTATCGTACTTGCATTAGACATCGCGAAGAAGGAAAAGTGTTTACGAAGTCTTACTCTTCACCTGGCTCGTTGCAACAAATGCCGCGGATATGTCTTGCCTTCATCAGTTTTTGAAGCTGAATCTTTGGTGCACTTGAGTTTAATGAGGTGTGATTTGAGTCGTTGGCGGCGTCCCAAAGAAGATCAGCGGTATTCCTCCTCTTTTGGGTGGCCTAATCTCAAAACGATACATCTTGAACATGTATCTTTCGTTGACGAATTCACGTTTGAGCTCATCATCAAAGGTTGCCCTTTGATTGAAACCTTGGAGATTGATGTCATTAGTAATATTGGTGATGAAGATCAACTTTATCCAAGTTGTTTCCAGGTTGCCAGTCTTGGAAAACTCAAGCAACTGGATGTTGGGATTCTCGCAAACAAACTGTTGAAGTTGATGCTGCACCGAATTTGGAATCTTTAACTTGTATGATTCGCGCTGACTTTAAACAAAGAAACAGTACTACTACTGCTGCTGCTGCAGGATGGCGTTGGCTTAATTTTTGACAATCCGAATTCCGGAATCGCAAGAGCATATTTCTTTACGGTTACGTAGGGATCAATTGCGGACATGAAAATAACTTTGACTTCTTTTCCTCTGCCGACTGGACTCTGCAATTCCCGCAACTTGAAGAGCTATCAATGAAAGGGAACATAAACTTGAACAGAATCAACATATCAAGTCGGTCGCTGAAGAATATACGGCTCGAAAACATCACCAAATTGCAGGAGGCCAAGTTTATTACGCCTAGCCTTGCTGTTTTTGAATGTTTACACGAAATGGACATGATTTTACCAAAGCTTTCATTTGTCGAAAGTAGTGAAGGATGGATGTCTCGCATCGATTTAAGATGTCGCGATGACGTGTTGTGTAGTTTTGGCTCGTGGTTGGTAGAATTGAAGGAGTTGTTAACCTCGCTAAAATCGTCTCAAAATGTTCATTATCGTTTGCTTGCCAAGGGAGAACATGTGGTCGCCCCGGATCTTGAAGGCCCAAATATAAGTCCATATGTGGTTCCACCTCAAAACCAATTGGTGATGAGAGGAGTATCACGTGGGATATATATGTAAGGTTCAAGTGTTTCCTTCCATCCATGTGGGACAAGAGAACATGAAACACATTTTCATTCTTTCATTCATTTAACACACCCCTCTCAAATCCAATGGGCTTGGACGGATAATTTTATACATTTTTTAAATTAATTTTTCAGTCTTTGCGATCGGTTATTTTTTCGGATAAACCGTCACCTGTCTGTCCAGTCAAAGCTCGAATCTGGACAAGTCAAAGGTCCAATACCAGTCAGTCAAGCTCGCTCCACAAATCTCACAAGTCCGCGGATTAAAACCCACTCTGATACCATCTTGAAGGCCCAAATATAAGCCCACATGTGGTTCCATCTCAAAACCAATTGGTGATGATGGGAGTAGCACATGGGTATATATATTGGATTGAAGTGTTTCCTTCCATCCATGTGGGACAAGGGAACATAATACATATTTTCATTCTTTCATTCATTTAACACCAGATGACATCGTATGATTCTTGTTTGCCGGCGTCATTATTTTTGGAGATGGAGATGGAGGTGATCATCATCACAGACTAGAGATTCAATATAGGGAATTTTTGCATGGTGATGGTGTCATTGGGTTTTGCCGCCCTAAAAACATATAACATTCCGACATGTGACGACAAATAAGAACCTCAAGCTGTTGTGTGACATGATAATACTGGAGTTTTCTAAGTCGTGGGATGTGACAAGTGTTGAGATTGAGATCGATCGATTTAATAAAACTACGGATACGTACGAGTACTCCAAGAAACTACGAGTGTTGTCGCCGTATCAACTATCAGACGAATGAGAATTTGTAGATGATAATAAGGGTCAATACAAGGTGACTTTGAGATTTTATTTAGAATTGACAACTCTCGAGTTTGCAGGATCACATATATATGTCCCATGAAGAAGCGAAAAAACACCTAATAGAGTTGTGTTTTAGATTAGAGATAATAGGATGTAATGATACTTTTTTTTTCCTAGTTCTTTTTTTTCGCGTTTGGGTCTTTGTAAGCATAACCACGTTCAAAATCGCCTCAGGAGATAAGTGATGTCTTATAGGCTCTTGGGTCTTTTTTTTTTATAGAAAAACAGACTTTTGATTAATGATTACTGGAAACGGTCCAACACCAAATTAGATGCAAAGTTTAGAGCTTCACTCCATATGGTTTCAACTATAGAGGCCGTTTTGGTGAATTTAGCAAAAGAATGGACAATTACATTATCTTCTCGTTGGATCCATGGAATATGTCGAACCGGGAGGTCTTGGCAGATGAAGATAACTTCCATAACTGGAGAACAAAGAGATGAACTGTCCAATTCCTTCATTGCTACAAGGATAATGGTAGAAGAATCGCCTTGAATTACAATATCCGAGAGACCTAGTTTTCGGTATAATAACAAAGCTTCTCTAAAAGCCAACGCCTCTGCCAGTTCTGAGTCGTTGATGTCCAGGAATTGACGCGCTAGTCCATGGATGAAACGGCTATCTGTTGACTGGATAAAGATCCCAGCCCCTGAGCAATTGTCTGAGCGAGAAAGTGATCCATCGAAAAAAACTTTCACTGCGTCTGGTGGAGGTAGAAGAAATAGGGATTGCAGACGAGTCTCATTACCTTCCAACGCTGGTTTTGCATGAAGAATTTGAAATTCGTGGATGATTCTGCTAGCTTGGAGGACAACAGACCAAGATGAAGTCTTTTTCTGCTCAAACACAAGGGAGTTCCTTGCTTGCCAAATTTCAGAAAGTAAAGCCATGAAGAAGGTTGAAACAGTGAAGGGAGTATCCAAAATTATTGCTTGAGTCCATAAGTCGCAGGTTGGGCGTTGATGTTGCATGAGTTAGTGATGGAGACCATCTAACCTGAAGACCTGGGATGCAAATGGGCAATCGAAGAAGACATGGCAGCTACTTAGTGAACTCTGCTGACAGAACTGACAAACATGAACAAAGTTGAGATGTCTTGCTAATAAATTTGACGGATTTGGCAACGAATTCCTACAAAGCCTCCAAGCGAAAATGAGAATTCTGTTCAGCAGTTTAAGCTTCCATAGTTTTTTCTAGAGATGGTCTTGGACTCCCAGTGGCAATACAGAAGAAGCAATTGAAAAATGGTTGAAGAGTGGGAAGTACAGAAGCTGGAAATAAGCTAAGCATACCGTATGACAATCCTTTTTTGTATAATGCCAGATCCATCGGTCAGCGCCTTGGTGAATGGGAAGAGCCATGGACAAAATTGCTGATGATTCAACCGGAGGGAAGATGCTTTGTATGAGTTCTCTATTCCATTCAACGCAATCCTATTTAATCAAAGAAGAGACCATGGAGGATGATGGTAATATCTGAATCGAGGCTTCAGTTTTGAAAGAGGGCTCTAATGGGATCCAGCGATCCTTCCAAATCTTTGTCTGCTCTCCACTTCTGATCTGTTTGCAGCAACCCAACTCCAAGACCTTACATCCGTCTATAATGCTTCTCCAGGTCCATGACGGTCTTTGTCCAAGGTTGACTTCCAAGAACATTTGAGAGGGGTGATATTTGGCCTTCAAGACGCAGGCAAGCAACGAATGTTGTCGTGAGAAGTCTCCAAGCCTGCTTGCTTAACATGGCCATGTTGAAAGCCTTTAAGTTCCAGAAACCAAGACCTCCATCTTGCTAGCTTTGAGACATTGTAGCCCAAGAGTTCCAATGTATTTTCCTGCTGTTGGCCGAGTCTCCCCAGAAAAAATTACTAGACATAAATTGCAGCTCATTTAATACAGTATCAGGAAGGAGAAAGCAAGACATGGCATAAGATGGGATTGCTTGAATGATAAATTTAATCAGTAGTTCTTTATCAGCCCTTGATAGAATCTTATAACTCCGGTAATGCAGCTTCTGCCAAACTCTATCTTTGATGCTGGCGATCACTTCGGATTTGAATTTACCCACCACAGAAGGTAATCCAAGATATTTACCATGTCTGCGGACCTCAGGGATTCCCAAAGTGTTCCAAATTGCAGCCCTTACTGCCGCCTCAGTGTTAGGAGAAAAATAAATTCCAGACTTCTCAAAATTGATTTGTTGCCCCGTAACACGTTTGTACAAATTAATGGCCCAATGTAAGTAGGAAGCTTCACTCTCCGTTGCATGGCCGAATAACAATGTGTCATCCGCAAAGAAAAGGTGAGAAATCTTAGGAGCAATGCGGCTAACACCAATGCCCTGAATACAACCACAACGCTGCAAATCTTGTAGTAGACAATAAAACACCTCCGAACATATGATGAAGAGATATGGGGAGAGTGGATCACCTTGACGGATACCCCTCTCTGGAATTAAGGTACCAAACAATTCACCATAATGAAGGAGAATCTCACTGAGGAAAGACACTTTACTATCAAAGCAACAAAAGAATCACAAAACCCTAATGCTAAAAGGACTGACTTAAGAAAGCTCCACTCTACCCTATCAAAAGCTTTGGACATATCTAATTTGATAGATATCAAGCCGGTTTTACAATTTGGACGACTTTTCATGAAGTGATGAGTCTCATATGCTGAGAGGATATTATCCGTAATGAGATGACCCGGAATAAAAGCTGGCTGAGATTCAGAAATGATAGAAAGTAAAATAGAACGTAACCTATTAGAAATAATTTGGAAGATAATTTATAAACAACATTACACAAAGAGATAGGTCAAAACTGAGTTATAAGATCCGGATGTTTGACTTTAGGAATTAGGACTATGTGAGTATAATTCATAGTAGATTCAAAAACACCATTATTTAAAAAGTTCATCACAAAGGAGGTACCTTCATGACCAACTATATTCCAAAATTTTTTGAAAAAAATAGGATTCATACCATGCAGATCGGGAGATTTGAAAGGTGTCATTTCCTTCAACGCTTTTACAACCTCACCCGCCGTAAATGTTCGCATTAAACGGTCGTCCATATCCGATGTCACCTTTGGGAGTAACCTTTCCACTACTTGATGTATTTATGATTCTAGAGGGTGCAAAGAGGCAAAAAAAACGTGCCATAATAGTCGGTGATTATCTTCTCAAGCTCCTAGGTCTCAACACAAAGGTTGCCATCACCGTTTTTTGAGCCCTAAAATATGATTTTCTGATTTCCTCTTGTTGGCGAAGGAATGGAAAAACTTGGTGTTACGATCTCCATTCCGATACCAGTGTTGTTTGGCATGTTGTCTCCACTTCAAATTCTCCCTTTCGGATAACAGATCCAATTCCCTTTCCAACTCTCCAAGTTTGATGCGTAGAGGGTCATCAGTACGGCTCCTTCGTAGAAGGAGAATTTCCTAATTAAGAGCTGCGATTCTTTTTCAAAATCAGATGCATGAATTCTACTCTAATTCAACAATCCAATCTAAACATTTTCCAATTTATCTCCCAGTGACGATAAATCAGTGTCCCAATTCTCCTCAATGACCTTTTGGGAGTCTTCTACTCGAACCCAATGAGCCTCAAACCTAAAAGGTCGCTGCCGCCTGCAAACGTGAACATTGGGAGCTCTTTCGCGCAACTGAATATGCAATAACGCATGGTCAGAAACAAATGTCGGAAGGTAATATACAAAGCTCCATAGAAATAGCTAGAAATTGCAAGTGGATTGATCAAGCCTGGCTCGTTGCGTTTGCGGATGAGGGAGTAAGCGCTGCCATGTAAACTTGTAACCTTCAAACCCCATATCCGTCAGCTCTAAGTGTTGCATCGTCTCTCTGAGTATATTGATCTACCAATTTGCCCTAGCACGACAGCCCTGAAACTCGCCTTGGGTTAACACTTCAATAAAATCACCAAAAAAGATCCAAGGTTTCTTTGCCGGATCAAGGAGCGAATGATACTGATTCCACGCTTCTCTTCGCATAGAGACGTCTGGCTGGCCATAAATCCCCATAGCTCTAACATGATGACCTTTTAATTCCATGTCAACATCAATGTATCTTTCCGAAAAGGATCTCAGGTTAACAACCACATCTTTTTTCCACAGCATTGCTAGACCATCAAAGCTACCACTCGATTCAACACAGACTCCAAAAATGTCTAACTTGACCTTCAATCATTGTATTTGATGCTGATTACTCTTAGTTTCACACAAGAATAGAAGGTGGGGAGATTTCTCTCAGACAATTTTGCCCAATTCATTGAATTTTCGGGAGCTCCCCAGACCCCGACAATTCCAGCTTAAGAGACTCATTGAACTGGGCGGGATTGGGGAGTTAACCCAATTGCCGCCTCTCTGCCATCCATAGAAGTAGTAGTAACAAGAGTTTCTGATTCGGAAACATCTTTCTGTCGTGCTTTTTTGCCTATCTCCTCAACATCAATCATGTGAAAGTCTAAACCATCCATCTCATATATAAACCACTTTCGTTTTCCTGCGTCTTTGATAGGACCATCAATTGGAGCATTTTGAAGGATACGTTTGCGGGCAGTATTGAATTTGGTGGCTGCTTTTCTGGCTGGGGAGTCAACGGTCATTGGTACAGTGATTAAATAAGGGCTAAGGAGGGATGCGGTTGAGGTAGAAGGGTCAATGTGGTTTGCATGGGGAGTACTTTAGGGGGGAGACAAGGGGGGAGTGTCTAAGTCGGAAGTATGGGGTTGAAGATTTGTAGTATCTGATGGGCTAGGATTAGAGGAAGCATAGACATTCTCAGATATTGTGTTGGGAAGTTGTGAGGAGATGGATGCTGTGGAAATAGAACTGTTAGAGGGGAGGGCAGATAGTTGGGAGATCTTGGTTGGAGGAGCAGGATAATCAGGAGAAATGGTATTGGTAAGATTCTCGGAGTGAGGCAGGGTTTTTGGGTTGACTTTTGTGAGCTGTAAAGGAGGGATATCAGAAGGATGAGAGATGGTTGTGTTGGATTGATTGATTGAGAGAAGAGCTAACTTGGGTGGACAAGGTAGCTAGGAAAAAGGTAGTTTGTTAGGGTTTGAATTCGCAGTTGAAACTGTTTCCTGTAAACAAGGGAATAAGGTTGGCTCATCAGAGATGTGGGGATTATTAATGGGTGGAGAGTGAGGTGGAATAAAGGGAGTGGAGAAGGTACAATTATGTTGATGGGTGAGATGTGCGAACGTGGGAAGGAGGTTGCTGGAAGTTAGGGCCGGAAGTTACGTCGTGTGCTTGGCATTCATGGAAAGGTGGAGCTTCCTCATCGGAATCGTCCGGAACGTGAAAAGGATCGGGCTCTTGCGCCGAACGACGGGAGACAAATGGATTCAAATAACCTGTTGCTTTGAGCCAAGGACCATATTCAGGAGGAAGTGAAGAACTTCCGACATGCGTTGGCTTGGTTGGACAATTAGTTTCAATGTGGCCGATAATACCACAATGATAGCACCACTCCGCCAATCTTTCATAACATAGTGGAATTGTGAGTTGTTTTCCTTCATGATCGAATTGAAGAACGTGCGTCAGGGGCTTTGTGATGTTCATATTCACTTTGATACGGAGAAACCTACCAATACAGTTGCGATTTGCATCTATACACTTCTATAAATTGACCAATCAAATAGTAAAGGTGGGAAACTCTTCATTCATCAAACCAATTGGACGGTGATGTAACTGTATCCACCATGGACACATATTGAAATCAGCATTTAGATCATCATGTGGCTTCAAAACGAACAAATGTTTCCTGCCCAACAGCCAAGACTCTCCATGAAGAACCCTAGCGCGATCGATTTGATCATTGAACTTGATGTGGACCGTATTCTCCCCCACAGGCTGCACAGTGAATCCGTGTCGGACAGACCAAATATTGCGACAATGATTGGCAATAGCATCATGCGAAACAATCCTGGGACAATAGAGTTTGCCAATGATTGTCAGGAAAGGGTCAATCGGGGTGGTGATCAGCGAAATTGTGGAATGCCTGACAGATTCGTTCTCCCAAAGGGATAACCTTCCAATAATGGCTTTCAATTCCTCCGCCAAAGCCATTGATACAGCAAGCAGAGAAGAAAACTCAACCTCTGGCAGTAAAGGATATGAAAAACCAAGATGCGAACACAACAGCAGAAGCAAGATCTGTAAAAACGAGAGACAAAAACTTAAAAAAATATAGTTAGAAAACCAGAAAGGAAATGGCACAAAAATTTTCAAATCAGGAAATAAGGGGCGATGATGTTGAAAGATGGAAGATGGATGTGACTTAGGGTGGAGAAAATTATTTTGTACACCGATGGATGTTGAAAAAGGAGTGATGAATGGATAGATGAGGAGTAATTAATCAACCAAGTTGGATTATAGAGAAGATTTGGATAACGGAAAGGAACAATCCATGGAAAAAAACCCATGAAAGACTCAAAGTTTAATTGAACACTTAGAGAGAATCTCCCAAGGAGAAGGACTCTTTGACTTTTTTTGGTACTGAATAACTTTTATTAGCTCTTGAGTCTACGATTATGGTTAAAGTTCTGATTCATAAACTTTTGATTTAGGTAAGTTTTGATCCGATTCTATTTACGGTTTATTATCGGGTTCATTCCAATTTGTTGATGATTTCAATTTCAATTTCTTTGAGCTTTAATCAGAATTTTGTAAAATTCTAATTTAATTTGTTACTAATTTATTTTTCCTCAAAAGAAACACAAAGAAAATGAGTGAGTGAAAAAATAAAAATCAACAAGCAAATATGAAAAAGTTTTTGCTGTAGCTTCTTTTTTGGCTCTTTTCTCCTTTTTCTGTTACTCTTTCCAAGCAGCAATTTTATGCCTATTGTCTTGATTGCAAGATAGAAATACTATAAAATCGTACTTCGTGAATCATGTGATGTTGCCCAAGAGGCTACGCATGTTCGCTTATTGACTTTGTAAAACTGTTCGTTTCTTGGCTCAAGGCTTAGGATCATGCCTGTCGTGCATATCAAAGGTATTGGGCACTTGTTATTGGTTCTCCCAAGGAAAAAGATTTCTGCACTAGATCCAAAGGCAAAGTTGGTGATATTGATTTGCTAATGGTTGTTTTAATTATAGGTACTACTTGATGATGGTAAAACATAAAGGATCCTATTGGCCAGTGGTTAAGACCTTGAAGCTTTGCAAGAAGCTATAACTGAATATCGAGTATTTGGTCCAATGATCAACGGATACTCGTGGATTGAATTGCGCCTGCTTACCAGCTGAACGCATTAGGTTGTTTTTTCCTGCAATCCCTAGTAGTTTTCTTTACTTACAAGCTTAAACTGTCAGCTAAAATAAAATGATTGAACAACTCACTTTTGATTTATGAAACATTAGTAAAGTTGTCCTTAATTACGGCCACAAATGTTCAAGTGTGAAGTGTGATCATTGACAACACTCACGTTATGTCATCCGTTGATTTTAGACATTTCGCATATGCAGCTATTTGCTGTATTAAAAGTGAAATTGATGGCTTATTTAGACTTTTTTGCTTCTTTACACAGCTTAGGGTACACTGTGTTGAGGCTCTTGGTACTCCAATAGTCGGCGACTACAAGTATGGCTGGTATGTTCATTGCATATGGAAACAAGTGCCTAGAGTTAATCTTGAGCCAAACAGCAGGAACACTATAGAACGTGAATGCCTGAAGGTTTGGATATTCAGAAAGGGAGCGTGTTAGCAAAGGTCCCCTTGCTTCACCTGCATTGTCGTGAGATCATTTTGCCAAATATCGAAAAGTTCATAGATGATAGCTGCAAATCTAGTTGTGATAATCAGTCGCAGCTCAAGTATAGTTCGAAACCGGATCTGCTTTGTTTTGTGGCATCGATGCCGTCTCACATGAAAATTAGTTTGAATCTCATGTCTTCTTACTTAACGTGATTAATACATTCCACTTTTGGTTGATGCTCGTTCTTCATTATAGAAGTGTTCATTGTTGTTCTGTTTTATTCCTCTTTCTTAAGGGAATGAAAAATTCTTTGTTGGTTGTAACTGGATTATGAAGTATTTTTGCAATAGTAGACTTCCTCTGTCCTGTTTATACCATGGTTTCCTCGATTTTCAAACTTCCGTAACAATATAAGTTCAAGAGATACTAGGGCAAGAATATAAATGCAGAAATAATCTAGAAGCAGCTTCAACTTAACTATTGTAATCAATATTCACTTTAGAGTGTAGAAGAAATTGCAGTAATTACTACACTTGGCTAATCACATTAAAATGTTAATATAGTGAGAATCACATTAAAGGGCTAGCAACACATTCCCAATGCTCCCAGCTGAGAACATGTAAATGCACTATAACATTCTACAATGCCAATCCACTACTTTTTGCTCCTTGCACTGATTCAGTATAAACAATCTTCACCACCGGCATCTACCTACTTTTTCAGCTTTCCCTGCGTAAACCCGAAATTATTTTGTTGTGATACTAAATCAAAAAGGTTGAGGAAAAAGAAGTGAATGGGAAAGCTTATTTGTATGCCAGATCCCTCACTCTCCAATACTTTTTACTTGTATAACGATAGAATTTCCTTATCAAATTGCTAGTATACATGTTTTAAAAAAAATATAAGCAACAATATCCATGGATCAATGTAATTTCAAAGAATAATAACAATACTCATAATAACTAAATCCAGAGGCCACTCAGCCATAAAGCCAATGAAGCAATGGCTTAAAGCTCTATCTTAAGAGGGGTCCCAAAAATTTTTTGATAGTGTATGATAAAATTAGCGTAAAAGATGCATTTTTTTTCTTTTGGAGAAAGAGAGACCTTAATCTCTCAGAAATATAATTATATATTAAATTGGTACTCCTTTTAACCTAAAAAATAGTCGAGTTTTGTGATTTGTACTATTTTTAGTATTAATCACGAAAATTAATGTGGGTTACAGAAGGATTACTATTCATTTTGGTGTTTCCAATAGTATTTCCATCTTACTATAAATAAGTAAGTGTATTTAGTTTTTAAGTCACTTAACAATTAATTTTATTATTTGAAATAATGTATTCATTCATAAAAATTAATACTCCCTCCGTTCTACAAAAATAGTCCACATTGAGTTTTGAATTTTGTACTGCGTTTAGTACAAATTTGAAAACTCAATGTGGACTATTTTTTTGGGACGGAGGTAGTATCTTTGAAGGAACAATTAAAAACATCCTAAAGTATATTATTATCTTTCATTTCCATTTATACTTTAAATTATTTCATCACCACAAATTAAATTTGAAACTCATGAATGGTTGAGTGTTTTTAATTTTTTGTTTTTAGAATACTAAATCTAAAAACACAAACCTAGCTCAACAATGTTAGAAATTCGTATTCTTTATATCGGAAAAAAAGATCAACAAAATAGTATCATTACTGTTAAACCATATTATTAAAAATAATTAATATATTTATATAAATAACCACGAGTTACAAAATGCAAATATAAATTTTATAGTAGAGTTTAAAAATAAATAAATATTTTTAAAAAAATTATATTGTATATTTTTGTGATTGTGAAAAACAGTAAAGAGAAATAGAAAATAAAACAGTTAAATAAAAAGTGAAAAGAGACTATTTTTTTATTTTACATTTTTTAGAGGTCATTTTTATTATTTTTAAACTATTGGAGTATATTTTTCATTAAAACTAACGGAAATTTGTTAAATTTAACAGAAATTGGGCCAATTGGAAAAAATTAGCGAAATATTCATACAATAGGACAATATGAGCTAACTGAAAAAGAATAGGGTAACATTGACCACACATGTAAAATTTTGGGTAAGAACACCAATTTTTCAGGTGAAGAATATGGATGGATGGGAGGAAAAGTACGTCATAATGAAGATCTTCAAGTGAAAGTACTTTGTATTTCATTAATTAACTCTTATGAACTTCCGTTTCAAAAAAAAAAAAAAAGAATCCTCTTATTAGCTTTTGGGGACGAAAAGGTTTAATTTATTGTTTGCCATGTGATTTTGGGGAAAAAAAATATCCATGTGTTAGACTATTTTACAGAAGAAGCAGAAGGCCGAAGCATTAGATGTAATTTTTGTCAAGTATTTTACTCTAACTACACAATACCCCTTCTCATGTCACATCTCCGTTACTTTTATCCAAGCATGTCTAGACATCTCCAACCATCTGCAGCTAAGGAGGGGCAGCATCAATCACCAGTAACAAAGCCTCAACTTGTGGATCTAATGAACAACCTCACATTGAAATGGTTTGTTAACAAGTCATCATTCCCACCCCCTCATTTGGTACATGAATTATTATGAAAAATGCAACAAGAAATCAAATCGAGAATTGGGGGAATTACATCCAAACCATGCATTGCTATTGATGTATGGAATTCAGGAGATATCATGTATATGGATGTTTATTAAGATAGATGAAGGATGGAGAAAGAATTCTATTCTACTTGATATTTGTATCATTCCTTTCCCTAGTACAGAGGCACAGATAGGAGATGTTTTGAGGAAGGTGATGAAGTTCTACACCATTGAGGAGAGTAACATCATTTGATGTACTCTGAAAGATGGTTGTGAGGATAGGGAAGCACTCCTTTTTTGTTGTCTTCCATGTGGTGCTTCCATTCTAGAAGCAATCGTCAAGGAGACCTTAATAACTTCCACAGCAAACCCTCTATCTAAAATAAGGGAAGTGGTATTGGAGCTTACTGAATCTCCCCCAATTGTTTATCAAGAAATACAGTTGGGAAGTCCATTTGATACCTCTACCATATGGCATATGCAAATAGCTTCAGAGCAGAGAAGATCATCTTGACCTGGGTCTCCATAGCACGCCACTTTTGTCTTAAATCTTCAAAAGAGACATCCTTGGTAAAAAATACTAGGCGTGAAGCCCATTTTGCAATTGTTTTGTCATCAGAAATAAGAGCAAAGTTTAATTACCTTTTCATCTACTTATACAAACATAAATATGCATTCAGAAAAAGAAATATGGTTCTGTTTTTTTCACCTGGAATTCCTATCTTCCAACTTGCAGAACAAAGCTTTCTCAGCAGCATCCACATCTTTGTTCTGCCAATTAAATGCAGATAGCCCCAATGTCATGGCTGGTTTACTAGTACTGCAAGGGAAAACAAAACAACTATAGATATTAAAAATTAAACCAAGAAGAGATTTAGAAATTAAAAAATTACAATAATACTTACGACTAGTCGAGTTGATCTATAAGTCCAATTGATTCTTCAAAAAAGGCATTCAGCGCAGTTTCAACCAGCCAGTGCCTGTCACTTTCTTTAAAGGCTGAAACCAGGTCTTGCAATTCCCTCAACGATAAACGGCCGTGCATTGCAATTGGCTTGAATAGAGAGAAGATAAAAGTCAGTAACGGTTACAGTGTGTGTGCTACCCTACTAACAACAGTATATGTCCTAAACATCGTCATGTACCAACCTTGCTAACTATAAATGAAGCTTTCTGAATAAAAACCTCCGCATTAACAGTATCCATCCTGCAGACATAAAGTTTGCTTATCATGAGGTTTTCAAGTACCACATCCTTACATCATACATCTAACACCAGACCATATACTACTAAACCTGCGGCACATAGGTTGATTGAAAGGAAAGCATTTAATGGGAACAAATGCAAGAATTACCTTGAGGTAAAGTTGAGCAATTTGGACACACTTTGCTAGCCTGTATGTATCATCTATCAATCTGAGAAGATTTCACAAGCATAAAACGTGTCAAAATTTATCACACAAGCCTTTATCCACTATGTATCAGCCCATATTAGAATTTAAGGTACTAACACACCGTGATTCATAATCCAGATCAATGTTGCGAAGGACTTGCGCAGCATTTGACCATAAATGTTTAGACTCGTACAATTCAGCGAGCTTGTCACTAATTATCAGAACCTATAAACAACCAATACACATCAGAAACAACCAATACACATCAGAAACAACCAATTCACAATGTAGCAGTTGGCTAATCATCGAAGAAAAAACAATGAACTTAAAAAGATTAAATTCAATCGATGAACAAAGAGGTAAAAGCTGTAAAATATCCTACTTGTTCTTCAAAATAGGGATAATAAGATACAATTTTCTTCAGTGTATAGTGCCCAACATCCTTTCGCACTTCCGGATTCAATTTCCCCAGCTCCCGAGCGAACAAAAGCAGATGCTGTTGCGAAACACTAATAGGTACATCATCCGCAAGCACTACAAAAGTGAGATAACGACGATTAAGCAAACACACAAAAAAATATTAATAATAATCTAAAGGAATTGAAATTATTCAAATGCAATTTGCAAGGTTGAGGTTTTACTGCGATCGACGAATCTCTTGGTATGCGCGATGTCGTTTCGCTCGAGAATGCAGGACAGAAGTTCCGGGTACTCCATCTTGTGCTTCGGCTTGCCAATCGTAGAAGAAGTTTCGTAACAGGTCTCCATGGTTTATCTGCTTCACCTCTTCTTCGAACTCGCGGAGATTCTGAATTCAGAAATGGGGATTTGCGAGAACGGGAGCAGTTGGTGTTGTTTTGAACGTGAACAATGTTCAGCGGGAGTGTTTGAAAAAGGGAAAATGGGTCTTTTCATCCCAAAGTTTGGGCCACACCATCCAAAACATCCCAAAATTTAAGAACATGTCATTTTCATCCCAAATTTTTTAAAAACATGTTACATTAGGATATTCGTTAAATTTTTAACTCCAGTTAATTAATTAGTGGTGGTACTTTATTCTGTTTCTCCTCCCTCAATTCTTTTAATCATTTAACACGTTCCACTAACTCCCACATTATAAGAAAATAGCTAAACCTAATTTGGTCTTCACATCATCCATTCTTCCCTTGTTTAGAAAAAGAAAAAAAAAATCCAAGATTCACCTTCTAGATTGATAACAATCATGAGAGGTTTTGTGTGTGTCCTAATTAGAAAGTAAGCCTTATTTTATTTATTTTTTTAAATATGTAGCATCATTATAAAAATTGGTGTTGTAAGTGATGCAGGGGCATGCAACGTTTTTGCTTGGTATGGACCAAATTTACCAAACGCAAGCATGAAACTTTTTTTACTAAAAAAAAAATAGGGGAAAAGAACTGAATGAAATATCGCCGTTAATAACTTGAAAAAATTAACAAATGTCCTAATATTACATATTTTTGAAAAGTTTGGGATGAAAATGGCATGCTTTTAAACTTTGGGATGTTTTAGATAGTGTGGCTCAAACCTTGGGATGAAAAGGCCCATTCTCCCGTTTGAAAAATTATAACAGCAGGGACGGTGGAGCAGCTCATTAGCTGGGAATTATTAAAATTACAGTTCTACCCTCGTTGGCAGTTGGAAAGGCTACATCCATTATCGTCAAACTACATACAGGAGTATATTATATGATATCTGAGTTTGGGGTTTGGTCATCATTAGACTTTTACGTTTCATTTTCATCTCTTTCCCACTAATCTTCTTTTTTATAGTCATTGGATTTTCATTTTCATATCCTTTCCATTAATCTTTTCTCTTATAGTCGTTTTTATAATTAAAAAAATCATAGCTCATTATTAGGTGATAAATTTGATTGGTCAAAAAATAATTTAGATGATTTTTGCCCTCGAGTTTTGGCTGAATATATTATAAACTCTCCGATTTTTATTAACACTACTATATATCCCCATATGAATATATTATAAACTCTCCGATTTTTATTAACACTACTATATATCCCCATATTCATAATACAAACGCTATCATCAATTTTGCTTAAACCGTAAAAAATACCCGTTAATCCATATTTTTTAAATTATAGTTTGGGGTTGAAAAGAAAACCTAAACTCTTTCTATTTTGGTCTGTATAATAACTATACATTTTTTAACTCAAGAGTCTCCTTTCACTTCTCGAAGTTGGCTATTGTATAACACATAAGATCGAAAGCATAGGATACAATGCCAAGCAAAAGATTTCCAGTACGGTTTACACATGTAAGATATTTCGCCATCAGCAAAACTCGAACGAACACATAGCTCCAGGTTCCTCGGTGCACTAGTAACGTCTCACTGGAAATAATCTAGTTTCACCGCGAAAAGCCATTACTCAAATTCATCAACTCAATACATACCCAAGTACATCTTTACAAGAGAAACCTCCGGGTATTTTTAATTTCCCATCCAGCATAAGGCTGTAAGCTTCATGTTGTCCTAAGCAGATTGGTTTGAGAAGTTCAAACACCTTCCGATGAAAAACTCCACATTAAACGACTCAGGCAGGAAAAACCTCTTCAAAACTGGTCAAACACATTACAGCAGCATCCATTATCATGCTCGGAAATCCAAAAATAGACGTAACTTCTGAGAAAGCAGTTCCCCTGTGCCATATAGAACCTTATTACTGGATATCCAGTCTTTCTCCAGATTTCCTACTTTCACACTATCCAGCATCTCATCATGAAACGCAGAAACAATAGAGTACAATGAAGTCCTCAGTATATCAGCCATTGCATAAGCCTTGATGTACATAGGACTACCTCTTCTCTTCTCACTAAGCCCACCAGCTGAATCTCTGCTCCCTGTTCCCATTGGTGCCCACTTTATTCCAGCGGCACCAATCAGATTGGTTGATTGTAAGTTGGTCTTCTTTCCCAGTAAAGTTTCAACTGATAGCAGTGCGGACAGCAGAGTTGAAATAACAGCAGCATTGCTACCAGAGAGTTGAGCAACTCCAAATCTGTCTTCTTTGCGGGAGATTGCAGTTAATGAAGCAACAATCCGAGCACACCAGGCACAAAGCTGCATAATTTATGAATAACAATTAGAACTTTAAAAAGTAGACATACAATACACATGTTTCTATTGTCCAGACAATTAACTCAAGCTTCGGCCGAAAGAGGTTTTACTAGTAATTTTTGCCAAAGTGCCTACCCAAAGTTAACAAAGTAATTTTTAACTCAATACACAAATGCAGACAAATTTGGTTAACATTTCATAAACAAAGAAACATTACCTGAAAGTCATTAAGAACTTCACGTACTCTTGAATCAGCAAGTTTGTCACTCGGAGAGTGCAACTGATGAGATAGTTGGGTGGACTTCTGAATGGAAGAGCTCTCCAGGCTTTCACTCAGTTTCAAGCTAAGTTGCTCAACAGGTCTTAAGCATACTGTGATAACTCTCTTGTATGTCTCAGTAGTTTCTTCAAAAAAAGCAGCTCGGCGCCAGGTATCAACATTCTTTTCACAAACCATGCAGAGATCCAGATAAGCGAGATACTGCAAAAGAGATTTCGGAGTACTCTCCTCCAATGCAGATAAAAGGAACTCACTAGGATTCGTTTCAGCTGCTGCTGATCCTTTTGGAGGTGCAAATGTATACCTCTTTGTATGCAATACCTGCATACCACAGAAGTCTCAATTATCATCATTTGCATTTATCTGATTAAAATACTATTTGAGATTACCATTAAAAAACAATATAAAAAAGTAGAATTCAATTAACAGGTAAGGTACATACTAATGAAAGAGGATATCGATTAGTGAATAACCTGATGCAAGTGATGACTTAATTCAAAGCACAGAAAGACCACGAAGCTCCCAAAGTAGAAGATAATCTGCTGCACAACATGATTCCCCAAGGTCAACTTGCCTTCATGCTCGTCATGCAAGAAAAAGACCACTGACAATGAGAAGACGTAACCAGCAGCTGACAATTTCAACGCTCGGACCACGGCAGAAGGGAGCCCCATCTTAAAACTGAAGAATAAAGGATACTGAGACAGATGGAAAAGCAAAGTAAGCAGCAATCAAACAACACATTACAAATAGAAACTCAATAAATGTAAAAAAAACTGAACTTGGAAAAATTTTCAACCAAAGGACAGTAAACCATCAAAAGACTTACATAATGAAGTGTGTAATTAAAAATAAAATTAAAAAGAAAACAGTAGATAACAATATAGGTCATACCAAATGAACCAAAATAATTATTGCAAAACATGTAGAGATAGGTCATAATGCAAGGATCTAATCACGTCCACCTGTGAAGGACTCTAACCATCGAGCCGCTCCATAAGAACCGAAGTCTCCTCAAAGAACTCTCCTCTCGACATATTTTATAATTTCACTAAGCTTATTGGTCTTATATGTATAAGAACGCTAAGAAGATATGGCGGACGACATCCAAGGGCCATCAAGAGGAATGAGGAAAAAATAAGCCTTCAACAAAGTAAGTGAAGTGTCCTATCAATGAAGAAAAATGCCAATAGATTTGCAAGTGCATAAAAGCTGATAAAATTAACAGAACAAACACGTTCTAGAAAACAATACAGCTTGAAGTAACATACAGGACCTCTATATTTGAACAGAATAGATGAAGTTAAGCAGAAGTTTGAAAGGTAACGACAAGAGACTCGAACGTAAATGTGAACTATCTAAACCATGCAGGATAGCTAGCATTTCATAAACAAAACTTATCAGGAACGCATACAATTATTTCGGATTTTTCTTCAAAAAAATAAATAAATAAAGTAAATGAGCAAGACACGCTATTATGGCTATTCCACAACAATTTGATCATCTTCAGTGAAGTTTCAATCCAGTGGCAGTTCAATGTAGCATGAGAAACTTATGAAGATCCTCCTATAAATTTCAAACCTACATTAACTGCCTGATTTTGCCACAACCAGACATTGATCTTAATATTTTTCTAAGTTCTAACTTTACTGGCAAAACCACAAAAGAGGAGCAAATTTGTCGAACACATGTACCGGTACCAAACAGTAAACTCTCATAAACTCCATTAAGATGCAAAAATCACTAGGAGTCCAGCAATTCATTTACTTCCCAAAACAAAAGCTGCACCCTTACAAGTTATTATGACAATGGAAACGATCTCCAGATATAAGAAAATAACAATACCTGGATGATAGGGAATTGCAAAACCCATCTTTGTTTATACACATAGAGCACTCCATAGAACAAACCCACCAAAAACCCTCTAAACCCTAGAGTTTCACCGAGCACGCTCCACGGCCGCGTTTGACCAAACACGCCACAGGTCCAACACATAGAGCTCAACGAAACAGATGCGGACAGAGCCGAAGCGGCTACAAACAGCGAGAAAGTCAACGAAAGCGTCATCGAGCGCCATTCCTCAGCCGAGAAATTGCTACTCGTGGTCGGAAGAAATACGAGCCGAGCCAAGCGGAGGAGGAGGTCGAGCGGGGAAGCCGGCTTGTGAGGCTGAGGGGAGGAGACGAGGAACAGAAAGGTGGAGAAGAAAATAAGGGAAGCGTGGAAGGATAGGAAGGCGAGGAAAGAGAGAAAGATGGATGGGGATTTGCAGCTGAAGGGGAGGAGGAGGAGGGATTTAGTGAAGAATAGTAAGAAGGTGGAGAGTATGGATTGCCAAATTAGGAAGGAGATGAAGCGGTGCTTGATGACGGCGGTGGAGGCGGAACCGGAGAGGAGGCCGCCGCCGTGTTTTTGTTTGAAAAGGGTGTTTTGAACCGCGGCGGAGAGTGACATGACTGGGCGGCGTTCTGAGACACGGCCCACCTTTTTCCGGGGAGGTTTTTCTTTTCGTGTGGGGTTGAAGACTTGAAGTCTATATTGCGTTTTCCTTCCTTTTTTTTTTTTTCCTTTTCTTTTTCCTCCTTTACTTAACGTTGTTTTCCGAAGAAGACTTCTGGGCGGGAAAAAAAATAAGAATAATGGAAAACGAAAATTACTTTCTTTTTTTTTTTTCTTACAGGAAAATAAGCCAACCATTTCCCTTGGAAATTTGGAATTACTAGGGGAATTCAACAATAAAAATACTCCCCTCCTTTCTAGTATAAGAGTCTTGTTGAACTAAAACATTTTTTTGGAAATAGAATATAATTTTGAGAAATCATTTAATGTAGCACATTGTAAAGAACATTTTTCATTTCGAAACTTTCAATTGACGAAATTCAACCGGTGCAAAAAAAAACTCTACCGAATATAATAAACAAACATTAGAATGAAAATGTATAAACCATAATGATACAATGAATAACATATATGTACCCTACACAACTGCAGCAGAATATTTTTTCCTCCGGCTCTCTCTGTTTTAACTATGATCTACCAAAAAACTACCTCCAAAGTTTCAGTCAATATTTCCGTCTTAAGGTACCAGAACTGTCTAATGCTGCACAACAGAACGCTTCATATCCGAAGTTCCATCTCCAATGAGAGCAATAAGCCGTAAAATTTTGGCGTTGGTGAGTTCTTAGGCACCAAAAGGTCCAAAACTACACAAGCGTGAACAAAAGACTGAAATATCTTGACCCAGCGGCCAGCGATCACAATAGCATATAAAGCTTGTCAACTTTGCTGTTTTCATAAATCAACTGTTGTCAACTTTTGTACATGGGTTCTGGCAGAAAGCTTCAGTCACTGGTTATCTCTCCGCTGCATGGTCACGAAGACAAATTTAGTTAAAGGAACCAAAGACATAAAGATAGATATTTACAGTATGTATTTTCATTCTCCAAGAGTAAACTGACCATTCTCTTGCTGACATAAGGCTGTATTTGACTTGCATTTTTCAGATGATCATCAAGTTTGCGTGATATCTCGTTCTCTCCCATTAGTTCTAGTCCAGATTCCTTGCCACTGGCCAAGGGCAAACTGGCCATTCTTTTGCTGACATAAGGCTGTAACTGACTTGCAGTTTCCAGGTGATCTTCAAGTTTGCATGATATCTCGTTCTCTCCCGTTAGTTCTAGTCCAGATTCCCTCCCACCGGCCATGGGCAAACTAGCCATTCTTTTGCTGACATAAGGCTGTAACTGATTGACATTATCCATCTGATCATCAACTTTATGAGAAATCTCTCCCATAAATTCTTTCCTGGATTCCTTTCTACTGCCAGACTGCCAAACTCTACCAAAATTGGGGAGCCAATTAGCATCAGTACTGCTATTAACAAGCGCTCCTCTTTTCTGCAATTCCAGCTCAATCTTCCTTCTCTCTGCCCAAGCAGCTCCAACACGTTTAGGATTTAATTTCGAGGACTTGGCAATCTTCACATCATGATGAGGAAATCCTGAATTTGATTTATCATCCAGCTGGATACTTTCAGAGGCACTGAGCCAAGGAGGAGGCGCTCCAGTATGAACATTTCCTCCACTATCAGGTTGAGCTGAAGCAGAAACTTCAATAAGACAGAAAAGACCCAAGGAATAGTATTTTCAGAAAGGCCATCCAAAAATCATAACTCCAAAACAATTATTTATATATATATATAGATATTAAAAAAAGGAAAAAAAAAAAAAAACAGGATATCAATACATAAAGGGAAAAAAACTAGTACTAAAGAAGTGTAATGTGTGAACTGATCTCACCAGTTGAACTATGTTGAGAATTTGTGTCTCCTGAGGCAATTCTTCCATAAGGATGCATCTGGTAAACGCAGATCATATACATATATGTAATTACTCTGAAACAGCTTCAACATATTAAAATAAGACCCAAAAGACGAAAAGGAAAAGCAACCTTCTGCTTCAGCTCGAAACTAACAAAGTCAGTGATTAATATTGTTTCGCAAGTAGAGATGTAGGCTGGGGGGATGGCCTACAATGGGTATAGTTTTATGCATGACGCAGAAACTAGAACAATCGCGGGGGGGAGGGGGGGGGGATGAGGGGGGGAGGAGGAGGTGGCTGCGAAGTATTTACATATCTGTTCGATTGCAGAATAAGTAAAGCATCTAGCCATCAAGGCAAGCGGCGCATAACAACCAAATTCAAGTGAAACTGTTCCGTGAAATGTAACCAGATTCTAGAGGAAAAAAAGTTGTATACTAGAAGTAATTTGATTCATTAATGACCATTTGAAGCAGATTATTCAAACAAGAAACCAAACAGAAGTCATATCACATCTACCCTCTTTTTCAGGAGAAAAAATCGTCATTCATCTCCTTGTCAGTCCAAAGGATTTCTCCTTATCCAATGATCCAATTATCTTATTTTCAAAATTAAGTCACAATAGACTTCTGAAACTCGGTGACAAGAGTCTCCTGTGGCCCCCAACTAGTTATAACAAAAAAAATGCAGATGATTTTCAAGCTTAAATTATGCAACATCCAAACAGAATGCACGGATAATCAGACCAAGAGGTGCACATCTATATTTGAACAAACTTACACTGCCAATCACTGGAGCTCTGTCAGTTTGATGCTCCTTTTTAGGAAAGTTGCCATGAAGATCACCAAAAGAACCTAGCAGAAGAGCAATATCATTTTCCATTAAGGTGGAATTCATTCCTTACAAATGAAAGCGGAAAAAATTCATAAAACCACGAACCTGAAAAACTCATTGGAGCTGAAGGACCTACAACACCACCTGTCGTCATGCAGGCATGATGTCCTTGAGGTCCACAAACTGTAACTGTAGACATATCTGGATGTAAAACCTGAGATCTTTCATTCGTATGATTTTGTAAAGGTAAAACACCATTTGGAGATTTATTGCCACAATTAAGGGAATATAAACTATTCTTATTTTTAAATCTTTCAACACAGTCAGATTTCATTTGAGTTTGGATATCATTTGCATGTCCAGCAGAAGATCCCCTTGATCCTTCATTGGCAGCTTCAGTCTTCAAAAGCTTGCACTTTTTCTGCCACTGCAATATTACGAATAAGTAATTCATAAGCCTACATATAAGCACCTCAGATTACCAGCTGATAAAACCAAAACAGAACCCAGATACGGATAGGGTTTCAAAAGATAGTTCTCCAATACGGACAAGCAGCTACTATTTTTCTCCCTCGAAATAATTACTTCCACTCTACACCATAACAGACGAAAGAATTAATTTCCAAAGAACACCATCACTATTTCAGCAGGGCTTTATTATTTCTTAATCAATTTGTCCATCTTCAGTGAATTAATCCTAACTCATGACATTTACATCAATAGCCAATATAATTCTCATTTTCAAGTATACAGAGAGAAACAGAGTTTCTACTCTTACTAAACCAACAAATGTGCCGAAAAGAAAGAATTATGAACATAGTCTTACCTTAGCAAAATCAGATTCTGAAATTCGAAAGGAATCCACCCGGTCCATTCCACCTCCATATTTCCACAAGAAACCCTTCAGTTGCTTCAGATGCTCTACACTCGCCAAATGTTCAATTGCATTACCACTGCATAATTCCATCCACATTCCGTTCAATTCCTCATTCTTCCACAATAAGCAAAGTACCATAAATGATTATGACAGGTAATAATACATTCAATTGCACCAACAGAACTGGTTACCATGTAAAGGAGCCGTCGGATTTGACAACATCGCAGTCGCAGAAGACGCACCAAAGGCGGTTATCATCGCGATTGAGCTGGTTCCCGGGGCCAACTGGAGTGGGGCTTTTGAGGTGAACAACGACGTCGTTCTTTAGTTTGGATTGGAACCGAGAGAGGAAAGAGGAAAGAGCTTTCTTGTGGTTAGGGAAAAAGTTATGGCGACGGCCTTGGTTGTGATTCAGCCTGCAAATCTTGCAGTAATCGTATTCGGTCTTCTCCTTTTCCGCATCATCATCTTTACCGCCATTACTGTTTTTAAAATTGTTCTTCTTCATGTTTTGGCTCACGCCTCGACGTTGGAATTGGCGCGAATGCTAAGGCGGAGGAGGACGGTGGCTGATGCCTGATGCTGAGGAAGGAGCTGAAGAACGACCGGAGAACTTTTCCCAGGAGGGGAAGTATATCAAGCCTGGGCTCCTTTTGTATGGGCTTGGATACTCCAATTGGATCATTCTTCAGTAAGATTTTTGGGCCTATTTATGTTTCGTAGATGCTTTTCATGGGCTTGAATTATCCAATTCAATCATTTTCGTAACAACCAACTTGGGCTCTTCTTCCAGACCGATTATTCTGTTTGGTGATTATTTTACGGAGGAAATAACACATAATAATACATATAATTGCCTGGGAACTCGGATTTAGAAAAGTCATTTTAGAAATGGACAGTATGCAGGCAGTCCAACTTTTGGCAATAGATCAAACTAGCAATGTAAATACCAATATTTTCTGTAAAATTAGAGGCTTACTAGATCTCCGCTGGGAAGTCTCTATCATCCATACAGGCAGAAATCAAAATGAAGTGGCGGATGGTTTGGCAAAATTAGGATTCTCCTATTCATATAAGAGACATATTTTGTCAACTCCTCCGACCAAGACTTTAGAAGCTTTAGAATTAGATAAGGAAGTCTTCATCCCGTATTTATAGGGATGTTCCGTAACCCAGCGTTAAGCTTCCTTCTTATCTAAAAAAAAAAAATACATATAATTGATTGGTTGGATAACAAAATAATGAGAAACTGTAATTACCCAATCGATAAAATCTTTTGTAGTGTTGCCGACTAAATAATTGGACCGATTTTTTGATGAATTTATTGAAATTATCAATTGAACTATCTAGTTACGGGTCAACATTCTCTTCATGATTGTATTTCTATCAACAATCTCTCAACTATAAACTTAACAGTGTTTGTATAAATCATTTTTATTGATAGTTGATTATTCAATCATAGTAACGGTTTTGAAAGAATTATAGTTTCGAAGATTGAAAGTACTATTCTCATCTCCGTCACTTTTAATAGCAGGAGTAAACAGACTTGCTCAATCATACGACAAACTTGATACAAAGTCTGAGAAGAAAAAAAAACCCCTCAAAATCGGGACAAAAGGGGGAAGAGACAAGGTGGAATCATGAGGGGCATGTGTCATGCTTGCAATAAATGGGGGGTGTTGGAGTATGCCAAGTCAGCAAAATGAGTGATTCATAATATCTCCCCAAACCCTTCTCTCTCTCGTGCATTTGGTGATGTGTGAAAGATATTATTATTTTTTTTTACTTTAAAGCCCAACTTGAAATTTCAGCCTCACATTTTCCGGATCTTGAATCTTCTTCTCCCTGGGGAAAAAAAAAATACGAGTATTCAATATTCATTATTGGATGTGAACTCATTCCAACAATATAACATCATGGATTATGGAAAAGGGAGCATGTTTGTTCATTATTGTAATCTCTCCGTTCCAAAATAAGTGTTGTTTTAACAAAATAGAGAAATTTTAAAATAAGTGTCGTTTTTATATTTCAATGCATTTTTTGTCCAAAGTTTCTAGAATTACTTTCGAAAGAATTAATATTATTGGTGGACATTTTTTTAATGGGGTTGGTTGAGGATATTCAAGTAATTTTATTACCCTATTTAAGAGTTTCTTAAATTATGTGCAAAATATAGAATGACACTTAGTATTTTGGAATGGAGGGAGAATATACTTTGAAGTTAATCACATATGTTGATGACGGTTGATACGTTACTGTATGTGAGAAAAATATCCTCAATTTTTTTTTTATCTTAACTCATGCTCTCGAAACCATTATTCTGTTTGAATTTTCAGTTTCAGTATTTTGAACTAAAACTAATAAATCGAAATTAAACAACAATTTCGGAATGCGAGGAGCAAAATAAGAGTGTTTACTATCGATAGTAAATATCTATTACTCTTGAAAAGTAAAAAAAATGGCCGTGGGAAATAAAATAATGAGTAACTTGCATACACAAATATACAATAAGTGAACATTTTTGAGAAAAAAATAGATAAATACATATATTAGTTTGAATTACATTGTGTCCATTGTTAAATATATTAAATCTATTTAATTTATTGAATTAAAGCATTATTACAAATTATCACTTCTTGGACAGTGAAGCATGAATTTTGTCTGTTTGATATGAGTTTTATCAAACTTATTCCGCTCATTAAACTACTCATCTTTCATTTATGAAAAAATAATTCACTTCATTAAACTCAATGACTATATATATAAAATAAACTATGAAACTCTAATGGAACAGATGTGTACTAGGTCTCGTATCCACAATTGACTCTGTGCTTCAAAAAATCTATAGCAACTTGATTTAAAATATATCTATTTCTAATTCTCCATTTCGTTCATGCAAAAATATCAATATATAATCTTTTTTAGGTACGGATTTGCAGCTTCTCTTTTTCTCCCCATCCTACAATTTGCATATTCATCATCTCACATATGCAATTTATATACACGAATCAACATCTGCCGTTTAACAACCAATCACTAGATTTTGTCTGTAATTTTTTAATACACTTTACCATAAGTTGCATATATTCATAATTTAACATTTGCCTGGATTTGGAGTCAATGATGATAGCAAAACCTCTTTTTATTGAACTTACCTATTGTGATAGATTTGAATTGTTACTTGCTACCGATCAGCCGACTGGTTTTATATTTTAACAGGAAATCCGTTTGAAAAAAGTAATGTTCTTTCCATCTTTGGACTTCCGACAAAATTTAAATATTAATTTGATGGAAATTTAAATAAAGCATGTTTGGACTTTCTAAAAAAGATGATTTAACTAAAGGAATACTACTACCCCCATTCATTGTGCTAAAGAAGTCATGTACAAAATTGTACTCCCTCCGTCCCATAATTATTGTCCAATTTTACTAAAAGTAAAGATTTTATTTTTGGTCAAACTTAACTATATTTTACCTTAAACAACCGGATATACCCTTACATAAGTAATAGTTTAACCACTAAGATTTTATGAATAATTTTTTTACTAATGACAAATGTGTAACTTGATCCATAAAAAGTCAAATTGGACAATAATTTTGGGACAAAATTTTTTGAGTAAAGTAGATAATAATTATGGGATAGAGGGAGTATTTTTATTTTAATGTGCAAATTAAAATTTGAGCTAATTAACATTCAAGAAATAAATAACTGCCAAAAAAAAAGAACGTAAACTTGTTTATCAAAAAATTAATGGTTATACTTGGAGATTATTTCAGAAATTCCTCTTCTTCTTGGTAGAGGGAATGAAGTTGAAGTTTTACTTCAACGTTAGAGAGAAAGGAAAGTTTGTGATATCTGGTAGAGAAAAAGGTATCCAAGTTTATGTGAAAATAATTTTAACCATAACATGGATATGTGTATATCATACTGTTCATGTCCTACTTCCATTTTAAAAAATAGCCACGATTCAACTAATTTGATTCTTTTCCCAACAAGTATAGAGTATTACTACCTTCTTTTCACAATGTAAGTCTAATTTAAGTATCACAAATATTAAGAATTAATGATTAGCAAAGATAAAAGATCCACTTTTAAATCCACTTTAAACTTAATTAATAAGGCCAACTGTTATTTAACTCAACAATTATTATGAAAACAAGTAATTTAGGCAAATACACAATTTTATGCATCGGGATACATATTAACTTATATTTTGACATAGTCTAAAATGGAAATTGGACTTACATTATGAAAAGGAGGTGGTATATGTTAAGATAAAGGGTTTCCTATGATAGTTAATTATGTGTTTGCAATCGCACATACAAAAATTCAGTGGCGGACTAGGGGGAAGAGACGGAGGGGTGCTGTCGGACTTGCTTAATTTTTTTTTGTAATTAGTAGAGGTATTCTAAATTTTTAATTAAAAAATTATGTATTGTATTATTTTTTGCATCACCTATATTGATTTCCTGACCATTGGTACTTTTTTTTAAAAAAAAATTTTGCATCCCTAAAAATTGACTTCCTGGTTTTGCCACTGCGAAAATTTGAAAATCGTTGGGAGGTAGTTAATGAAACAAAGAGAGAAGTGATTGTAGTTCAACTAGATGATTTTTGTGTGTTTATTTTTTTGTGTGTAAAAAACTCTTATGGTTCTTATGGTAAAGTATTTTAATTTCTCATATATAGGTTTCATTTATCGTGTTCTTTTAATTGAAAATAAAAGCTTAAAATTTTTTTTTTCATATTTATTGTGTTTTTTCAACTATTATAAAGTTTTTTAAAGTTTCATTTTTAATTGAAAAAATACAATAAATGAAATTTAAGAGAAATTAAAATGTTTTACAACAAGGACATGAGGGAGTACAATATCATTGTCGTTAATTTCAATCAAGTCAGATATATCTTTTAACGAGAACGTAAAATTATTTCAAAAAGTATTTATTAATACATCATCATTTAATAAATCTATTAAATGTAAACACGATTTTGAAAAATATAAATAAAATAATTAACTATCACGAAATATATTAAATATTATTTAGAAAAAAAACTTTTTGTCCAAAATACTAAAATACAATAAATATAACTTTCTTCTTCTTTCCTAACATGTAATACCGTGCATTTGTTTAAAGGAACATAGGAGATGGGCTCAGAAAAAAGTAACTAACTTAGAGAGACTCACCAATTAAGGTGGTCTAGTTATAAAGGCTATGACATCCAATTACAATGATGCGGGTTCGAACCTCCACAACACTGGTTTATTATTGATCTAATAGTTTAGGCACTTGTAAGGTAGTTTTTTTATAAAATAACATAAAATAAAATAAGAGAGACTTCCATCATGCTTATTCTTTTAAGAGAAACTCCATCATACTTATTCTTTTATTTTGCGCTTCGAAAAATTACTGTATATTCTTTTTTTTCAAAGAAAAAATGCAAGTGTTTAAAATTACATTAACGTATTTGTATAATACTCAACAATTATCACATCATGGTCCCACCGGTTTGACATCCGAGAATATAACTTGTAGTTCTCCGATCATAATATTGGCGACGATATTAAATAATCTGTAACGAAATCAACCAATATAATACACAACACTTATCACATCATGGTCTTATCGGTTTGACATCAGAAAATATAACTTGTAATTCTCCATTCATAATATTGGCGACGATATTAAATAATCTGTAATCAAATCAACCTTTCGATATAATATAGTCAATAAATATTTGGGAGTAATTTTTGGTTCCTATACTATATTGTACATACCGAGAATATTTAAACTAAAAAATCTCAGAAACGGCCCCAAAGAGTTTATAAAGTCCGATAATTGACCCAAAATCTCATCCACCAAGCCAAGCAAAGATCACTCCACAACACCACCTAACAAATCAGCTCTACAACTACATCGGCTTACGTTTGCGGGGTGTAAAGTGGGACCCACCAAATTGGGTGGCTAGTTGCAATGAATATCTTCCACAAGCATCACTAATTTAATTTTATTTTAGTCTAAAATTTTCTATATTTGGTGTAGCAATGGTGGGCTGTGGTAGTGTATGCATATGTGTCTTTAAGGTATAGGGAAATGGCAGATTTTGATTTCATTTCACACCAAGACAAACAACTATATATATATATATATATATTTTGGTACAACGAAAAAGACAATGATAATAGGTTACATAGTAAAAAATGTCGATTACGTCGTGTCAAGTTACATGGTAACACAGAACGGTAAATGGATAATTTTTAGAACTAAATAAATACGTTAGATAATCAGCTATAAAATTCGATTCAGAACAAAGACAATGGAACTGTGGAAGAATTAATTTATCTATCCTAATCCTCTCAAGCTTGGGTCCTACCCAACCCCTTTCAATCCAAGAAAGAGAAGGCTGAGCCTGAGAGATCTTATTGGAAACTCATGAAAAAGATTAAGCGTCAATGCACTGTCTGACACGTAATTGTAGTCCCGTGCAATTCTAGCCACAAGATCTCTCCTTCCTTCTGGAAATTTCCATGAATATTTTATTACCTTCCTTGTTGATTTTCAAGGTTCTCTTTTTTTTTTCCTACAATATTTTTGTTTTGGCAAACACAAGTAATCCTACTTGGCATGTCACAAAAGCCCACCTTCTTTCCTTGCTGTATTTCTTCCTCTTTTATTCACCACATATTCTTCACATTCCAAGATCTTCTCTCTGTGCCCATTGCCCTGCGCCCACCATCACTTCCAGTTCAAATCATTTTTAGTGGTTTTATTCAGCTTGGAGGGGGTCTTCTTCTTCTTCTTCTTTGACTTGTTCTCACTCTCTTCTGTTACCCATTCTGGAAGTTTGGAAATGGTTGCTGAAGCTCTTGTAAGTTTTTGTTCTTTGTTTTTGTTTGGCATTTGAATTTGATTTCCAGTTGTTAGTTCAGCTGTTGTATTCATTTTTGGGAACTTTGAATCATAGATTTGTGAGATGTGGCTAGAAACCAATAGGGCTTCAGAAAGATTGCAACTTGAATAGAAATATGTGGATTTTGGAATTACTTGGCCACTGGAAACATCATAGTTTTATCTGGGATTGGTTAATAACTTACTAGTTAATGGACAATTATTGTGGATTTTTTTAGTAATGACTTATGTTTAGATATTTGGGTTTTGGGTTCTTGAAAATTTCCTTGCATTTCTGTGAAAGAGCTCGAGTTTAATGCTCAGTAAGATGTCCTTACAATGAGTTATGTTTAGATTGATATGTCGTATTAGTAACTTAGCTCGGAGATGCTTCATTTGATTTTCAGGCCTCCAAATTTATGGAGGTTGAAAACCATTTTATTTTTTCTGGTTAGTTTTTTGTAGCTTTAAGCTCTGTTGCATTTCATATAGTTGGTGCCTTTGGGAGCTTAGACTTTGGTTGGATAGTTTGTGTAGAATTCAAGGAATATCACAGCTTTGGTGGGCTGTAGAAGTGGTTTCTATTGGATGTCAATGTCGAAATTGGGGAGTTTCTGTTTAACAAACTGAATTCGAGATATAGAACTAAAGAATGGATCTTTGTAAGTATTTATGTGTTTCCTAGAATTGAAGTCGTTGTCCTGTCTATCTGTAGGATCTGACTGAAGGCACCAGTCTCGATGCATCTTTGGGTGTGAGACCCCACTTGGAAAGTGCAGCATCTCAAACTGCAGACTTGACTGGCTTAGGAAATGGCTACGCACCTAAGGTCTGTTTCCATTTCCATGGCCCTCTTAAATATCCCAATTTTGGGTTTGAAAGAAGTCTACAGCTTGCACAGCTTTATAATCAATAACTGCAATCTTTAGGTGCGGAAGCCTTATACTATTAAAAAGCAACGAGAAAAGTGGACAGAGGAAGAACACCAGAGGTTTCTTGAAGCTTTGAAGCTATATGGTCGTGGTTGGCGCCAAATAGAAGGTAGAACAAATACATATTTGTTCAATCATCAACTAACCTGTCACCTTCTCATTAACCTGTGCTTTTGAATCCTTTTAATTTCAAACCAAATCTCATAAAACTGAAGTTCTGTTTCTGAGCGCTGAGTACCATTCTAATAAACTCATTTTTATACTCTTTTGCCAAGGCAGAACATGTAGGCACTAAAACTGCCATTCAGATTCGTAGTCATGCCCAGAAGTTCTTTGCCAAGGTTTGTGATTTGTTTCGAAATGATTCATTAAGAAGTTATGCACTTGGTATTTCATTAACAAATGACTGAGATTTTGTTGGATGCCAGGTTGCACGGGACTCTAATGATGGTGGGGGAACCGTTGATCCAATTGATATCCCTCCTCCTCGACCAAAGAAGAAACCTATGCATCCTTACCCACGCAAAGTGGCAGACTCTTCTAAAACATCGTTGGTTGATTCACAACTCTGCGAACAGTCTACCAACCCTAAATCTGACGAAGAAAGGAACATGTCACCAACTTCTGTTCTGTCTGCAATTGAATCAGATACATGTGGATCTCCAGTTTCTGGGTTGCAGAGATCTCGCCTTTCACCTGTCTCATTTTCCAGTGATGATGCACACTCTGCTAACAGACGTTCCATGGAAAATGAGAATGAGAATGAATGCATAGCATCTAATTCTTGTGCTGAAGAATCAAGGGAATATCTTTACTCAACTGCCACAGCAGCAGATGATAAATCTATTATGGTATACATCAAGTCTACCTCACTGTTGATTGTCCATTATATTTTCACTTCCATCCTCAGTGATTTAGTTGCCTTTCTCAGTCATTTTGATTTCTATTTAACACATATGCAGGAACCTGATCTGCTGACTTTAGGTAGATCATGTCCTGGGGAAGAATCAGCCATTGCAGCTCCTACTGTGACTATTAAGCTGTTTGGAAAGACAGTAGAGGTAAAAGAAAACCAAAAGTCAGCTTCATCTGTTCCTGAGACTTATGGAACATCACCTTCTAACAATAGCAAAGGGATATCGGATGTCAGTAATAGCCAGCAGGCACCTGGTACTATTTTTTCATTGGTTCCCGGTGGCATTACTCCACTGGCTTGCTTGGTACCACAATATGCATTAAGTGAGGCATGTGGCCAAGTGGGTGTACCCTTGTGGACTTGGGTACAAGGTCCAGTTGTGCCAACTCTTTCCTTGAGCCACCAAACAGCTTCAGAAACTGTTGTAGATTCTCCATACAAGGGACATGTTGAATTTAAAGAGCCCCAAAGGGAAGGTTCTTCAACTGGTTCAAATAGCAGCTCAACTGCTAATGGTGCTAATGTGCACCAAAGCATTGTTGTTGATTCTAAAACTCTCTCTTGGACGGGTAAACACAGGTCGGCGAAAGGGTTTGTGCCTTACAAAAGATGTTTAGCCCAGAGAGATGCTACATCATCGATAGTGGCTGCTGAAGAGCGCGAGGGACAAAGAACTCGTGTTTGCTCATAGCACTGACGTTGAATTGAGTGGAGAGCTGACACATTTCTCTTAACTCGTCTAAATTAAGGTAATAAGCTTAACTAGAGTGATGCACAGAGGTTTTAACAATTTTGGCCATTATCAATAGGAAACCTGTTGGTAGATCCCTTATGCATGGATGGAGAACAAGTCTGCGATCGATGCATCATTTTAAAGGGTATCTGCATCTGGTTGGAAATGGAGTTGATTGAACTGATGGAGAAAAATGCATTCATTGGCCTCCTTAGGAAAAGTGTTTGTAACATTGTTAGTTCTTGGTCTGTTTTGTTTCTTTTTGAATGTTACTGCCTCATTCTTAACTGTAAAATCAGAAACTACCCCTACAAGAACAATTGTAACTTCATTTTTTTCAATACATACTTTTTGGTCATCATTTATTGCACTGCAGTGTCTGTCAGATCTGATCTCTCAGCATTGATGAGAATCAAATCTCAGGCAAAACCCAATCTAAAGCTTCCTAGTTTTTTCTGTTTGGGGAAAACACCTGAGTTTCATTGGAACTCGAAGGAATCTTCACTGAACATTCTGCAACATTGTTAAATTATTTAATTAAAGAAAGAAGGGTGGGTTTGCGATCAGCACAAAGCACAGTAAATAATAGCTACATATGGATAGCAGACGCAGTTAAATTATCCTAAGGAAATCAGAATAGGTTACTAGAGAATTTGATATGGATGCCAATCAAAGAACTAATTGTTAAAGTAATGAAGCCTAGACAGTAGACATGACCTTGATACTTAACATGTGAATCTTGTGAAATGGAATGTAAGACTGTAGGAGAGTTTTCATCAGCAATGCTACTCAAGAATTCTTTTTTTTTTTTCTACTCAGGCATCTTGTGGAGTCTGACTACATGGCTTCTCAATGCTCGGGAGTAGTTGCTTCGAAAGGGACAACTCTTCACAAGCCAGGCTAGTTATGCTGTAGTCATGTGGATTTTGCCTGAGGCTAATTTTTTTTTTTTTTTGGTAATGCCGGGAACCTACCAGAGATATGTTTATCTGTTCATTTCCTCCCAAACTCTTCAAAGAATTTTAAGCATGTAGAATGGTTCATCTGCAACGACCGAAGGCTTCAATTTCAAATGTTTATCTATTTATTTCCTCCCAAACTTGCACCATCCTAATTAACAGGAATTGTTCTAGCCTCTCTAAGTTTAGTTTATCAGTGAAGGAAATGTAAAAGGAACACCAAAACCATAATACAGAAGATTTGTAACCTTAACCACCGAAAAGATGGTATCCATCAAAGAACATCATCCAGTGGCAACAGAAAGGCATACTCAAGCTCTCGTTTGTGGTACCCTAAATATATACATGCATAAGTAAAATTGTGAAGATGAAAAGTTTCTACAGCAGCAGAAATCATCATTTTCTAATAACCACATTTATACTGTCCTCCATCAATGTAACACTTTTAATTAAGATAGTATAGTATGGTCTTGGAAAGTTTCATACTTACTAAAAGAAATTTTTATCTTTTTCAAGTTACATGTAATGATGAAAACCTTTAACACCAACACATTAACATAACCATTCTGACTAATTAAACAAACCACCAAAAAAGGGGAGATATCATTATTCATTTCGATAACTTCAAATTCAATGTTTTGATATGAAAATCATGTATATCTGTCACTAGATTTGGTGCAATTTCCCATCATTTGTATGGTGCTTCAGAATCAGACCTTGAAAACTCATATCATTCCCCTCGGGATAGAGCCCAATCTTCAAATTCTTAAAAGTCGAAACTAAGAGGAGTAAAATGGAACATCCACCCTAGTTGTAGTTTATGGATTTTACTGAATTTTTCTCGAAATAATTTATTTTTCACTTTAAAAGATTTTGAGTTAAACCCATTCGTTTTAATTTTTTGCAATGTTAACCTTTCTTCCTTACTTATTAATTTCTTACTTAAAAAAATATTAATTATGCATTTTCAACCTTTCAAATTTATATTTTGAGTTATTTAAAATTTAATAAGGTGTTTTTGATACGTAAAACTGTATGTGAAATATGAAAGTGAGAAACAAAGAAAATTCAAGTTTATAGATTTAAAATTTTGAGTTTATCCATTGCTTTAAAAAATAATATTGATCTGTAATTTGAATTTTCGTTTAGGGTGTATAAATGCATTAGATATGCTTGTGAACATATATAAACGGTCTCCTACTTATATACAGTAAAACATCTATAAATTAATATATTTTTCTGGTTTTTAAGTCAGGACGCATACAAAATAATAAAAAATAATTTTTCACAAACCTTTAAAATGTGAAAAAATGAATATAAAGATAGTTTATTTTTTATGGAAATTTGTAAATAATGTGATAAGTTAAGAATTAAATCAAAAAACTAAAAACTCGACTTTATCTCTTAGTTATTATAAATTGAAAGTTTTTTTTTCATTTTTTTCTAAATTAATAAGTTAGTAATTTAATAAACTAATTAAATTAACTATTAATCAATTTGTAGTTTTTAATAGTTTTTTAAAATTAATAATTTTTTATTAAATTAATAATTTATTAATTTATCGATTAAATACAAATCTATAATAACTAGAAAAAACCAATTATCGAATAAATAATAACTAGGACTTATCTCTTAGTTATTTTAGATTGACATTTTTTTTCATTTTTTTCTAAATTAATAAGTTGAACACATGCGAAAATCAATTTCATTTGTATGATAAAATGTTATCGATTAAATAAAAATTTATCAATTAAATACAAATTAATAATTTTATTTTTTCTTAGTTATTACAAATTAACTTATAGATTTTCTACTGTAGTTGAACACATGCAGAGTTTAAAATCTTAGATTCGCCCATGCATCTACTCCAAGGATTATATCCCATAGCCTTTAACTCATATTGGAAGGTGTAATCTTCGACTGTCCATTTTACCAACACTTATTTGAAGTAGTAATTTGTGTTCCATCCGCAATCACAATTTTTATAGCTCTCATATGTTGCTGTTGCAATCCATATATATTCCGTTCTGATGTATGCTACCCGTATCCAACAATATAAAAACCAGCTGAGTTGGACAAAGAAATCCCTTAAGGACTATACTTATTCTCCTCGAAACTATAGAAAACACATTAAGTGAAAGATGATACATGCCTAAAGAGATAGGTGATAGGAATAGTTTCATAATCATACGAGCACCTGGATTTCAAGGAGCACCACTTAAGGTCCAGATTTCACTCATACCATTAATCATTATACTCATTTTCTTGCAATGAAAAATAATGGGACTGAAATCAAACATCCAATCAAACTCCTAATAAGTGTCCCAGCCATATTTCAATTCCATGATTTTAAAATCATATGTGAAACTATATTTATCAATCTTCCATCCTACATTGGTACAAATTCTTGAGAATTTGATTTCTTCGCCATCGGCTAGTGCAATGGTTTAGATGTCACTTTCTTCGATTCGAAAACTATGGAAGAAGACGGTCAATCTGTCCATGTTACTATCAGTAGACCGTGTAAAAAAGAATCTCAACTTTCCTCTTCCCAATCATGTCACGAAAATTGATGGTCTTCCCCTTAAATGCATCTTCAATATACTTTCTTTCCTTATTGGTCATTCTTTTGTTCTTGGACAATTTCTCAGAATTTGATTCCTATAGTAATTTTTTTTATAGTTCTTGATCATTCTGAGTAGTTGATTCATTTTTTTTTCCATATGATAGTCCTCGCAATTTTTCCTTTAAACTGCACTTCTTGCCGTATGAGAAAAAAAACGAAAGATACGGCAAGAAGTGCAATTCAAAAGTGAGGAGAGAAAAAAAACGAAAGATATGGCAAGAAGTGCAATTCATAAGTGAGATCGAGTTTAAAGGAAAAATTGCGAGGACTATCATACGATGATGTAGATGTTCTTGGTCATTTGTTCGATGGGTTGATCATTTTTATTTTCTTGAGTTGAAGACTAAATGGGATATGTATGTAAACCAATCTTAACGCAACGGAATAAACACATACTAATTTCATATTAAGATCATTTTGTAATCTATAAATAATATAAACATTTAAGAATTGTGTGCTTTTAACAACAAATCCATTAGCCACGATCAATACACAGTGAAGTTTGATCACAAAATGTTCAAGCGGACAACCCTCCAACGGAGTAACGGTATATACACGAACAATTCTTAGAATGCAGACACAAGACATGGCAGCTTGTTCTCTGTATTATGAGCTAGGGTTTATGAAACTGTCTTTCAATCCCATAACTTGTGTATGTGACTTATTTATAAAAGTCTATAAGTACGGATAATTATCATAAAATTCATAATTATTTATTAATTAGTACATAGTTACGATTAATTTATCATATAAATTAATGCTTTAATTATCCTAATTAATGTCTTTTTCCTAAATTTGTAAATACATTGGCAATAAATATAAATTCTAATCCCGATATTAATTTATTTTCGCACATAAAACCAATAGGATTTTGCTCAAATCAAACAGGGGAGAAAGAGAGGGAAGAATTGAAATGTACCAGTGGGAGAATTTGGAGAAGTTAAAAAAGTTGGTACTAAGACTTCTAGTTAATCAGATTGACTAAATAGACAACATTGTAGCACTTTCTTTTTGTAGTTTTCAACTCTTCCCCGATGGGGGCATTAATGGCTTTAGCAACAGCGGAATTCGAAACTTGTACCACAAAACATGGGGCTAATGCGAAATCTTTGGAATAATAGTAGAAAATTGGAGGCTTTGATAATGGTGGCGGTGGCCCGGTGCTGCTGCTACAGAGGAAGAGCTGGAGCAGCCAACCTTGATGTGATTCAAGTAGTGGAGTATGTAAGAGAAGAGGTAAAGACAATGTACCTGCTTGAATGTTTGCAGAAGACCCTCCTCCGGTTGTAATCTTCTGGGAGAACAAAAGGGATGTTGATGACATTCATGAATACCTTCTTCTAAAGGAAGTTGAATCAGTGGCAATCCGTGGTGGTAGGGATCAAGAAGAGTGAGATTAGGCCATTAAATCCTTCAAACAAGGAGCGAACGACGTGTTGATTGCCACGGATGTTGCTTCAAAGGGTATAGACTTCCGTAACATCCAACATGTTATCAACTATGACATGCTAGCAGAATTTGAGAACTATGTTCATAGGATTGGCCGAACTGGACGATGTGGAAAGACCGGGATCGCAACAACCTTCATCAACCGGAATCAGCGTGAAACCACTCTTCTAGATTTGAAGCATTTATTACAAGAAGCAAAGCAAAGAGTACCTCCTCTAACCGCAGCAGATTTGATGCATTTCGGTGTGAATTCGATCTAGAAAAAAGAAGAATCAGGAAATCGTAAAGTCGAAGAAAAAGGAATTTTGAGAGAGAGAGATTATGTGTCGTAAAATCTATATTAAATTGGTCTTAGTCTCGTTAATTACAATAAGACAGAGATCCCATATTTATATTCAACGAATAAAACTGCTAACTGACTAAACTACTCATATTTACAGCTAAGCCCCTAAACTATACAAAGTGTTCAAATCAGTCTGTACAAAGTAGTAATCAGAACAATATTTACATACTACTATATGTACAAATATTCACAATATATTCACAGCCCCTTCTCAAGCTGGAAGATGAAGGGGATCCTTCAAGCCAAGCTTGATAAGCAGTGAGTGAAAGGCAGGATATGAGAGGGATTTGGTGAACAAGTCGGCAAGCTGGTCTTTAGATGGAACAAAGAAATGAACCAAGAAGCCGGATTGGTAATGATAATGAATGAATTGGCAGTAGATCTCGAGATGTTTCGTTCGCTTGTGGAAGACCGGATTCTCAGTGACGTCTATTGCGGAAGCATAGTCACACCAAAGTGGAATTGGCCCGTCAAGCTGAATACCAAAGTCTTGAAGCAAGTATGAAATCCAAAGCATTTCTTTGCAGGTGGTACTCAAACTGCGGTATTCAGCTTCACTGGAAGAGCAGGAAATGGTTTCCTGTTGCTTTGCCTTCCAGGAAATGAGAGATGATCCAAGAAAAATACAAAAACCACTGATGGATTTACGCTCAATAGGATTTGAACCCTAGTCAGCATCACTATAGGCCTCAAGAGTAAAAGAGCTGGAAGAAGAATAGAATACATCAAGAGAGAGAGTACCTTTAAGGTATTTCAACACATGGATGAGGGCTTCCGAATGTTCTTCACAAGGAGATTGAATGTGCTTGCTGAGTTATTGCACAACAAAGGCGATGTCGTGGCGAGTGAAACTCAAGTATAGGAGCTGGCCAACAAGCTTCCTGTAATAGGAAGCATTTGACAATGGCTGACCAGGAGAATCAGTAAAGTGATGGCCTTTGGGGAGAGGGTTAGTTGTGGGCTTACAACCAAGCAAACCAACATCTTGCAGAATGTCAAGGATATACTTACATTGACTGAGATACATTCCTTCTGGTGACCTGGCAATCTCAATCCCCAGAAAGAATTTAGCAAACCCTAAGTCTTTGATGGTAAATTGCTAATGAAGAAAGTCTTTTACCTGAGCTATAACAGTGTCATCAGAACCTGTAATCAAGATGTCGTCAACATAGACAAGTAGAGCTGTAAACAGACCATCCTTGCTGTAAGTGAACATGCAAGGATCATGAAAAGACTGCCTGAAACCAAAAAGCTGAATCTGTCAGGTGAATTCGATGTTCCATTGTCGGCTTGCCTTGTTTAAACCATAGAGAGATCTATGGAGTATGGAGTTTACAGACCTACTAAGTATTGGTTGAGAGATAACCTGGAGGAGGATCCATGTAGACTTCCTCTTCGAGATAGCCATGAGGAAAGGCGTTATTGATGTCAAGTTGGTGAAGTGACCAGTTTGAAGTAGCAGCTATAGCCAACATCAATCTCACTGTAACAACCTTTGCAACGGGAGAAAAAGATTCCTGAAAATCTTCACCTTCAATCTAGTTGTAGCCTTTGGCTACTAATCTGGCCTTATACCATTCTACAGAACCATCTGAGTTGAACTTCACTTTGTAAACCCATTTGCAACCAATGTTTTTCTTGCCAGCAGGTAGAGAAGTAAGTGTCCAAGTATGGTTAGCCTCTAGAGCATCCAGCTCTGCTTGCATTGCCTCTATCTAATGAGGATTAGTTCTGGCCTCTATATAAGTCTTTGGTTCCTTGATGGAGTGTATATGAGCCAGAAAAGACATGTGTGCAGTATAAGGAAAAGAATCTGAGATATAAGGAAAAGTTTGTGGTGTATGTGGAGAGCTTTGTGGCAAAATAGGTGAAGAAGATGTAACAGCCATATTGGCTTTGCAGGGTTCAATGTCTTTCATGCAAACAGGAGGATGAGAAATTTTAGTGCTTCTTCTTAAAATAGGAGAGGGTGAAGAAGATAAAGTAGGACAAGGATCAGTAGAAATAAGGGGAGATAAAGATGGAGAACCATGATCTGGATTCTCAAGTGTAGGAGAATGTGGATTTTCAGAGGTAGGATTAATAGTAATAGGAGAAGAATTCAGATTAGCAGGCCGATATGCCAAATCTAGAACAGTAGAAGAAAGTAAGACTGGAGATGAGGAAGAATGTTGACAAGGGAATGTAGTCTCATGAAAGAATACATCCCGAGACACAAAAAATTTATGAGTTTGAAGATCATACAGCTTGTACCCCTTTTGACCAGCAGGATACCCAACAAAGATAGACTTGATGGCCCTAGATTCAAACTTATCCTTATGAGGATGAGTGTTGGTTTCATAACAAAGACATCAAAACACTTTCATATGGGAATAAGATGGAGTCTTGGAATGTAAAAGTTCATATGGTGTCTTCCAGTTTAATAAGGAAGTGGGCGACCTATTGATGATGTAAGTAGCAGTCAGAATGGCTTCCCCCCAAAATCCTATTGACAACCCTGACTGGAAAACAAGGGATCTAGCAATTTCAAGCAAATGTCTATGTTTTCTTTCAACCACACCGTTTTGTTGTGGTATGTATGGGCAGATTTTCTGATGGAATATACCAAGGTTATGGAAGAGATTCTGACAATCAGCATTGGTAAATTCAGTTCCGTTGTCAGATCTTACTGATTTTATTTTCTTTTCAAACTAAGTATGAACAAGGTTAAAGAAATAAGTAAGAATAGAGGTTGACTGTGTTTTTTTTTCGCATCAGGAATGTCCAAGTGGTTCTAGTGAAGTCATCCACTATGGTCATAAAGTAGAAAGCACCACTAATGGATTTCTGTTTGTATGGACCCCACAAATCAATATGTATTAGATCAAAGGAACTAAAGGTTTGTATACAACTTGTTGAAAAAGATGGTCTAGATTGTTTAGAAAAAGGACAAACATCACAAACACTGTGATTTACATCAGAAGTATTACATACATCTATTTTCTTAAGTACAAAATCAGAAGCATGGCCTAGTCGATTGTGCCACAAAGCTTTATTTCTTGTATCTACTAAGTTGGACTGGTGTAAGGTGTGATACTGTGGAAGAGAAATGAAGGGATGGTTGATGTTGTCCTTGAGAAATTGGTTGATGGTGTGTGAAGAAAAAGAATTGGAGTCCAAGACATACAATCTGTTTAAGACCTTTCCAACACCAACGACTCTTATAGTCTGTTGGTCTTGTAACAGACAGAAAGATGTGGAAAAAACAGTCAACATGAGAAGCTGATGCCAATTTATTGACACAAATGAGGTTATATCAGAAAGATGGAACATGCAAACATTCTGGTAGTTAGAAATTATCAGAAAGTTGTGCAATACCAATGTTTTCTACTGATTTAATGGTTCCATCAGGCAAGGTAATTGGAGTATAACTAGTGACAGGATGATATGAAGTAAGATTCAAGAATGCACACATGTGCCCTATGGCAACTGAATCTAAGAACCAAAGAGTTAACAGCTGCTTTTCAACTAAGCTCAAAGCAATCAAATCTTTGTAGCAACTCATACTTGCAAACCCCTGATAGTGAGCAAAGTTGACATGTCCAGCATTGTTGTTTCCAGTAGTAGCATTCCTGTCCATCATCATCTTGGACATCTCAGTCTGCATCATCTTCACGTTATTCATCATAGCCACCATATTATCCTCATTAGTAGTCCCTCCTGATTCTAATTCAAGTGGATGATCAACCATGTTAGCTGAGTTCCGGGGAATTTGATTCTTCTTGCTTTCTTTAAACTCTCCCACCATTCGAGATTGCCAATAAGCTTGGAACACCCTTCCTTCAAGTGACCAAGCATTTTGCAGTGATCACACTTCAATAATTTCTTGAGAGCCTTATCCATCCTCAGATTATTATCCTTATTGATGGAATAAGTGTTCTTCTTAACTCCCTGGTATGAAGTAACTTGACTAGCATCTGGTGAAGGCAAAATTCCTGGTCTATAACTCTGATTCCCTGAACTAAAAGATTTCTTTTGCGCTAATAATGCACTTTGTTCAACTGGATCAACAAAACTTCTTGACATAGCCTGCTGCTTTTCCACATTAATCAACATATAATATGCACGTTTCACGCTCAGAAGCAGACATTTCATTTAATCCACTCAAAAATTCCATTAGTTAATGCCTATTCTCTCTTCCACCATGTCGAATTGAACGAAAAGTACAACCAGAACAAACACATTCATCAGGAGGTTCTACAATACTCAGTTCATCCCAAATCTTCTTCAATTTTGAATAGTACACGCTTAAAGACAGATTACCTTGAGAGATCGTAGCCACTTCCCTTCTGAGTCGATAAACATGTGGTCCATTCCTTGTCCCATGCTCTTCACGCAGTTCTTCCCAAAGGCTAGCAGCATCTGATGCCAAATTGTAGTTCTCCACCAATTCATCAGAAATCGCATTCAAGATCCACGAGACAACAGTGTCGTTGACTCGGTTTCACTGCTCGAAGTTAGGATCATCTTCACTCGGTGGAGGCACGGCACCAGTTATGAATCCAATTTTGTTCTTCGTTCCTAAGAATCAGTGAACTGAATGACTCCAGGAGATGTAATTTTCTTCTGTTCACTTCGTATTGACAATCAACATAGAGGAATTATCCGAAGGATGCAGAACCAACGGATGTGTGTATCCACCATAGCTCACTAATTCTTGCTGATTAGTTGTCATTTCTGTTTAATTCAGAGAATTTGAGGAAGAAATTGTGAGGAAATGAGAATCAAGAAGGACGAGATTTCAAGAAAAAACAAGATCTAGGGTTTCGAATTTCTCCGGCTACGGATTTGCGTCACCGAGCAGGGCTACAACTTGCTCTGATACCATCTAACTGCAGTAGATTTGATGCATTTCGGTGTGAATTCGATCAAGAAAAAGGAAGCATCAGGAAATCGTAAAGTCGAAGAAAAAGGAATTTCGAGTACAAATATTCAGAATATATTCACACCTCCACTACTGAAAGGATTGAATGATACAATGGAAGTTGTAGCGCGTGAAGGAGGAGCCAAAGGCTGTAGTTTCGGTGGTGGGTTTGGCCCTCACATCTGCGACTGCCCCAAGTTAGAGCAACAAAAGAATGCATATTGCAAACTCATCAGGAAGAGACTATTTTCGGATTTGATGGCTTGTCAAAGAAGATCATTGAATGTATTTACTCCAATTTTTAACATAATAAATAATTTGTTTTTAATACAGATTGGAAGATGTGTTGATTGCAAATTAATTCTTTTAAGAGCAAATTAAAGACTCGCTCATCACAATGCATATATCTTCACTAATCACTCATCAATTTTTGCAGCTCAAGTGCTCGCTCAGTTGACTGCACGATTCGGAGGATGAAATTGAAACGCTACAGGGAAGGAAATCCTTTTCCCCTAGGGTGTTTTCATTGGTCGAACACAGTGTTGTTGTATGCACACAAAGGTCCAACCTTGAAACAAGCACTATTAGTGTTTGATTGGGGTTCTATAATCAGTGGTCGTCATCATCTTTATTCAGCTTCCATCGCTGACTGGATAAAGCTTTGCCGTTTGTAAAAGGGTTCAAAGCTTTGAATTGGATGTTAGAGAAGATGGAGGTTGTGACTTGTGATATTTGTGCTGATTTGGAGACTCGTCTTCCATTTCTCGTCTTTGACAGGCTAACTTCCATGTGCTTGAAATCAGTCTCTGTATCTGATTCAGATTTGGCATACTTCCTTGTCCAAATTTACCTTGCTTGAGCAACTAGCTGTAGAGAGTGAGAGTTTCTTCTAATCAATCACCTAACTTGAAGCAGTTAAAAATCAAATATTGTTACTAACATCAAGGTTTCATCCACAAGTTTGTTCTCTTTCAAATATGCAGGGAAATGCACAAACATTAGATTTGGAATATGTTCCTAGGATCTATTTGATGTCCATAACAGTTTATCAAACAAGTGAAATGTTTGTTACCCACTAGTCCCCAGAAGTTTGCATCTGTCCCGACTTCAGAAACTTCCTCCTCTGAAGAGAGTCTTCTCCGTCTCAGTTCGATTCTAGGTGGTGAACCGTCGTCTGATAAGGAGTGGGAGGAATAGGCTAACACATATACTCATCAAGTTGTTGAGTTCGTTGGTTGAGTTAGGGTGAAAGCAGATACCCACTTGCTAATTGTTTGATCAACCATACTGCTGATTCTTGTGAGAAAATCAAAAGCTTGATCTCAGCATTCCACATCATTGGTTTGGTATTTCTCATCGGTGTGACAAGCCTTTGGGGAATAATGGTCCAGAAGCCGCTTTACAAGCTCGAAAATTACCTCTATTAGTGATATTGACATATTGTGGAATGTATCCTCTGGTTCGTGTTTGGGTTGGACTTGGAATATTACTATTTTTGCATATTTATTATTAATTGTCGAGCTGTGGAAACCAACATAACAGACCTCAAGAAAGATCTTTGTGAAGTGAAAGAAACTGAAAGAATGATGAACAGAACATTAGCAAAACTGGAGGCACTCAGCCAAATGTACACAATTTAGCTAGGTTTCCTAGTTTTGGTGTCTCTGTGTTTACCACAAAAAATGATGCCAAATCAACAAACAATGAGGACACAAATCCTGCTAGTTGAAAAGCTCAGAAATCACCGGAACTACCCCATAGGTCCCTCACTCACAACTTCCGTCGAGGGAACTAAAAGGACAAACTATAATAAATACAAGAATAAATTCATCTATTTCTAGTGTTTGAGATTTAAATAGAAAGATGTCATGCTTCGTCAATCAAAGAATGCAACTGTTTCCGGAATGTGGGAACTTTACTTGCATCAACAGCCATGACTAAGCACATTGGCTGATAATCTTTTAGCTGCAGAAACAGGAAACAAAAGGACTACGTGAAGTAAATAACAAGAGTTCCAATTCGACATTTTAGGAGGCCATAAAACAAATGGTGAGAAGGTAGAATTGGAGGGAATCGGATTAGGTAAATTTCTTGTTCTTAAGATGACAAATTATCAACAGGGCCATAATGGAAAAATCAAACTCCCAATATCTGAGTAAAGTTCACAAGTCACAGTTACATCACTGATCACAATTTTTACTCTTCACCAGCAGCTTTGATATTCACATTGCAAAGCCATGACGAAGTGAAACACTTAACAAAGTTATACACTGCATCCTGGCTTATGTAAATAAAATCCAACAAGTAAACTACTAGCGAGATACTTATTACAGGAGAAACATGATGGAAGAATTCTAACCTCACTTGGCTTAACCTCTTGACTGTGCAGAGGGAAATTGATGGACCAGGAGCTAAGCTGAACATTCATGTAATAACGCAGAAATTGGTGTAAGTACTATATTCAGAACAAGACCTCCAAGAAGAAACAAAGAAAAGAGAAAACCAAAATTATTGGCACCTCATGAAAAATTTCATCTTCTGGCTTGGCATATATTATAGCTTCTTCCACGTTGCCATTTTTGCCTATCTTCTTATCTGCGTTTTTATGCTGCAGAGGCCGCCAAAAAAAAGATTATAAATTAAAGGTCAAGAGCAGACAGGAGAGATTTGGGTCATTTAATAGCCCCAAAAAAATTGAAATCTAAAAAGGAAAATTTCTCAATAGTACCTTGTAGATTTTACTGATCATCAAGTAAGTCTTGAATTGAAAAGATTTGCGGAGCTCCTCAGTTGGCTTCAAAATGCAAAAGACACAAAACTCAAGTAACTGAAAATGGAATTTAACAAACACAAAGTCTCTTTAATTGAGTTCATCCAATAAAGATTATCTCATCTAACCTCATCTTCAGTTGCCCACGAGACTTCATCAAAAAGGGCATCATAAAGGGGGGGTAGTAGCTGAGGGGGAAGATTCACAACACGCTGGGAAACCAGGAGTCCCACTTCATGAGCCCTCTCTCCCAAGAGTGACTTCAAATTTGTCGGTACATCCTCCTTACATGCCTTAACCAAATATTCCCTTAGCTCCAACATGCATTTTTGATCCTGTAGTGAGGGAAATAAAGATAGTTGAACCAGCAAGCAAGCTGATCGGAACTTAAATAATCTTTAAGTTACTCTAGACTCTAGTACTGTAGACATATAATGAGAACAAGCAGGCCAAGAAATATTTCAAAATTCAGACATTTCTATCTCAAAAATTTGCATAGCAAAAAAAGCCAAAGCTTTGAATCCAAAATCATACATTACCTTGTATCTTCCCAAGTTAAGAGCAGAAACAACAGCATAAATGCCTTCATCCTCATCGCCCTCTACTTGTATAACTGTCCCGACGGAAGGTTGTTCCAATATCAAATCAACAAAGCCACTCAAGTCCCATAACTTATTGTCCAGGTAAGTTTGAAGGAGGACTTTTACTCCATGGAAATCTTTAGGTTTCGGGTCAAAGAAGGCAAAATCTGCTTGAACAACTCCCTTGAAAAGAAAAGATACCAACAGACGAAGTCAGATACATTGGAGACACTTTTTTTATGCAGAAAAGAAAGAGAAAAAACCAAAAACATAAAACATCTTGTGAAGACAGACACAGAACATCTTCAAAAACCTTAACCTGCTACAGCATATATGCTAACTAATACAACCACCATCATTGAGAAAAATGCAATTTTTCACTGCAAACGCAAACTAACAATGTTGAAAGTGGAAAATGAAGCTTACTTCAAAATCTCCATCGTCTGAAGAATCAGAAAGTTGACCATCATCTTCAACAACACCATCTTTTACGATTGCATTGCCTACAAACAAAAACAGAATAGTTCAACGACAACTTAATTTGATCATATAATTTTAAAACATATCCAAAAGATAGGAACTTTAGCCAGTATCACTAAGCAAATTTCTTCGAACTGAACTACCTGAAGTACTGGGAGCACACTTCTCCTCCGGTTCATAGTCCACAGACTGAAGATTAACCCTTTTACCAGAAGAGTAAAGAAGTGCCATTAATCGACCAAATGGGGAGAATCTCAAAGTCGGTTTACGTGTATGACGACGGCGCAACCTCGGCTTCCGTGGCATTAGTTACTGTTGCATCAAAAACAGAAAGCTCAGTTCGTGAAAATGAATTCTACGACTAAAAACAACAAGTATTTAAATTTTCAAAAGCCCCAACCGAAAAAAATAAAATAAAATGCTGTCTTGGATTGTTTCTCGACATCATAAACATTAACCCAACAAATATTTATGCAAATAGATTGATTAGCTGCGGAAAATGTCTCGAATTTTGTAGAGGAAAAAAGGTCTTGAATCAGTTGGAAATTAAGGGAAATTCAAAAGAAAAGGAAAAAAAAAAAAATTGGTGAGTAATTTGAGTACAATTACATACCTTTGGGCCTTGGAGAACTATTGATGCGGAAAGCTCTGAAAGAGTAGAGACCGAAGATGATGACAACGGAGGCGGCTATGGCAGCTGATGACGGCGGAGACGGGTGGCGCGCTAAGTAGGGATTTATCGTTTACGGCCTTTGAGAGGTGAATGGGTTTAAGGATTTAATCATAAAAAGCAGCTAATTACACCGGCGTACCCCTGTAATATGTCCAAACTATCAAGGAGCCTACCAAGTTTTCAGTTGATACACATTATTAAACTCCTCTTTTCTTTTTCTTTTTCTTTTTCTTTTAATTTTTTTATATATGAGGAAGCTTACGCTTGGTACAAAAAGTCGACTCAAGTCGGCGCCTCGAGTCGGAGGCAGAAAATCAAAAGATAGTGCTTCTAACACTGTACAAAAAGTTTTCTTTTTCTTTTCTTTCCTTTTTTGAGCAAAACTCATTTCTTTCTCTTTTTCCCTCGTTGATTCTCTCTGATTCTATGGATTGAGCCAAGATTTTTTACCTTTTGGGCATTTGGATATATTTCACAACTCGGGCAGTATAATCAAAATGTCATCTAAAACATTGATGTCGCCAAACAAGTCGAGGTCATTACAAAGAATATCAAAATTCACGGACTTTAACATTTTCTAGTTTAATTTTGAAGTATCTAACTTCAAAAAAATAAATAAATAAATAATTTGAAGTAACTTAACAAGAACACAGTGTATCCCCATAACATGTTAAGGAACCAAGAGAAATCAAAGCTTATGACGACATTTCTTCCTTCTAACATAATAGCTTAGCATAGCACATCATAGCTTATTGTTGAGCAGAGCTACAATATCTCAATATCTCTAATGTAACATGTGAAGGCACTATTCTGAGGAGTTGCTGCTTCAGCCCACCATCTAGCATCATTCGTTATCTTAGCTTCTAGATTACGTGCCTCAAGTTCATTGTGACTATGCACACATATTCGGTGTCAATTTTTTTTTTACCCAAGAGTGTCATGCAACAGATTGTTAGGACTTGTGGGAACAACTCGAGGAGATCAAGGAATCATGAAGATCATATCCAATGGCGGTTTGAATATAAAAGAGCCTGTAACTTGGAACGAAGCACATTCTGGAAAGCCAATTTGGAACTTAGCTGAAAGAGAAGAAAAATTGTGAGTTAAGTAGATACACGAAGTTTACTTGAAAGTTGCATATCCTTGGCGGCATAAACCTAGAATGAACTCTAACTACCCTAGGTAGCATCAGAAAGAGCATGCCATAACAATTAAACATAAGATCTCTATACAAGACATGTTTTGTTTCCGTGATTAATGATTATTTACCACAATATATATTAACATCAACATACCCTGTATATTCTCAACCAAATAAATAAATATATATATAGAGAGAGAGAGAAGAAAGAAAACTACACCTTTATTCCAAACTTCTCCATGTTTGGTGATACCCTGAAGAAGGAGACCAGTACAAGCATGCTCTCTTCTTTGTATAAAAGAAGTCCTATGTATAAATGCTTTAGTGCAGATAGCTGAGGGAGTTTCCCTTCAAACTGGGATGACAAAGCCAAAACCTCCCGAAGGAGACAAAAACAATTGAAATCAACTCAGAAATCACCCTAGACTATAAACTGGTAAAGAAAGTTACTCTGATAACACAATGGGTCGGATGCATACCTCTCTGGCCTTCTTAGGATCCAGTGATAAGGAGAGAACCTCCAGTTTTGAAAAGCAGCAAGAAAGACGGCTAATAACATCCTCAACAACGCAAAAAGCATAAATAATGTGAACTTGAACAAGACGGGAGACATTCTTAAGCACTAGTGTTGTTGGCACCCGATCTTAAGCAAGGTGAGATAATGAGTGTTGCATACACTGAGGGTCTCCAGGGGACAAAAAGAAACTTCGAGGTGTTGCAATGCAAGAGATGGACCACAAACTTCCAGGTTTATTAAATTTCTAGAGTCATGCACGGCCAACCTTTCAAGAGATTTACAGTGGTGTAAAAAGAACTCACTCTCGCCCCCAGAGACAGAGACGCATTTCAAAAACAATACTTTAAGGGAACCCCACCTTATTCTGTTTGCATCAAAATTACACGGGGAAGGAAAAACACAATGTTCGATGCCGGACCAATAACCTGGGCCATGCTGCGACAGGTTCACTTCCAGTCTTTGTACACCCCTTTCAAAGGCATACGGAACCCACTTATTCATATTCGCCTGAAAAGAATCATCCAAATCAATATAGGTTCTAAACATATTTAAAACCGGGGCCTGATGGGACTCTAGCACCTTGTTTACCCAGTTAGCAAACTTGTACCTTTCCCCTCTAAGACCCTCCATGTACCCTCGATCGTTGTCTGACATCTCGCATAATGTAATTAATGCATCAAAATCAAGGTCCGAAACATAAGTCCAGACATGCTTCCATCTTTTTGACAGAACACTCGTTCTGCCAGCTTCTTTGAGCGTTAGATACAATAAGATACACCAAAGGATATCATTTACAAGCTAACTAATCCGATCGTCAGGAATACGCTGCTCAGTCGTGGGCTGTTTGATGTGTTACCGAACCAAAAATTCAAAGAATAAGAAGTAAACATATATGAACACGAATGCCAAAAAAAAAAAGGATAACCAAAATACCTCTGAAACAAACAGTAAAGTCATCCAAAAAAAAAAAAAAAAAAATTTGAACTTTACAAGTCGAGCAACAAGTAGAATAGAATCAATAAATTCCCAGAAAGAGAAACAAAAAGGATCGGAAAATTAATGATTAGTTGTCAAGTAGACATTAATTTCCAACTGATTCAAAATAGCAACAAACATCAATATTGTATCCACACGACCCATATGAAAATTGAAACTTAATGATTAATGGTCCGGCAGAACAAACTCCAGGAATACGAAGATTACAGAGACGAAAAAGGAAAAGTAAAACAATGAATATCCAAAATTTGCTAGAGAAACAACAAACTATTACAAAATAAGATTAAAAAAAAATCCAATCAAAATCAAAATTGAAACTTTTAATACGCGGGTAGCTCAGCAAAGTCAACTAACGTCCTCATCAACTAATGAGAAATAAAAAAGAGCAGTAAAGTCTAAAGAAGAAAAAAACAGAGGAATCAGATTTACCTTCTGCAGTCCAAAATCATCCATAAAGTTCGGGTCTTTATTCATCCCGCTTATTGAATACTGTCGGAAACCGACTAATTTACCTGATGTGGGACTGCCGGAAACCAACTTAGCTGTCAATGTTTAAACCTCCAGTAAATGCACCAAACAAGAAGATACCTATATTACCCCTAATTGGGAGAAAATTCCCAAGGTTTTAGTTTTGGTTTTGGACTGATCTTCAGTATCACATACGAGAAAGATTTGAGGAAGTTTTCACTCCCAAGATTTGGGAATTATAAAATAATGTAATTTAATTTTTTGAATTTGAAAGATTAATCCATCCAATTTATATATTTTTAGTTTTCTAAAATAGACAAATTTGAGGAAAGTATATTTTTTTTGGAACTTTATAGGTTACATCTGAATCACATTACGAAAGTACTCTTCTAATTCTAGTACAATCATTTTTAGGGCGAAAGCAATATGAAAGATAGTGTTTCCTTGGACAAGAAAAATAATCCTCAAATTTTGGAAGAAACACAGGGAAATGCGATTCTCAAAAGTGGTGATAAATCGATTTTAATTGAAGACTTATTATTACGTATCGATGTAACTGAACAGATGGTTCCTTTACAAACAGAGGGGCGAAATTTGTATTGCATTGTACAAAAGCCTATTCGATTAGGCCATACAACTTCACTAAGGTATAAATGATGACAGATGAAGAGATGCATAAGCAAATCCATTGACTTGCATATAACGCGCCATCTCTGCTTGGCAACTTGTCAAACTCCTTCTCTGGCTCTTCTTCTTTCTTCCTCTTGGAAATGCTGTAATGAGATTAAGCAATCAACCACAAAAAAAACAGAAAGAAAGAAGATCAGATTCCTTGCCCTGAGTATTTTGTTCGAATTTCGAACGTTGGAAAATGCTGAAAGTAGCAAAGTTTAGTGGATGCGGAAGTGTAATGAGTTAATAACATGCCTTAGTTTTGGCAGGAGTTCTGGTGTTGGTACTGATATCTGTTCGGGTTGTTTTGGCACTGCTGCTTCTAATGGCTTCTGGGTTGGAGCAGTTTCCCTGGTTGGAACTTGTTGAAGTTCTTCAAATTGGCTGGCCATTTCCTTAGCCTAATACGGAATGTTTAAATGAGTTGAGAAATCTTCAGATTGATATATTTTCTAAACTAGTTGAAGAAATCATAATGCAGTTGACTTACCATCTTCTTGAACTGGAGATTGTAAATTAGTTCAATGTATCTAAGTTTAGCATTCTTTTCATCCTTGTTCAGTTGTTTCCAGAAGCCATAGGTTGATCCGATGTCCAAGACCCTCTTCGCGTAGATCTTCCATGTGTAACTGCAAATCAAAGAAACAGAATATTACATTACAGTTAGAGAAGAAAGAGTGGTTTTCTTAGTCCTGCCATGATTTCTGAGATGTTTCAGTGGTCAGATTGTACCATTCATATATGCGCTTGAGACCACCCTCAGACATTCTCTGCCAATATCCAGAATCTCTCCTACACTTCTCAAAGAAATTCGTGATCTTGTTGCTTGTTTCATCGCCATTGTAAGGATCGATATGGAAGCCTGACACTCCATCCACAATGATTTCTGCCGGTCCTCCTTGATTAGTAGCAAATGTTGGTAATCCACAGTTCATGGCCTCAATAACAGTCAGCCCAAAGGCTTCATATAATGCAGGCTGCACGAAAGCTCCTTTAGTGTCAGCAATGCATCGGTAAAGTTCGCCATTCCTGATTCTGTCAGTTTGTGCAGCTATCCATCTTATTTGCCCTTTCAGTTGGTACTTTTCTATTAAGATGTGCATCTTCTTAATTTCTTCCATTTCTTCCCTGTCTTTGGATTTGGAAGGATCCAAGCATCCCCCAACGATAACTAGGTTCACTAAATTCCTTAGCTTCTTATTTTTCGCATACCATTCAGTCAGTCCTGTAATGTTCTTCACCTTATCAAGCCTTGACATAGAAAAGATGATTGGTTTCTTCCGGTCTGCAAGAAATCCACTGATATGCAAATGTGCTTCAGATTTTGTCCCATAGAAAATCTGCACACGTATTTTAGTGATGTCGAAAGACTTACATGTGCTCATCATTGTTATTTTTACTGTACAGAAGTTCCTCAATGGCAGGATGAAATGATGTGAGTCGCTTCCTTTTTTCGTTAAATGGGAAGTAGACAGACTGATCAGCTCCAGGGGCAGCAATGTTGAACTTCGGATCGAACACATTGATCCCTGAAACTACTCTACACAGCCCTGGCATTGTGAATGCCATATGGCTTTCATATTGACCAGGTTTACTTTTACTGCATGAAAAAGAACAACATCAACACTTGTTTCGTCAATAATCGCAGCCTTTCTGATGGTTGTCTCTAGAAATAAATAAGAGAAATATACTTACCTTCCTGCAATTTCTTGAAATGTGCTGGTAATGACAAAATCAGCAGCATTCATTGCTATTAGATCAGCCGTGAATTGGCAAGAGAAGTGGTGCTTTTGATCGAATTCCTTCCACTTGATATCAGAATCTTCATACTTGGTTTTCTCAAGTGCATGAGCAATGGTTCCCTAATGAAAAAAGCATGCCATGTTAAACTTTTGAATATCCATTTCACAGGAATCACTGCTTACAAGTGTTTGATAAGAAATAGTAATGGCTAACCAAAGTGACTCCCAGCTTTTTGGCCATTAGAGATGCCACTAAGTTTCCGTCAGTGTAGTTCCCAATCACGAGGTCTGGCTTACCCTCCATGAGTTCCAGGACCTTCGCAGTGGCATCCTATTAATACAATAGCAAGAACACATAATGTCAGTAACAATAAGTCGTCTACGGGAAAGAGTCTTGGAATAACATGAAGAACTTACCTGAGTAAATCTTTCCAAGTAGGGATAAATGTCAAACCGAGATATCCACTGTTGGAGAACACCTTCCTCAGTTCTAAAAGGAACACGAACTATGTGGGAGTGGTTGGTATTAATTATAGGCTCAATCTCCTGATTGCATTTTGTACCATGCGCATCCGGTATTAGACGAGTCACCTGCATTCCCAGTAGAGAAGATGGAACTCAAAACTTTTGCATCTCTCACTGTCACTATCGGCTCAAAACCATCAAAAAAAGCTTACCACGAGAATCTGAGGCTTAAAATTTAAACCCTGTTGCTTGATTCTTAGGAGTAATTCTTCCTCTAAAGCTTTGACTTGATCTAGAATGTAAACAACCTGCTCAATATGGGCAAATGTGAAACCTTAGTCTTTTTGGAGGGTTACAAGAGAACTAAACAAAATTTTGGTGATGGCGTTGCACCTGGCCTCCTGTGTCTGGCAAACCAAGTACATCTGATTGACCAAAATAGCCATGAACTGAGAAGACAACGACGTTAAATATAACTGGAAGCCTACTGAAAAGTGCTTCCATGTTCATGGGGTCTGGTGCCTGCAGTATCTCAGACAGCATCCTCATTGTTTCTCTAACTCTCTCAGCAGTATCTCCCCAACCTTTCTCAAAACCCCACTCTTTAAGCCTGTATTATTCAGTCAAGAAATGATATTAAAACTATGAAAGCTAAAATTTTACTCAAGTTTATATGGTTTTGCTGGAGTGATGAAAAGTTACTTCTGGTCAAAATTTTGATATGGTGTGTCCTTAGGCATTGCAGACACATAAATTTCAGCAAGGATCAAGGCTGTTTGAAGCTTTGCAACGGTGTTCAGGTTCTCATTGATCATCAGATTCTGCATTTGAGAAGTCAGCAGTACAATTTCTTGGGTAAAATATTTTGAGTGTTAAATATTTTGCTGACTACAAGTATACTGCCTACCTCTCCTTGATGACTTAGATTCATCAAATAGTCAAGCAAAGGTTTCGCACTTTCAGGAGCATTGCTTAACTTTGAAGCCATGAGCTTTGAGATGAAGCCATGCCCTTTGCCAATTGCAGAAGAGAGTGCTAGGCTTGGATTACCGAAGTCAAATGCTCCAAAATCGACTTCCAAAGCATTTTCGTCTTGTGACCTGCAGAGGAAAAAAAAAAAAAAAAGATTCATGATCAGGTAGAAAAGGACCACGCTTGAACCGATTCTGCTTGGCATAGTTGGATCATTTGCTTCTTTATCTGATGCTTACCATTTTTCATCGACAACCATTTCTTTTAGTCGCAAGTACTCTGTTGGTGTAATTGTAGTGACTGATAAATCCTCTGCATTCACCTTCACATACTCAAAACATCCAGGATTATGCCTTACGGCGAATGCAACATGTGGTGGAACAACAGCTGCCTCCTGCAGATAAGGAGAAAAATCTTTTATACCAAACAAGCAATCCTTCTCTTTTTTCCTAGGAACTCACAGTTCCATTTGGGATCTCTTTTCTGGTTCTCACCTGTGTGGAACTCAGGATTTGACCCAGGGAGCCTTCCAAAACCTTATCTCTTTCAAGTTTATCCTCTATCGCTTTCTCTATCTCTTCCTTCAGATGTTGATACTTCATTAGCCTTGTTCCCGTCCCAGTGAACCTATACATGTGCAATAAACGTTATGGCATTTACAATGTAAGTTACTTTTCAACGGCATTTTGATGAACAGTTTGAGTAAACGAGATCAAAATGGTTCAAAATGCGACGCAACAAAATGCTGTTGCAAGAGTGATGATCATTTCACCTGGAAAAACATCTCTTCATATGATATCGACTCTGCCTCAACGCATCAGGCATGCTATCAACAACTGGGGAAGCCATCGACGATGATATTTGGTTTTCTTTATTTAAGTAAATACACTGTAGTTGGGAATGTTATGAGGTTAAGGTGATGAATCAGGAATGCATATATAGGATTAGGGGGGAAAAGTTTGCACGTGGAAACTACTACTTTTGGGGAAGACATAAGAACATATCAGGCAGAGAAAGAACATTCCTTGGGCCTCAGGGTGGAGAACAAAATTAGAAGGCCGAAGAAAAGAATTCATCCGTGAGCATGCAGATCACTAAAACCAAACCTCACCCTTTTCCCTTTTCCTCGTATTAGAATGGACAGAGGAAAACCCCTTTTGCAGGTGAGGTAGAGCACATATTCTTTTCTTCAATGGGGTAGCAGTTCTTCCATGATTGCGAAATTTGGCGCACACACCACCCATTTGCATCCATAGCAAAACGTACAAGGATTTTAAGTTCTACACTGTCAATACATGAATACTTAACAGTCAACACCATAACAGTTCATCATTAGGAGAGTATGACTTCTCGGGTGATCTCGACAGATTGGATTTCATTAAGGTCAAAGTTTTGATCCATGGAGTAGAGTTTTCGACTACACAGCAACGCTAATATTGTTTCAAAGATTAAAAGGTTTTAAATTGTTAAAAAGGTTAATTGTCCTTCAAATCCAAAATTTAAGAGAACCGGACAAGTACCTAACTTAAGAAAATCTTGGGGAGAGAAACAAAACGGCCAACCCATTTGTCATCTTTCCTGCTTTCTTCTGAATTCACGTTGTTCTTCTCCCAACTATTTCAGCCCACACGGGTTACATTTTAGCAGAAGATTTATAGAGTCAAGTTTTTAGGTGTTGATCACATCCAGTGATGCCTAAAAAGCACACTACTGCATACACTTCCATTCATCCATCTGAATATGCATAACCCCAAGAACCTCGGCCAAAAAGGGAATTAAGATGTACAGAGGTTTCAAATTGCAAAACACAGGCAAAATAAGCCACAAGTAGTTTAAATCAAAACAAGGTTCAACTGCTTACACATCCTCAAATGGAACAAGGATTCCAAGTTGCACAAACAAGCTAGCCACATGATTTAAATCCACACTGAATTGTTCCAAAAACAGTATTGCAAAAGACGAATCAATCCCAAAATAACATGAACCATAACAAAGCAACACGTTCCAAACTCAGAAGGGGGCCCTAACAGTAGAACATAACCCTCTTCACGTTCTCCTTGAGCGCAGGAAGAGGCCTCACATTGGCATTGACACCAGGTGCACGAGTACTCCTAACGCCAGGCACAGGACCAGCACCACCACGAGCAGTGGTCACAGAACCACTGTCAGAGGTCTCAGGCTCCATATAGAACCGGGCGCGGAAGGCAGCCAGGTGAGCATAGTATGCAGGTGGAACTGCAATTTGGACACATAATTAGAACAAATTATCTAGAAGTGTATATAGCATTAATTCATACAAGGAGGACCTGAGAACATACCAATTGAGACAGAACGGGTGCATCTAGCATACCTGCAACATAATATGAGATGTTAGTCCACTCACAAAAGTAAATAGCTTATGAGTCAAAAAAAATTCCACAGATCACTCACGTATAACACAGATTGTTCGTGAGAGACTGCAGCCCATCTGCAGAGAAGTTGTTCTCATCCCACAGCACATGGTAATGCGCCGGTCGGCTCGTACCCTGTAACAAAAGTGTGTTAGCAAAATATGCAAAGAGCAAACCTTATTGGGATGCAAGTCCAGTACAGATAGTCATATCCTTTAATACCTGTATTCCAGCATGGCTGCATAGGTAAAAATCAAATTCTGTAGGGTGACAAATCTTCGAATCTACAACAGTACCTGTATATACCGAAACCAATACGATCAATCAGATACCCCCAAAGGCAACCAGAAGCTAAAATCACGAAAAACACAAGCAGACTCTTTACCAGGCAGAATGTTGCCGCTGCGATCAGTGGTATTACGGTCATTGTGATTGTTGGCAAACAACCTTGTATGGTGGCGTTTCTGAACCACCACAAAAGTCACAGGTGGCTGATAGTTTGGTTCCAGAGATGCACACGCCTGATACAAATGCAGGACGTTTCATTGACCCAAGGTGCAAAACAAGATAAGTTTCTGACTGGAACTAGAACTGCAAACAACTTAAGCAAGAAACAAGGCTTTACCCTTCGAATTGCATCCAACTCATAGAGCAACACTTGATAAAACTGCCCTTCACTGACACCATCTCTGAGAGAGCAACAAAAGAAGACACAAAAGGGGTGAGAAAAGAAACTTGTAACTGAATTCAATAAATGGTTGAACAATCATACCTATAAAAGATAATTCTCTGTGGCTTCTGACCAGTTGCTTTACGGAAGGAAATCAGCAACTCTCTGACAGAAAAACCATGCCATCAGTTCACATCGAAAGAAGAGTAAAGAATATACCAGAAAGTTAAAAACATGTGCAATGGGTGAGTTCTGGAGGGTAGTTGCAGGGGCAAAGAGCCATTACTTGATCATGCCACCAGTTACAGTTCCTCTAGCAGGATCTTGCCAGGTCTTAAACAAATCTTGAATTAGCTCCTGTCGATGAGCTTGAGCACTGACCAAACCAGCATACTTAGTAACTTCAGGCCAATCCTGCGATGCGACAACCTACATTCGGATTGAAATTAGAAAAGAGACATAAACATGAGTTCCTTTAGGGAAGAGATAAAGAAACTGTCAAGCAGGCGAATCGAATAAAGTGCAATCTAGACAGAGTATCATACAGCTGCAATGGATGGACTCGAATCCTCGCCAGGGTGGGGATGGGTAACATCAGCACCAAAGATGATAGTTGGCCTGTCACTCACAAGAGGTATGCGTCTAGACAAAGCATCAACAAGTACAGTGTTCCTCCCACCAACTTTCACGTTGATCTTCAGAGCAACATTGGCAAGATACTGCTTGCTCATCTTGAAAACATGCTTTGTTAAACAGCACTGAGATACAATTCCTAGATCAGTCTCACAAATCCGTTTGAGATCACCTGTTGAAAATGATAAGTGCAACAATCAGAACAGGTGCAGGGCTGACCACCAAGATTAATAACAGATCGCAAAAGAAATTCACCGTAAAGAGAGCCATTATTGTCCGGCAAAATGACAATCAGCAAGTCCAGTTCCTTCCTCTGTGCAGGCAGCTTTGCCATGGCCTCAGAATATCTGGCTTTCAGTGCTCTTTCAACCTGATCAGGCCGGACAGATATTGGGGGCAAAACAGGATGTGGATGGAAGTTCTGTGTAAACAAAGGCAATAAGTAATCTTTAATACACCTTCAAAAAGACGCCCAACAATGAGGAAAAACACATTTAATACTTGATAATATTCAACACATACCATCCCGGAAGTGTGACACATCTGGGCAAGCTCCTGACAGAAGCCGCGAACCACGCTGTCTTGGACATTGCGAGAAAAGTTAACACATATCCAATTGTTTACTGTACCTCCATTAACCATTTTCTGCGACACAACAAACAGTAAGTGAGTGAATACAATTTGAACTTAAAAATGAAACAAGAGATTACAGACAAATGCAGCAAACGAAACAACAATAAAGCTCCACACACGGGGACATTACAACTCATAGACAGATGAACCCTTAAACCAAATAAAATTTAAAAAAATCGTAACCATTTTAAGCATGTAAAATTCAAACTCACCTTGTTCATCATATTCCACTGCCCAACTTGAGGCAGGCAATCCTTCTCACGACCAGAATCATGGTATTTAAGCTGGAAAAAGATTAGAAATAGACAATAAGTACCCAAATACAAGTAGCAAAACACACATGAAATGCTTCATGCAAAATAATGCATCATTCACTTACCCACGGAGGAGGCAGTATACGAGCTTCGACCTGAGCAAGCCTGTCACTAATCCTGATACCGAACTCCTTTGCAAATGGGTCGTCACCATAGGCATTATGGCGAACAGTCTGACACACAAAAGATGTAGGCAATTGAGTAAATTTCCAGGGAATGAAGATTGCTTTCGCAAATGTGTAAAATAAGGAGCTTGCAGCACAGGAGCCTACCGTAAGAATATCACGCTCCCTCTCCTGGGGACGCTGGCAAGTCACTTTCAACAGAGCAGTTATCTGTCTCTCATTCAATCTCTTTGAATACCTCTGGCCCTCGACAATCTTGCAGACCTACCAAATCTCAAAAGATTCAGATAACATGAATGATTTAAGGGGGAAAAAGAGTTTGATAAAAGTTCCGGGAAAAAAAAAACAAACCTCTAGGGGGAGATAATTTGGTCTCTGTGTATTTCCAACTTGCAAACAAGGCAGATGTGTGTTGTGGATAACAAATCCATAAGTCTCCTGGAAATACTCAACTACTGACTTCATTGTCCCCCTTTCATCCACAGGAAAACTAGCCAAAGAGCAACAAAATGGGAAAAAGATTAGCAAAAACTGCAATCATTGTCCGTGTAAAAATACCATCAATGGGATCTAGGCATGCAAGACATGAGCTCCACTATGGTGTGATCAACCAATGAAGCAATGCCACCATCACAGAATCTATGAAATAATTGGCGCAAGACTGAAAGCAGAAAAGACTTACGTCAGCTCACGTGTTGCTTGTGATGTTAAACCAGATATTCTGTACTTTCTGCGCATGTTCCCACGATGTGTTACTTCCACTTTAACTCCCCTAAGGGCTTTCTTAATCTGTCCATTGAAACAAAATCAGTTAAAAAAAAAAATTTAAAAAAAAGATTACAAAGATCACTTTTAACAAAACTGATGCACTAAATACCCAGGACTAAATACTTTCCATACGCAGCTGTGCAACACATAATTTAGAGGGTGACTGAGACAATATACATGACAATGGCATCCAGATACACAAAAAATAAAACTCAAAAAGGCTAAAAAAAGAAATCACCCCTTGCAAGACACTTGCAAGACTACAACAGGACACACAAAAGGAAACCAGGGCTGCAACATAGACCATGGCCAAACAAAAATAAAACAGAAATGATATCCACTTACTTCCATAACCAAAAATAAAACCACCAGCAGAGAAAAAGCAAAATGTCAACAATTTCCTAGATTGCCAAAAATCCAACGTTCAAAATTTTAAACTCTTTCAAGAACTAAAAATTCAAACAGTTGACTATGTTGATTAAAGGAGGATGGAAGCAAACATCCGCTGTTGAAGCTGCAATTTCTCTTTCGTGTGATCTCTTTATAATTTTGTTTTGCCAAAGCTAACACATATCTGTTTCAGCACAACAAAGATAGAAAAGATTCATCGAAGAAGATATAATGAGCTGAATGACCTCGTGATTCCATCATGATTAATGTAGCATCCCCCCCTGTCTCTCTCTAAGAAGCAATTTCATTCCGGATATGCAATTTAGACGATGACAGGAAAGATGATGACAAAGCAAAAAAAGAGGCTATTATTAAGCACAATAAATAAGAATACAGCATATCCCACCTTGACACGGTCAGCATCAGACAAAGGTCTAGATGAGACTTCCCTGTTGAGTAGCTGTTGCACAAACTCAATAACAGGGAGAGGTTCAATGAATGCGGTGGATGACATATCTGTTACACAAGGATTCAAATGATCTCAGATATTGACCCGAAGATAAACCAGCAGCTTATGATAAAAGAAAAACTCGCATAGATAAACAATGCAGTAACCGAAGCATCCCCAACCAGAATTGATTTACATGTACTTAAGTAGAAAATTTACATCGCTTCTACAAAATTCTCACCAATGTTAAGTGATAACCCCATCTGAGTTGGTCGGATGCTCTGATAAAAACCACGCCAACTTTCAAGCCCCTCGCCCAAAGGTTGCCTTCTTCCCAGATCAGGGGCGTAAAAAGAGCGACCAACAGGACAATATCTGCAACAGAAATAATACATGAGAGATGCAAATATAAGTGAATAAAGGATATTAAACAAAGAACAACAGATTTAGGATCTGAAGTATACCGAGAAGTGGGCAATTCACGAAGAACAATGTCCAGAACCTGAAGGGCTTCCTGAGGGGCATCAGCTTGTCTACCCTGCAGAAACATGCCTAAATGGTGCAAATCAGCCCGAGCTGCTAGCTTGATTACAACTTTAAATTCCCTTTCTCTCCTACATACACAGATGCACAAATCAGAACTTGCTAGAGAATGAAGCATAAGCTCACAGATGCACAAATCAGTACGTGTAGCTTGAAAATGCAAAAATATGAAGATTGAATTCAAACAGACTACAACCTCACAGAACCAGTTTCAACTCCATCCTCCTCATCAATAAGGGTAATCTTAAACTCTTTCGAGACAAATGGAAGAGGTCCGGCAGTGTACAGGCTCTTTCTTCCATCATAGGCAGGTAACCTCTTCCCAAGATGAGATTCCTTGTAAAGCTGCACCAACTGCTTTATAACAGCGCGGTTCACACCACGAGATGTGACCTCAGGAGTAATTGTAACCTAAAAAGCCAATAGAGATAGAACCCCAATTACAAACTAATAAGCAAACTCAAACAGATTACTCGAATACATAAACAAAAGCAACAGAATAAAAAACAGTAAACAGTAGAAAGAACTGACATCATATTGATGCAAGTCTTTGTCGGGAAGCTCCGCAAAGAAGTGGTTGGCCTTCACAATACATTTAGTCCCAGTGCTACCTCTACCAGGACGAAGAGGGAACCTTAATGCCTTGCTTGAAGCTGGTGCAATGGCCTGCTGAACTGGCTGCACTTCAGACTGGATACTAAGTTGCTCAAACTGCTGTGCCACAGGTAACTGGGAAGGCTCAGGTACTGTGCTAGATGAACCAGTTTCACTTTGCGACTCTGCAGGACCCCCATGAGACAGAGGAGACGTCACCCCAGGTAGATTAGAAGGCTGGGTTGCTTGATGCAGCTCGGGAAAGGGCCCCCCAGTTGAAGGCGCACCGGGGGCCCTTGGGCGCTGCCCTGCTGGAGCTCCTCGTGGGTACTGCTGCTGAGCACCCCTTCCTTGCTGATACTCCTGCTGAGAACCCCTTCCTTGCTGGTATACTGGACCACCACCTTGATACTGTTGAGGCCCACCACGTGGAGATGGAGCTCCACGACCACCATAGCCTCCACGCTGCTGAGGTCCCCAACCTCTTCCTCCACCCTGAGATCCACCTTGTTGCTGAGTCTGCTGTTGTTGAACCGGTGGACCTTGTTGGCCTCCACCAAAGCCAGCACCACGTCCAGCTCCAGATTCCTGAGAACCGGAACTTTGTCCCTCAGAAGGAAGTTCAGTTCGTCTCTTCCTCACCATGGTTACAGCTACAATACAAGAGAATACAGGGGAAGACAAGTAAGCAACAGAAGCATAAGTGTGGCCAGATCACAAACTGTAAGACAAATTAACATTACAAGCACATGCAAGCATTTTCAAAAGAAGGTCCCATGAATAATTACACAGCACAATATGAACCCAGACTTTCATACCACAAAAAAAATGACAAAAAAATCAAGAACACAACGGACCATGTACCAATGGTGCTAAAATGACCAGATGCATCAGTTCACATGGAAAACAAACTTCAAACAAACAAATCCATATACCACATGTTAACAGCAGGGAGTCATAGTAGCCAGAATGCCCACACCTGCGCAAACTAGAGCGAATAAAGCTAAAATATAGATTATGAACTAAGAAATCTCAACCTCAAAAACAAGTTCTCCAGAAATCTTACAATAAGCACCCAGGGGTAGAAAACAAAGTAAGAAAACAGAGGAAAAGGGTTTACAATCCCCAAAGCTGAGAAAAAACTCAGGAAAATGGACAAAACTCAACAGACAAAGAGTTAAAAAATAATCAGTAACCAAAAAAACCCAGCCTCAAAACAAATTTTCTAAAAATTTCACAACAAACATCAAGGTTTGGCAAAATAAAGTAACCAAACAGAAGAAGAGGGTTTACAAGCCAACAAAACTGAGGAAAAGGGTCTATAAACCAACAAAACTGAGGAAAGGGGTTTACAAAACTACAAAACTGGAGTACAAATCAGAAAAACGAAAAAAACCCACACTCAATACAAGTTATCACAAGTATTCTTCAACCGGGTTGTTCATCCAAAAGAATCCCCAAAAAGTCCAGAGCAAACAGTGAACGAACCAGAAAAAATCGGTTTACAAACCAGCAAAACGAAAGGAAAAAACAGTAAAACAAGCAAAGCCCACATTTAAAACAAGCTATCCCGAGCATTCTTCAACGGGAATTTTCAACCAAATGAAAACCCAAAAAAGAGCTCGGAGCAAACAGTGAAAACACTCAGATCTAAACAACATCAACCGCAAAAACCACTCAGATCTCACAGATAAACCATAAAGAACGACAGAAGAACAACAATCGCAGCACAGAAACCCTAAAACAGCAGCCAAAAACCAAAAAAAAAAACCCAATCTCAATCAACGATTCTTTACCTCAAAATCGCTCAAAAGGACACCGCCTTCCGAATCTACTCTCAGCGACTAAACCCTTACCGCCGCCGTTACCACCACCACCAGACGCTAAAACCGAAGATTTTTTTGTGATCCTCACCCACACTAACCCCCCTTCTCTCTCTCGATTAAACAAAGAAAATGAGAGTGTACGAGACTTCACTCTTATGACACTACCCCCCTCTGTATATATATAACCCCGGTAAAAAAACAAATGAAAAATAAACACGCAGACACACAGTAGCGAGTTTTTCGTGAGAAATGTTTTCCTACAACTCACCCCCTCCTTACTCCGGTACTCCCCAGCCCTAATCCTTCTATAATTTTTTTTGCCTTTTCTCATTTGGCGAAATGTACTGGAAAATGAGTTCCTTTTTCTCCTATCTTATTTAAACCAAATTTAAATTTGCGTTATATACCTTGTCCATTAGGTTATAAACTTATAATAATAATGAAAGTTGAATTAGTCCACGCAAACAACAAAGGTCCGTGCCATTTCATTTTTACAAGTTAAAGAAATGTAATGTCAATTTCCTCACTACCATTTACAAATGCAATCCAATAGTAATACAAACCATATTCAGCTTGTTTTTGTTTGTGAACTTTATGTCTTACATAAACGCGGCAATATATATCTTCTTAAAGTTCATATAAATGACTGTTCCTTTATTTTCTGTTCCTTTATTTTTATAAGTTTTTAAATTACTAGTGATTGATTCGTGTATATTTTCACGTGATAATACGTGAATGTATCGTATTCGTCCCAATAAAATTATACATAAAGATTACGATATTAATAACATATTATATTTATAATGTATATTATGCGGTCATAATTACAGTGTTCCGGTTATACTATAACGTATGCATTTTTATTTTATTTTAACTTGTAATGTCAATAAATGATGAATTTGAAAATAATAATACCTGCAAAATAACGTGAAATCACAACGACGTTCGACGTAAAAAAAGGATTGTTGGGATGATAAAAACGTGTTCTTAACACTTGTTCCTCGTCACGATATTAACGTGCATAATCTAAAAAAAATTATACATCTAGCGATGATGCTCATTTAAAACATGTCGACATGTTTGTCTGCATTCTTAAACGTGGTTAAAATATGTGATATTTTCAAAATCACAAAATTAATGAAGAAGTTCTCCGTGTAAAACGAGACATTTTGCGTTAAAGATTCCTAATAATTCAAAATTTCAAAGTGGGAGATCATTATACTTGACGGAATTTGCTATACAAAGTTACAAACATATCAACTAAGCAAGAATTTGGACTGAAGTAGTCATTGCCATTATTCTAAATTTTGTTTTGTCGTTCAAAAATTGACCACCAAACTTATTCATTTGTAGCCTACCAACTTGGCTCTCTCAACTTCCTCATTTGCAAATTTTTAGTAGTACTGTATTAATATATGATTTGTTATTAAAAAAGAAGAAAATATAAAACGTTAGATAATATATGGAGTACTGTCTTTGGAAGCCTCGAAGGTGCTGATGTGGAGATACTGTATCGACATTGATCGGGTAAAAGAGCCGGACCGGGAAGATGACATGGCAGGATATTGGATGTTGACTGGAGGAGGAGCACGTAGGATAACCGACGTGGAAGGTCAAACTAAAACCCCTCAACCGGGGCCCCAATTCAAGTCGGACCGGGGACAAAACGAAACCCATGTAGGTCACATGAGTCTGGCCACCAATGAGACCGGTCCCCGACGAGAGAAAAGGCTGAAAAGCAACTGGCCGCAGCCGCAGAGAGATAAAGACTTCACGCGCCTTTTCGTAGAGAAGGGTACTCCACTCGCCCTGTTAGCTTGACACGCGGTCCAGTTAAGGAGATATCTTAGCTGTAAAGATACGAACTTCTTTGTATTTACGAGACTGCCATTTCCTGGTTTTTTTTTTGCCCTTTTTTTGGTTAATCATGTTTAATTGGAGGGGAGGAAGAAAAGGGGTGTGGAAGATCTTCATTGGTGAAGGATACTGGAAGAGTACGGAAAAGATTTTTTGTCATTATGTATTTTTATCCGCTGGATCAAACTGTGTTTTTGTTTACTTTAATTTTGTTTTTTTTATTTTCTTGAGAAACATTGATTTAATTTCTTTTTTTTTTTTATTTTGAATGAGAAAGATTTTTTTTTTTCCCACTTGTTATAATCGATGTAGAGAGAATGGATAGGGTAAAGCTTTTGCATAATCTTCGTGTTGATTGGGCAATGCGACTTTATCATGTTGTTAGTAAAATAATTCCACAGAGATAAGATTTTTAAGTGGATTATATCCCTAAGCAATAAGCATGGAACTGATTGGTTATTTGATACCATTATTATTCAAAATTATATTTTAGAAGAATATATAAAAATTATTTTGCCAGGCATTTTTAAATGTAGAGAAAAATGGTTATGCCGGCATATATCAATACCAGATTTTGTCCCCTAATAAAATAAAATAAAATAAAAAATAGTCAAAGGCGTGTTTGCAAGGAAAGGTTATACTTAAAAGAATTTGGGGAAGGGTTGATGAGTTATTAATTATTGGTAATCCAATATTTATTCGAATTTACTTAATGATACTATTTGAATGCAAATGTAAGTAAATGCTTAATGAGAGTGAACCTAGTGAATCATCGAGAATATAAACAAAAAAATCATTCGAAAAAGTAGAAGAATTTAGTTAGAGAATGCATATTTCATTTCATGTCATCACCACACATGCATCACTCAACCATGACAAAAGCGTGAATCTAAATATTACAACATACATGTATATTCAACGTGACAATATCATGATCTCTAAGTATAACAGAATATACTACACACAACCCACTCATGTGTGATGAAAGGCTTAATTCATCACAAGCATTTTTACCTACTTATTACCTACACATTCCCATAAGGCCATATCAGGCACGTTGTCTTTACGATCAAGTCTTCCATTTTATGAACGTAGATTTACGTTATCTTTTAAGTTTTCACCTCAACACACAATTAGCATAACATATTATCCCATTTCAAAAAAAAAGAAAAATTGATTATTATTTTGTTATTATACGTATAATATTAATTTAACAAACATAATTTCTCAACTGCTTAGCATTCCATTATTAAATCGGCAAAAAGACACAAAAATAAACGTAAGTGATAATAATAATTTTATTTTATTTTTGTTAAAAATAAAATAAATGGTCAGGTGAGTTCTAGAAGTAGCTTGATTCTGCTAATCTCCAAGCAAACTTTTGTTTTTGGATGGGAAGCAGTGCAGAGTTTTTTTTTTTTTTTGGAAGTGAAAGGTAGTGGGTGGTGACAGACAACCCCTCAATGGGCATCATTGTCCTTTCGGTTGCAAGTTGTGGATCCCCACCCGAAGCAGGAGGCAACGGTACTGTTGTGGGATAATAATAGCGGGAAAATGATCAGAATTTTTTATTCTCATTTTATCTACTAATTGTACGTTATTGTTAGCGGTGTAACAGACTCACAGATTGATTTTTACCTATGATCTTCTTTTCTGACACTTAATTTGATAACAGTAGATTTTTTTCCGCATAAGATTTCCAATCGAGTTGTGTAAAATAGGGGGAAAAAAAAAAGTTACTGTATAACAATATGGTATATACTCCGAAGTCCAGTCCAAAACGAATCGGCTCTGTTTGTTTCATTTTTTTATTTTTTTTTTCAGAATAATATAGTAATATCTGTCTCATCCTAGCATATTTTTATAATTCTAATAAAAAAACACAAAAAACACATACTAAAAAAACGAAACAAACATATACGAAGTTTTTTGATTGCTGTAGTGCTGACTGGTTAACATTGACATGTGCAACAAGTATAAGCAATAACAATTGATATTCGTGGTACATCCTTAATAATGTAATGCACAGAGTAATTTTTATTAAATTTTTTTTGTCGGTAAAGAAAGAAGCTTTGATTTTATGTGAGTTTTACCTAGGAAGAGACTTAAGTTACACTTTGCTTCAAAAGTAACTTTCATGCGAGTTGTAAAAATATTTTTCACAAAAATTGAGCTAAATACGTTTTTTTGTTTTTTAACCATTGAGCTAAAAATGTTTTTTTTCACAAAAATATCTTGTTCAGTATTTGTTTTCTCTTTCGATTGTATGCATTATTATAGCATTAAACACATTACAAAAATGTTTTTTTTTTAATTAAGTTTTGCGCTAGGTCTTGTACGCGTGAAAAATTATCAAAATACTCTAACATGAAGGATTTGTGAATGTTATTTTTCACATAGAATGCGCACACTTTCCATTTTATGTAGTAAGTATATCAACTCCACAAGATTAATGATTTAGCGATGGAGATTATGATAAGATCGAAATTTTTGAAAATTAAATACTAGTTTCAAGTACATAAAGAGAGGAAGATTTTTTTTATTAAGTTTTACAAGTTTTTTTTTTTTTTTAAAGAAAGAAAACTTCATTACAATTGCTGGAAATCAGCCAGCACTGATTGATACAAACCGTCCAACAACTAACGGGAGAATATAATCATTAAACTAGTGACTAAGCTATTACAGCTGAAAAAAGAAAATAAAACGTTTATCAACCAGTTGCTATTCCTGGGAAGAAGGATCCTCCAATGATATGATTCTATTGTTGAAATACAACGGAACAAATTAAAAATCTGAACTCGAGTAGGTCACTAACCATCGGATTAAAGCTCCAATCAGCAAATCTGAATAACAGATTCACAGTGACTGAAAATTCTCGGGCCAAACTAGCCGTCATTAAAGACGACGTGCGGCACTCAACAGATGGAACAAGATCTATTGAGCCACACAAGACAAACAACAAACCTGGCTCTGTTGGCGCACTATATTCACTCAGTAAAGAATCGAACCAGGATCCATACTGAGGGTGGGAAATCCCACTTAATTGAATCAAAACACTAGCATAAAAAT